CATTGTAAACCTGCCCCTAAACCTCTAAATGAGAGAAAATGTTCAACATGTAATTCTATTGAAGATGAAGAACACTTTCTCACAAGATGTAAAAAATATGTAACTCTTAGAGAATGTTTGTTTTCGAAATTAAAAGAAATTATTCCAAGTTTTGATTGTGATGACCCAGATATTTTTAAAAGGTTAATGGCTACTGAACACTTGAATGTTCAATTATACATTGGAAAATTTATATATCATGGATTCAAAATTTAAGTGTATATGTTTAATAGTGTGCATCACACTGTATAATAATTATTATTTGTAGTTAGAATAGTTGTAGTCGTAGTTTGTAGTGTTTTAGTGACTAATGTATCATGTTACTGATATAAATTGTCAATAAAAGATATAATAATAATTGTAAGTGTAGGAGTGTGTAGAACATCCTATGATTTTTTCAGAATATTATTTTAATCTACTTGGTGATATATATATATGCACTCGTTCGCTTTGCTCTCTCGTGCAGATATCAATATCACCTCATAGATAAAAATGATATTCCTCAAAATCATAGGATATCCTATAAATATCTGAGATATATTGAGACGATATCAGTGTGCTGCAACATTGCATACAAACTGCTTCGATTTACTTAGAAGAGCACAGTGCTCTATTGAGGAAATATTAGGAAGGCTCTAATAAATCTCTCCTTAATTGACACTGTGAGACTGGTTTAGAATAGGCCTCAATGTTACCAAAGTATGGTGAAACCTTTCTAAATGTGAAATATATGAAATGATCCAGTCCTCTCGTTTGAATTTTGGCTTTGGGAGAAAGCAAAATAATTATTTTATAAATTTTGTATCATATATGAAAATGAGTAAATACAAAAGGATTGATCTACACTAGGTATTTCAAATGTTTAACAACTCAAGGATTTTCACAAAGAAATTTCATTAGGGACTTTGTTTCAAAAAAGTGTCCCTATGCCCATTATAGGAGCTGTTTGCATGTAAGGCTAGTCAAGTTTCGCTGTAATTCAAATATCTGTCATGTTTCATTGTCATAACAGATTGGTTCTATCATTGTGTAAATTTTGATTAAATCAGACAATTTCAAAACCAAACATCTGTGCTCTCTTTAGACTTGATGTATCAGATATTAATCGTACACAAATTAGTTTTTATAGGAGTGAAGCAAGATAACTATATTCTTGAGTGATTTGTATGCAAATGTAGGTAGATCATTGGAATTAGTCTTGTCTACATTTCTGTGTAAGGGGGTCACATGGGTTTGTTGCAAGAGTATACCACTATGAAAAATGTATGAACTCGAAATTGATCTGGATCGATACCTCTAGCCTGTAATCTCTATGTACATTGGCCCATGTTACTTAATGTCTTGGATATAACAGTCCTTGATTCCATTTTTAGCTTAAATTCGCCCACAGTGACAGGCAAATTATTCTTATTCTCATCCAAGATAGACTGTAATAACCAATCCTGTTTTGAGCAAGTAAATGAGTTTATATTAGCTAAACTATTCCTTTTACTAGCCACCTTATTTATGAGGCCAATAAAGAATAAATATTGTTAAATGTGTTTCTGTTTTGTTCTGATTAGTTGCCATTTCATTCTTTTCGAAAGACTCCTCATGATTATGTGTGGCAGATCATTCCTACCTGATTTTTGATTCAAATCTAGCAATGCTTCCATCAATCTAAAAAGTTTTTCTCTTTCAGATATTTCTTAATGTTCTCCTCTTGTTTCTGACATTCTTGACACGAACAGCTTTTCTTTTTCTCATTTAACATGATAGAAATGGGCATTAGCAAAATATCACAATTTCTCTTTGAGCTTGAAATCCATGAGATTTTAACTCTGTTGATTAACTGACCATTCAATGTGAGAATTAGGAGCCAATCCTCCTTGATAGTTCGATTCCGAACTTAACATATAACCTGGTATAGATTGTCATTGGTGCAACTAGAGGGGTATTGTAATTGTATAATCAAATAAGTATTGATAATATAGTAACCACAATGATGGTGTTTTGTTCTAAATACATGGGGCAAGTCATTTAAGCTCATTGTCGGCTCAATAAAAAGATACTGCTTAGCCAATAGGGGCTAGCCACTACAGCTGAGCTGTAGTAGCAACTTGCTATTCAGGGTCATTACACTTAAATACTTGACTAGCACCCTATATCTTGCAAATTGTAATTGTTAAAAAAGAATTAATATCAACATCCTACTTTTAAAAGATGTTAAATTAACTAGTTCAACTTATCACTTAAGTAGAACTTATTAAACTGACTGGAGGTCAAAACAGAACTCAGTTATCTTGGTTCAAAAAATGTTTGAAATCCAGCATGGTTTTGTCACTTCCTGTTTTGTCATTTCCTGTTAAGGTGTCACTACAGTAAATCATTGAAAAATATTGAAAAAAAATCACAAAAGGCACAAAATCGCAATGTCATCTGGGGTACATATCGCCATTTTCGAACAAATTAGCCCATATAATGACTATATTTCTGCATTCCCCTATATATAACCTTCATCTTGACACCATATTTAACATAGGGTTTGCATCTCAATTATTAAATATCACTACGCCAACATACGGACTAATTTTTAGGTAAAATCCTAGCTTTAACAATGAAAATTATCGAATAAAGTAGTTCCAGTTTACAGGACCATATTCTTGCGATTTTTTTCTAAAAATGGCACATTTAGAAAGTATTTGGCCTCAGCTTTACATACATACACTTAAACCTACTATACACACCCGAGTGTGTTTATCTCTACTAATTATCCTAAATATTGTGTTTTAATTTGCCTTGATTTCAATGCAACTTTTTGCATAAGATTTCCCATGATGCATTATCATCTCTTGCAAATGTCATGTGATCAATTAGGATTGACACATTTTTTACACTGGACCTCTGAATATACTTAGATCTAGGTATGCACATGTTTTTTTACAAACAATCTAGACATTTTATCCCCGTTGTAGGCTGAGTCACATCAGACTTCCGAATGAATATTTCAGATTTCTAAATTTCATCACATGTCAATCCCAGATCTCGTGTAATACATCATGCACCATTTTTAGGAACTAGATTAAAATGTGAACATGGGCCCATGATAGTAGATCTAGTAAGTCTATGGAATAAAGTAAGAATAACTTATTAACATACATATTTACAAGACCTACTCCTTGTTAACTGTTAAAAATAATAAGAACATAACTTTGACGTATGAGTGTTACCTGATGAATGGGACCCTCACATGCCTTCTAAATGGTAGTAAACGAACGCTAGTGTAACTACATCAGCTTATCTTTCCGTCCGATCAACAATAAGTACAGTTATACAAGAAATGTAAACGAAGTGAAAATATTTCCAAAACTTTTCCGAAAGGCATGTCATTTCCGGAAGTTATGATACGTTATATTACCGAACATGCGTGAAAATGGAACTTTTGTTCGTTCATTTTACGAGAGCTAAATAAAATGCGAACATCCAAGCATCGGGTATGACTCCACCATTGTTTGCCGTTTTACTACTTGCCACAATCAACCTCACTGCCAGCATATCAAACAAGGCCCATTTTCCATCAAACTTGGCCCAACAACTATCAGGCGGATGTCCTTGAAAAATCAAGTTGATATGGTAAAAGTAAAACTTCGAAAAAGCACTATTTTTTACTTTTGAATCACCTATTATCGCCCAAATGGCTATATTTTTTTCAAGGTCAAGGTCGCCATGCTAAAAGTTGAATTACGGAGATAAATCTGCTCTTCAGACAATGTTTGATAGCTTTTCTTCACCACGGAACAAAGATCTTTGCGCTGGTATGCCCATTTCCATGAGATAATATACGTGAAGGAGGAACAATGTCTTTAAATTTCATCAAAACTTTATGCCAACCCGTGAAAAGGCCATTTTCGCGCTACTTTTGGTGTAATAATGCCATCGAAAAAACATTCCATTTAAACCCATGTTCGGTAATATAAGGTGTTATTACGGTAAATATCACTTCCGGGTAGGAAGTGTTTTTTATTAATACTTTAAAACGAAGCAATGCCAACTTCAATGGTGTGTATAGTAGGTTTAAGTGTATGTACTGTGGCCATTTGAGGTATGTATGTAAAGCTGAGGCCAAGTACTTTCTAAATGTGCCATTTTTAGCAAAAAAATCTCAAGAATATGGTCCCGTAAACAGGAACTACTTTATTCGTTAATTTTCATCGGGGAAGCAGGGATTTTACCTAAAAAGGAGTCCCTATGTTGGTGTAGCGATATTTAAAAATCGAGACACAAACCCTATGTTAAATATAGTGTCAAGATGAAGGTTATGTATAGGGGATTGCAAAAATATAGTCATTGTATGGGCTAATTCTTTTTGAGATATCAGCGTCCATTTATTGTAACTTGCTACCATTTCCTCAATCCTGCGATGATGGGCAAACGCGTAGTAAACATGCTCACGCCGGAACTACTTTGACCTGCATCACTATTTTCGTTATTCAAATGAACTCCTCTTTATTTTGATACCAAATAGAGTCATCGGGTCATACCTTTTGGCGGATGGATATGGAACCTCACACCAGAACTTGAATTTTGTGATTTTTTCAATATTTTTCAATGATTTACCGTAGTGACACCATAACGTATCATAACTTCCGGAATGACATGTCTTTCGGAAAAGTTTTGGAAATATTTTCACTTCGTTTACATTTCTTGTATAACTGTACTTATTGTTGATCGGACGGAAAGATAAGCTGATGTAGATCTAGTTACACTAGCGTTCGTTTACTACCATTTAGAAGGCACGTGAGGGTCCCATTCATCAGGTAACACTCATATGTCGAAGTTATGTTCTTATTACTTTTAACAGTTAACCAGGAGTAATAATTTGCAAACCTACCTTATAAACGTGGCAATACTACGATATTTCTATGAATCAGAAAATCAAAAAGTTGCCAGAAAATTTTTGTCAGATTTAAAAATCCACCCACCTGGTTCGCCTTGTTGAACTGCTTCTTCAGTCCTGCCAACGACATTTCGACTATTTGATGCTGTACTCCTATATATCGTTGTTATGCTGTAATGATTAAAGATACATAGGGCTCGGGAATTCCAGCAAATTTGTCACAAAACGAGAGAAAATATCGACTTCCTACTTTGTTTTCGATGGTCACGTGACGTCACTCTTTCCCTATACGGACTGACTAGTCTAATTCTGAATTTTTTTTAATAATTGTAAATAATTTATAATTACTGTACAAGAAAATAATCAATTAAATAATGATATAGACAGAAAATATCTATGAGATTTTAATTTCACTAATTTGACAAATTATTAAACAACCAATCAAAATCTTGCAAACCCGATTTTTATTTGGACCTTTCCCGCCAACTTTGAAGACAACAAACTTTTTTCTAACTTCTTTTTAATTTTATTTGAATGCCACATCTTACACATTTTGGTGTTTTCTGATATGCTTGGCGATTGTACAGCATCTCAAGGACCGATTCAGACACATACAAGTGCAACGATGTCGACAGAGGGTAAGTATACAACTTTTTACGTAGCTATCATTTTTTAGGATTTGCAACTTTCCACCACCGTTTCAAAGCATTTTTTCTCAACAATTAGGCCTAGAGGCTAGCAAACAAAAGTCAATTCATTTAGAATAAAGTATATTTTTCATGTCCACGTTGTGATCTCCCTTTTTTGATGGATCAATAACAGGGACGTGCATAATCTCTACCTGTGTGGTTGAAAGGTGATAAAGGGTAGCCTAGGCCTAAAATCAACCCCAAATTTATGGGGGTAGATCTAGAGTTACTCGAGTCTCTAGCCAATACTTTGCTAGAGGGGATTTCATCTGGAATGCGTAAACTCTATTTGAAAAAAGCTGGCCGGGGTGTCATAAATTACAGTGCTGGTATATATTAATTGATCAGTCGTTTAATTGGCATATTTTCTTGAATTTTAACATTTAATGTCCCAAACTCCCACAAACTGCAGAAAAGTATACCCCATAAATCATATTTACCAAAATGAGTGTCTCCAAGGCTTCACACCAGCGTATGCATAATGCATTTTTCACGAGTTTGAGCTGAAATTTCGCCAAAATGAAGTAGGCTAAGGGTAGTCTCTGCCAGGTTTGTTTATTGTGGTAAGCTTGTAAGTGCTCGGAAGCAAATAATTCACGTGCGCAAAATAATCAAATAATCTAATTGGTCTAAACTTTGCTGCACATGCGCACAATGTGTGCCATGTTTTTTCTAGTGATTTCGTTTCGTTTCATGGAGTTTGCGTTTCAGTGTAACTTCCGTAAAAATGGCCGACCATGGACAGAATTAACAGGTAAAATCACTTCGAAATTTCAAGAGAACTTTTTACCTATAATTGCAAAACTTTTGTTTTATTTGTGCATTCTATCTATCAGATAAGAGTTTCAGGGGTATGTAGGCAAATTCATTTTGGTAGGAACGCTCTTTTTAGTTTGAAAACGCACCCTATATTATTATATATCAGCACTGTAATTGAATATTTTAAAAATCGCCAGATAAATAAATCATTAATCAAACCGGACCCAGCTCGGCTCCTTGATGAGATATGACATGATTTTGACAGGATTTCGTCTAAAATTAAAACAAAATGGCTCCAACAAAAATGGCGATGTTCGAAAACTGGACGAAATGTCGTTAACGTCTGACATTAGTAACTGGCTGTAAATTCTAAGTTAGCGATCCAGAAGATGTGAACTAATACACTGATCACTTTATGTGTGTTTTGGAATTTTTGGTGAGGTAATAAGACCAAAACTCGCAATTCAAATTGTGATGTGGAAAAATGGCGGACATATGATTTCAAATTTTATGATTACGACATGACCAGTTGTTCATGCAGGTATATATCTGTACTGGAAGGCCACGATACAGTGGCCTTAGAAGAAGGTAAATCTAGAGCTAGTCTAGGTTTTTGATTGGCTGAGAAAAAGAATTCCCTGCATTGACTTCAACATGGAACCATTGTGACCGCTTGAGACAATTCATTATCTGCCTTGAAGATAAACATATTCCCCCTTGGTATAACCCCCGGGGGGTTCACTGTGTACAAAATTTGGCAGGGGTTCTAGGCTGAACCAGTCCAAAGTAGAATATTTCCTGGGAAAAAAGCTATTTTTTTAAACTGAAGAAGGTCCCAAGAAGAAGGACGATCTTTGAGGAAAACGAACCAATACAACCTTATATTAGGATATGTGTAACTACTAGACCAATTCCATACCATAATTGTGAGATAACTTATTTTCCATGACCATTCTCATACCAGAAAGTTGAAAAATCTGACCATTTCCATCCCTCAAAAGTTTAATGAGGGGGCATTCTCATACCACATCCTAAAATTTGGGTCCATTGCCATACCAAATGTCCAAAAAGGTACCCCATGTGCGCCGAGGATCCCCGTCAAGGTTTATATACAGTGAACCCCCCGGGGTATAACCTCCATAGTTAGAATATCCAATTGATTTCCTTACAATTGTTTGCAACCCGTTTGGGCTAGTTGAAAGCCCATGGTTTGGGTTAACCCCCATGTTTGGATTTAGACGTAATGACTCTACCCATTTTGTTGTTTTTAGCAGCAGTGAAGTGCCCTAATATTACACAGGGAACATATCAGTCTACATGTACATTATTTTCCGAATGCGGTCTATTCCAGGAGAATATGTCTGACTTCGAGGCTCTTATTTTGAGATCAACCAGCTTTTACAGTAAAATTTTAAATGTTTGAGATTTAAAAACTAACCAATCAAATGACCACATTGCAACAGTATGTGAAATAGAAACATGTACAAGGCCTAACTTCAGTATATTTCAGATAGATGTATAATGTGCAGCAAAGCTATGGCCTTTTGTAATTTAGGGAGTTTTATCCATGTTTACTTTTTCGAAAATAACATGGGAGAGAAGCATCAAAATATAAGAGGCCACACATATGATAGTCAAACTACATAACAAATTAAAATGTACAAAAGTTAAGCCATGTATAAATGTTTCTATTTTTACATATACTGTTTCAGGATGGTCCTTTGATTTAGTGCTGCAACTGCAGGCCATCCAACTGTCCCACAATTTGCGTATTTGTCACGCATTTGCTGAAGAAATTGAAGTCACGCCAGCTTTTTTCACTCAAAATAGTCACCTGTCATCTCAAATTTAGGACTTTCTTATTAGTTTTTGAGTCTATGGTATCTTGTCCCCATCAAATTAGATTGAATAGTTATCCTCTTGAGTATGTTTTATGCAATGTCATCTCATCCTAATTTCAGGGGCTATTATCAGAAGAAGTGAGTAGCTCCCACAATTCTTTCATATTCTATCGTATTTGGGGATTCCCCATTATATGACGTCCAACCAAATTGCAGGATGTGATCACGTGAACAATCATGAGCATTGTACTCATTCAGTGCTGTGCATGCGTAAAGTAACATTAGAAATCGTGGAAATGGCGTTTATTTCAATTAACATCATTTCAACATCATCATTTCAAAACTACGGTAATACTATTGAAGTTACTCGATCCAGACTTGTAGAGAATACTCATAAAACAACAGCGAACATTGTGAGATCCATTTCAATGACAAATGAGGCCTGTTTATACAATTGGTCATCGAACGTGGCGAAAACTGCAGATCATCTTTGGGAAATCTCCCCCCCCCCCTCCCCCTGGGCTATTATCTTTGTCTCTAGTAGTCGTGTGAACATTTCAATGAGTCATCTGTCAACTTAGTTTTGTGCACTGTCTCCTCTCATCCTTTCATATTTTTCATCTTAATTGCAAGGACTGTATGTCTCTGGTAACTGTCATCTGACCATTTGAATTATTTACTAAGAATTATTATTTCACAGACCTCAGGTTGCAATATGTATGTTTTTACATGAATTGTAACATAACCCTATACCCGATCTGTATATGCTTTCGTAACAGAAAAATTCAATGAAGGACAGAAACGCCTAGTATCATATATTAAAATAATATTCTGTTTTTGTCATGTTTCAGAAATAATAGAGGGAATCCCTGCCAGGAATCCATTGTCAAGTCCACCTGCTAAAAGGTTGAAGCAAGGTACGTTAACTCATCTTCTGAACATTAGCCTCATTTTAATATCAGTATTGAAGTAATGGTAAGTAAGATGAATAAAAAAATAAGATCATTTTTTAATTGAAATACATTGTACATGGTGTCTTTCTTCCTCTGAAAAATGAATCAGGAGTTTTAGTTGTAAAAATAATAAATTTTATATATTTTTATCAGACTTTGACATGAGACCCAAATATATTTTCAGCTCGTCTACCATTCCAAGTACTGGATGCAAAATCTCCATTAGTTGCTTCTTCACCAAGTCAAAATAAACGCAAGCTAGTAGATGTTCCAGGCAAGAAAAAACTGGATGACACAAAACCAAAGTTAAAAAAGTCTATATCTGGCAACAGAGAAATACCGATTGAGAGTGGCGATAATGAGGTCAGCTCAAGCAGTGAGGCAGAACCCCTGAACCACAATAAACTTGTGGATGTTAAGCCTCATAAAAAGCCAAGTCTTCTTGAGAAGTTTGTGAGGACTGTCCCAAAACAGGAAGAAGTGACTACATCTGCTCCTGATCTAGTTGAAGCGATAGAATCAAATGATGAAATCAAAGAGGAGAATATTATATTGAATAACGAAAAATTAGAACCTTTAGACTCTGTAGCAGATACAATCGAATCAGTCATATCTGCAAGTACTATGGATACAGTAGATTCTACAATTGAATCCATTGTTTCAAGTGGAATTGAGGAACCGAATTCTACTAATAACCTAACTAAATCAACAACTGATATACCCAAAGCAACAATTGATACACCCAAATCAACAACTGATACATCCAAATCAACAACTGATACACCCAAATCAACAACTGATACACCCAAATCAACAACTGATACACCCAGATCAACTCATTCAACCCCTGTCCAGCACCGACCCATATCATCCTTCTTCAGTTCTCCTAAGCCTACTAGCAATACTGCAATCAAATCTATGTTAGAGAAGACACCAGGTTCAACACATGATAAAACTCCTTTATCTAACAGCCTTTTAGAGACCCCTAAATCCAGCAAAACATCCCCAAGGAATACTGAAGATGCTCCAAGCACAAGTGAGGTTGATGCCCCTAGTACAATTCAAAGTAACACACAGGAAAGCGACACCCCTAATAATGAGCTTGATACATCATCTAATTCTAAGGTATTGCTTTCTGTTTGCTTGTTATTGATAAGGTTTTGTAGTACCACAGTTAAGCGGTGAGAACTATATCTCATTTTCCCAAAAGGAAATAGCTACAAAAGGCAGTTCATTAGGTTAAACAATTTAGTTTTAACTGTAGGGAATTAAATAAAAAGATCAACAAAACATGATCTACTTTTAGCGTAAGGGAAGTTAAATATGAGCCATGAACCAAATACAGCACACTGTTTTAGTGAGATGCTAAAGAGTCGTAACTTGACATTAAATATAAGTAATTTTACCATGGTTTAAATTTGTTTAACTTTCAGACCCCTAACAGTGGTAAGAAGGCAAAGTTAGCTGTTGATAGACAGAAGAAAAAGGAGGAACGGGTATGTTGAATTCTTTCTTTCATATGATGGATTGACCAGATTTGCTACAATTGCATCCAATTAATTGGTACTAAAATAACTTTCTGAGCCATATCTGGGGAATTATTGGTTCACTTTGCATTAAAATGTTCAAGTCCAACTAGAAGTGCGGATAAAAGTTCTTGAAAGTATTAAAAATGGAAAATGACTTTTTAATAAAGGTCTATATTTTGTCATGATAATGACAACATTGAAAAATAGTCAAATTATGGCTGTCAGTTCAACTGAAACCACTATACCATGTGAGCCTACTAGGGGTGAGACGACAACCCGATGAGTCGAGGACTCGCGGGTTTGGGGCTTCGAGTCGAATCGAGTCGAAGTTGATGAATCGAATCATTTTCGAGTTGAGAAATAATTCGAAAAAATAAAAAAATTCAGAAAAATACTGTCAATATGCATGTTTTTACTCGATATTGCGTTGAATATATAAGTTTCAATGACTTGGATATGCTTGTATTAAATTATTATATTGTATGTACTCATAAATGAAAGAATATATGTAGTAAAATCAGAATAAACTTACGACGAATTGTGTTTTTTATATTTCCGGCTTTCCACCATTGACGCATTAAAAATACGAACGGTCAAAAGCGATGTTGTTCGCACTTTCGCGACTCGAAACGGATTCGAAACTCGAATCGTCATTTTCTGACTCGAATCGAATTCGACTCGAATCAGATTTTTTCGACTCGTCTCACCCCTAGAGCCTACCCATGGTATTACTTACATGTATTCATAAAGTATGCAGAGCCTGTGGATATGATACACTTTTATAGAAACATGAAATTTTAAGAACTGAAATATTCAAAATTGAATGGTTTGTTTCAAGGAAAAAGAGAAACAAGAAAAGCTGAAGAAAAGAGAAGAGGAGAAAGCGGAGAAAGAAAAGCTTCGTCTGGAAGAAAAGGTAGGAATATTTTGAAATATCTTCTGTATTTTCCAAATAAGGCAATGGGAGGCTAGACATATCAGTATTATTCTGAAATTTAAAATTCAGGATATACAAATGTGTAAAGCAATAATGATGTCTAAATTACATATCTTTATCATTTTTGATATCTTACAGGAGCGTAAAGAGAAAGAAAAAGCAGATGCTAAGGCTAAGAGGGACCAGGAGATACAAGAGAAGAAAGAATTGAAGGAGAAGGAACGATTAGAAAAACTTGCAGAAAAGGAGGAAGAGAAAAAAAAGAAACAAGCCATAATTGAGTGAGTGTTTAGATTTAAGCTCAAATTATTATTTTAATACATTCCAGTGAAGATTCCATAGAAATTTTGATTATATCCGGACTTGTTGAAAATCTGTTAGCATCCTGAAAAACAGACCTCTGTATCTATCTTTGACAAAGAACAACATTTATTCAGTTGTGAACAATCGGGACAATGTTTATGGCGTTTGAATATCAGACCAAAAAGCCTATGTATTATTGTACAAGTAAAACCTTTGATCAAAATGTGTTAACTTAAGAAGCTAGTTCTGCTCTAGGTCTCAAATTTATGTAGCCGAGCCCCCAAAATAAATTAATATGTGAATCTACAATGTTTTAGTGCCAAAAATGAGGAAAAGCGAAAGAAAGAAGATGAGAAAAAGCAGCTTGAAGAAAAGAAGAAACGAGATGAGGAGGAAAAGGTTTGTAGACCTAATATTTAAAATTTGAAATAAAACAAACCTCTTAGAGCAGGTTTTGTCCTCATTCACGAGTCAATCACGACCATTGCAATAATAAGCATCTTGGTCAATTATCAATGTTTCCGTGAAATGAATATTTGGTATATTTTTATATAAGGGGGAGTAAAAAGGTAGAAAAACACAGAAAATGGAAAAAATCTTGAATATTGAGTTGAGAAAAATGTATGTCTATGTTCTGTTAAGATTTACAAGGGTCTTGCGTTTTGACCCTGACCCTAGATGAAGTATAAATATTGTGTGATGCCATGAATAATTTCTTCATCAGAAAAAGAAGGATGAACAGACAAAGAAAGCTTTCTTTGGAGCCTTCTTTAAAGCTGCCCCTAAGATAGTGACAGCCCCAAAGGTTGAGTCCCAGGGGCCATTCATGCCATTTCAAGTCAAGAAACATATGAAGATGGCAGCCAAACCACGTCCCAAGCTGGAAAACACAGAGGAGATGGACAGCATGATGTCATCACAAGTAGGTCTTGCTTTGAAACCCCCTGAAAATGCACAAAGTAGTGAAGTCAAGACAAAATTGATTCTTTTTAGTGTATTTACATGCCTTTTGTCCTATTTGGCCATGTTTTGGGACTGTGTCTTAGATTGTAGTCTTTTGTGGTCTCTCCCATTATTTACACAGAGTGCACACTAAATTCTCATTTTGAAGAGGCTGAAAATGGTTTTTGGTGTGGATGCAAGCCTATTTTCAAAATCTCAAGTGGGTTTGGGTCCCAACTACATCAAAGCTGGAGGGATCACTGATGTATTTCATGTAGATTCGTTGTACAATTGTAACACATTTTCCATACAACATCGGAGATGCAATAATTCTTCAGTTATGTACCCCTCTAGCCAGATTTCCAACAATATTTTAGAGAATTTTATACTTACATTGCAATACTTAGTATTAAGTACAAATATCATCCCAATATCTTATAAATACAATGATTTGAATATAACATTACCTCACTACTTTAATACTTTACTTTTCCAGGACTCAAAGCAGCTTTACCTTGATTTGTTGAAATCAAAAGGACACACAGCACTGAAGGGCATAAAGACTTGGCCATGGTAATGTTTTGTTGTTGTTTTTGCTAACATTGAGTAAGCTCTGTCCAATGCTCACTCCAATGGACTGTCAGTTCTGTCCAACTTGATTGCAGCTCTTAAACTCAATGTCAGATATACAACCCAGAACGATGTAACATTCTAAAATTAAAAAAGATTGTAAGCCAAAGCTGATTCTCATTTTTCAAACCTGCCTGTATAGTCTTTTAGTGTCATAAGTCCATTTGTCATCTCTAAACACCAAGTGTCAGGTCTGTCAAATAAAGTGTCATATTTGAGTATTTGTCCAATAAGATGTAAGTCTCTTACCTCAATTCGTCTCGGATCTTAAGTCCTAGTTCAGCAACATGTGATCTTTGAAAAAAGTTATGTGAATGATGACATTATATGTAAATGATGCCATTTCTGAAAATTTTGTCTCCAAAATTATTGGATGGATTGAGATAATAAAATTTAAATAGACTAAAATATATTTCAGGCCTGAGGACCAAAAGGATGAGGTGGTTGAAGTAGGGGCGAAGGGGGTCAAGCGCTACATTCATGTGAAATTCCTGAAGTTCCGTGGAAATGAGGATAACCATTTCAGGCCTGCCTACTATGGTACATGGAAGAAGACATCTAAGCATGTCACTGGGAGAAATCCTCTAGGATTAGACAAGGTATGGCGTTTAATTGAATTACAGTTTAGGAGTGCTGAGTTAAAGAGGGATAATATTTGAACCTTGAACATAATATCAATATGCAAGCTTATGTGTCAAAAATTCAGCTTTATAATAAAAGTCAAATTGCTCATTCACCTTGACTAATATTTCAGGGTGTAATTGATTAATATTTCAGGGTGTATTTGATTAATATTTCAGGATCTTCATGTATTAGACTTATATTTCAGGATGCTTTGACTTATATTTCAGGATGTTATTGACTACTTTTTCAGGATGTGTTTGACCAATATTTCAGACTAATATTTCAGGATGTATTTGGCTAATATTTCAGGATGTATTTGGCCAATATTTCAGGATGTATTTGACAATATTTTAGGATGTATTTGACTAATATTTCAGGATGTATTTGGTTAATATTTCAGGATGTATTTGACTAATATTTCAGAATGTATTTGACTATGAGTATGACAGTGATGATGACTGGGAAGAGGAAGAACCTGGTGAGAGTTTGTCAGACTCAGAGAAGGAAGATGATGATGCCAAAGAAGAGAAGATGGAACAGGATGATGAGGAAGATGATGGATTCTTTGTTCCCCATGGCTACCTCTCAGATGATGAGGGAGGAGAGAGTGCTGATGAAGACGTATGTAAATTTTGGGAAAGTTTGGGTTAACAGCCATCATTTCATTTTTGATTAATTATGTTTTATTCACAATGCCATTTTTTAAGTCATAAGCATATACTCAGGGAACTATAAAATACTTTTTTGTGTTTCTAGTCCAGCCCTGGTAAGATGAAAGCACGGCAGTTACTGAAAGCAAAGGCATTTGACAATGATATGAAGAAGAAATGTGACAAGATGAAATCTTTGTGTATGGGCTGCGTGTACTTGGATCAGAATATACAACAGACCATTCTAGACACTCTGCAGCAATTTGAGGTAAGGTTTGGTCCCCATTATATGGCATTATTTCACCCCTCCTCCCATTCTTAGATCTCAGATGGGCAATATCCAAAGAGGGATTCAATTCTTACAGTAAATAGTAAATAAATGAAATTGTTGATGGTTTATTGTGTCACCACCAGAAGTGTTGACATATTGTTATAGTCTCCAACTTTTTGTGAAAGTCGATTAGTGTTCAGCACTTGGTGTCTGTGACAAATTCTTTCGGTGTCTGTAACAAATGGCAGGTGATGTAAATGCCTTGTTTCTGAATCTAAACTAAACATTACAGGCATGTAGTTTACTGGGCGACTTCAGTGCCCCTATACCAACAGAGCTAAGTGGAGGCATGAAGAACCTCACATTGGATGATCCAGAAGCACGTAGCAGAACACCTACTGTTGATGATCTCAATTCATCTGCAAATTCTGGAGTGAAGCACGGTAGCAAGAAACCTGTACCAGATGAAGGTGAGTTTCAGTTAAAGCAATCTTTTGTGCCTGGCATTCTGAATTCAGTGTCAGTGGTATTGTTTTTGGGCTTGTTCAAGAATTGTAAAGGATTTTTAGAAAAAAATCTACCGATCAGCAAGATGTAAAAACCTTTAATGAATTTAAAATGCATCCAGGTCATATATCTTTAGAAATTGAAATTAGAGAAATGTCTGAATCCTTTAGAAACTATTGTCATTTTTAAAGAAAAGATCGGAACATCTGTGAGTGAGTTTTCATAACTGTACCAGGAAAAAGTTGACTATTGCATAAACTTTAAGGAAATTCAACTCAAGAATATTATATATACATGTGTACTATGTCTTGTTTTCATTTTGCAGCCTTACCTGACTTGATTCGATTAGTACATATGAGTACACAGGGTTGTAACAAGCTCAAGACAGAATTCAAAGAGTTCTGGAAAAGAAAATGCATGGGAACATTGGAACAGGCAAGTGGATTAATGTGTTTTAAGAGAAGGATTCGTGTAGGTGTATTACTTGAATTTTCTCATATACAGGGTGTCCAATAAATAAGGTGAAAGATATTGTAACTTTCTTAATATTGCACCAATGTTGATGAAGTTTTCAGAGTTTGTAGGCCAAACATTTTTACATTTATACTGTGAATTTAAAGCTTCTTCTATTTGATTGGCCAGAGTTGTGGTTGCTATAGCAACCGAAACAACAAAAAGGCGGGGCAAGTTTGTTTATGTCATAACTTTCCAAAACATATTTATTCTTTCTGATAGCTTAATTCATACTCCCAGGTCTATTTCTACCAAAAATACAATATAAAAACAGTCCTTAAGTCCCATTGTTATGAAAATAAGCTATTCAACATAATGTCCATCTCTAGCTATACATTTCTTATGCCTACTCACCCACTCTCTAAACACACTTTCAAACCCATTCTTGCCCATTTCCTGAAGTCTTGCTAAGACATGTGATCTGAGTTCACACACAGCTATGCTCACTAGTGAAACTATAAGGGTACTGGGGCTACCCCTACTTGCACACCTTCCATATTCCCTAGACCGTGCACTCAATGACTTTTACTTATATGCAGAACTCAAGCGTGACTTGAGAGGAAATAAATTTGGAAGCACTGATGAACTCAGATCACATGTCCTAGCAAGACTTCAGGAAATGGGCAAGAATGGGTTTGAAAGTGTGTTTAGAGAGTGGGTGAGTAGGCATAAGAAATGTATAGCTAGAGATGGACTTTTTGTTTCCGTTGCTATAGCAACCACAACTCTGGCCAATCAAATAGAAGACGCTTTAAATTCACAGAATACAGGTAAAAAGGTTTGGGCTACAAAGTCTGACAATTTCATCAAGATTGGTGCAATATTAAGAAAGTTACAATGTCTTTCACCTTATTTATTGGACACCCTGTAAAGCATGAGGTAAATGAATACCCTATGAACAAACCATACATTGTACCATGTGTCTTCTTAAGAGAGGTTTCAATGAATCAGTCAGTGTTTACTGGTGTTCAAATGTCAAAAGTTGTGCATAGGATAGGAAGAACAAAGTTAATTTTATTAGGATGAAGGGGGAAATAACGAAAATTTCAAGTGAAAGGCAAATCACCATTTTCATCTCATTATACATTATGGAGGGAGGAGAGTTCACCATAATGAAATTTACTTCAATTTGTTCAGTTTTCTGAGGGTTAAATGAATGTATTGATTATTATGTCCCACCACATAGTGTGGGGCCATATTGTCGGCCTAGGCGCGTCCGTCCGTCTGTCCGTCTGTCTGTCCGTCTGTCCGTACGTCCGGCAGTTTTCTCCAAAACCGCTACAGATATCACCTTCAAATTTTCAGGGATAACTTATGAGTGCATACAGATGTGGATGAAAAAAAATTAACTCGATACCTACTTCCTGTCGGCCATTTTGAAGTCAAATGCTAAAATCCTTGTCTGCAAACTTTAAGAAAAACTGCTTCACAGTTGCTTTTAAAACTTTAACATCTTGTTCAGCTCACTTCATTCTAGATCTGATTAGGTTTTGGACCTGCTAGCTCAGTCATGTCAGCCATTTTGAATGTCTTAAGAAAAGTTAGCGCGCGATAATACTTTGTATCATATTGAATGGTGTTTTTGAGTTTTCATACTTTAACTATTTAGTAGCTTTATAAATAATTTCAGATGTACTTTGCTGTAAAAGCCTACTTTATTGTTAACAGTAGTTATATGTGATAATTTTGTAAAAAGAAATCAGCAAAAACTCATAAGGACTTTTTTATTGTCGGCCATTTTGGATTTTTCGGTCCTAAAATCTTGTCTGTGAAGTCTTGTCTGCGCGTTTTCAGGTGAACCGTTTGGTGGATCAATTTCAAATTTTCAGGGATGATTCTTAGTATAAAAATCTAGATCTCATTAGTTTTTTGGCATTCTGGGTAAATGTCAAGGCAGCCATTTTGGATTTTCCGTCCTAAAATCTTGTCTGTAAAGTCTTGTCTACTCGTTTTCAGGTGAATCGTTTCGTAGATCAATTTCAAATTTTCAGGAATGATTCTTAGTATGAAAATCTAGAACTGATTAGTTTTTTTGCATTCTGGGTAAATGTCAAGGCAGCCATTTTGGATTTTCCGTCTTAAAATCTTGCCTGTAAAGTCTTGTCTACGCGTTTTTAGGAGAACAGTTTGATAGATCAATTTCAAATTTTCAGGGATGATTCTTTGTATGAAAATCTACATCTGATTACTTTTTTTGCATTCTGCGTAAATGTTAAGGCAGCCATTTTGGATTTTCTGTCCTAAAATCTTGTCTGTAAAGTCTTGTCTACCCGTTTTCAGGTGAACCGTTTGGTAGATCAATTTCATATTTTCAGGGATGATTCTTGGTATGAAAATCTACAAACAGATTAGTTTTTTGACATTCTGTGTAAATGTCAAGGCAGCCATTTTGGATTTTCCATCCTGAAATCTTGTCTGTAAAGTCTTGTTTACATGTTTTCTGGTTAACTGTGTGACGGATCAATTTCCAATTTTCAGGGGTGGTTCTTAGTATGAAAATCTAGAACTGACTAAATTTTTGGCATTCTGGGTAAATTTTAAGGTAGCCACTTTGGATTTTCCGTCCTCAAATTGTGTTGGTAAAGTCTTGTCTACTCATTTTCAGGATAACCATTTCACGGGATCACCACTTGGTGGGGACATTTTGTACACATTTGTGTTCTTGTTTTCAAATGTGAAGCTCAATAATTTTTGTTCACATATTTTGATCTATTGAATTATGCGGCTATCTAGACAAACAGGAAAGTCCTTTTTGTCTTTATAAATCATATTCAAAGTAACATTTGATAAATAAGGTGATGTTTTGTTCTTGTAGAAGGTCCCTGTGGCCACAGATTCCAATGAACCTATGGAAATAGATGGAACTATCACTCCTGGGACTTGTCAATCTCCAGTCCCCAATGGTCCATCTCCTAGACCTGATAACTCCAATTCGCCACAAAATGATCAATCCACAACTTTAGACATCGGAACCACTCAGGAATATCTGATTTCAAACAGGCAGCTGGAGAAGACAATTCGTTCTATTGCAGTGTGGGAAAGACGAGAGGATGTGAAACGTCTTTGCTGGAATGTAAAGCAAGATATCCTCGAAATGCATAACCTCACTGATTTAATATTCCCAAATGAATGGGTTTATTGCACCAAGAAAAATAAAGCAAAGGAGGAGACTGGTAGGAATACACCTGGAGGAAAACCTACCAAAGTAACCACTCCCACCCCCAAGCCAACTACATCCACCACCCCCAAAGCTAAAAATTCTATTACTCAATTTACGGTCACCCTGCCCCCACCTAAGGAAACAGGCCCTGTGAATCTTGTAAAACCTAAACCAATTCCTGCTCCTCAACAGTTTGTCTCAAATATGGAAAGATTTCAAGCAATGAAAAAGATAACAACCTCCCCTGGTAGTCTAGGATGTACACCCCTTAGCCAAACAGCCACGGGGTCCTCACCTTTGAATACAGGAGCTTTGGCTAGCAATATAATAACCTCTTTAGCACAAAGACAAACATTATCAGTTAAACCAGTTCAACATAAAACTATGCATGGCAACCCTATCGTAATGGCCGTGAAGCCAGTGAATAAACCAAATGCCAATAACTTGCATCCAGCTTTTAAAAAATGTCTTAATAAGGCACCTGACAAGACTCAAGAACCAGCCCAAAAGTTTTATATATCGAAGCCCAAGGCGCCGGAAGTCTATGTAATACCTCAACAACCAAAACAGCAGTATAGAATCATGGAACAGGAAAGGGAGGTGATTTTTCTGGGAGATTCACCCATTAAGCAGGGCCCTAATGCAGCCAAATCTAGTTAGTAGAGTGCAGTGATACATTGCAGTAGACCAGATTCACATGTTGAAATTTCATTCATGTTCATACATCATAAATCACAGTCTATTGCACAGTCACAAGAAATGGTGATCTCTGCTTTTACATGGAAATTGATTTATTTTCTTAAGCCTGTGCTCTAGACTACAAAGTAAAAGTTAAATACGTCATCGATCTGTTAAGTATTGCTGTGTAATGTTACATCTTTTCATGAGTTTTCAACAAATAAATGACATAGCAAGTGATTCAGAGTCATATCTTTGACCATGAGTCTTCTCATCATAAATATGACATTTCTCGGCAAAATATATGTTTTCTCCAATCCGCAAAACCATGGATTAGGACCCTATCTCAACACATTTTTCAAAATGTTATTTCTAAGAAGATAATCTTGTTCTTCTCCTTTTTATTGCATAAATAGATAATACCTCTACAAAGTTAGAATGGTGTTGAAAGTTTAATTTGGTGACCAAAATTAGGCTGAAAACAATGGACAGCATGTTTTTCCCTACAGGAAAGGAATGTGTTGTTTTCCAAATTCATCCCATTTCACCGTCATTGCCTTTTCAGCAGTTAATACTGACAAAGTGCAGAAGAAACTAATGATATCAGGATGTAGTGAAATGAGAAAAGGAAAATAAGTCTGACATCTTGAAGTGTGTAGAGATGGAGTCCGTAACAATGGTTTATTAGAGATTTGAATTCTTAATAACTATTCAATGTGTCAGTATTTCATAATTCCCTTTTACGTGTTTCCCAGGAATGCTGTTTTTGTTTGTTTCTTATCTACCATTTGATAATATCAGTCTGAACACATGTTTCTTAGTTCATATCTTTTTCTTATTCATCTTATAGGCCTAGATTAGAAATGTAAGTAAATTAAAAACAGACCACCACCATAGGAAAACTCTTTCAATTTCAATTTATTGTTAAATAATACACATGGTTTACATAATTAGACGTAGTAGATAGCATCATTTTAAGACGATTATACCCACACATACAAGAACAGAATATGGTGTACAAAAAATATCTTAAATCTTGATCTGAAGTATTGTAAAATCTTTGAAAGTTGAATTATTTTAACAGGTACCAAGGGTGCTCCAATAAGACATGTTATACTGTGTTAAGGCTATTCTAAGCTGAGGGTTGAGTCAGATAAATGTTGGGAGTAAGTCAAATATGCAATAATGTAAATGTATCATGTAAATATTGTAATATGATAGAATGGATGTAGAGCAGTTAAAAGGTAGAAAAGTACTAACAATTTGAACTAAGGCAGTTGTTTGACAAAGAATGAATGTGGATATATTTTGAAGGTTTAAAACAAAACAATAACTCTTGGCCATGAATGCCTGAGTATCATCTCAATTTGAAAGATTTCTTGTAGATTGTGTTGTAGACTTGGTACACTAATATTTAGCAGTAACGTTCTTGTACATTGACCTCTTAAATGAATGCTATTCTGTCATATGGTATTTGAAGGAATACTATAGATAATTCTAAAAAATGTTTCATGTCTTTTACAAAAACCAATATGAAATGAAATTAATCATATTAGAACAAGATCAATGACATAATCATCTTATTATAAGACTGATATCAGATTTCTGTATATCGTTTCAGTTACATCATTAAAACAGTTTAGAATAGAAGTAGAGATACTCAACCCTCTCACTGGTAATAGGCAAAGGTAAAAGCCCCTTTACAGCAGGCTAAAAACTTGTAATTTACATTAAAAACAAAAGTATTTGGGGTGAACAAGTAGATTTTGGTTTTCAGATGAAATGGCTGATATTTTATTTCATTTGTTTTGTTTTTTAGCTTTGTAATGTTTCAAAATCATTTTATTTGAGTTGGTCTTAGCTAGCCATTTGGTGTGGGGTTGTGTTGTCGAGTTGTGGAAAAATGTAACGACTGTAATATTTAACAAATGCAAGTTGTCTGCTGGGCTGGTGAGCAATTGTCGGGCCTTATATATAAGAAAATATTACAAAAAAACAATTTGTCATTTATTTTTAAGAAAGTATGTTCCATACAGCCATTGGGTGAAAAAGATCTCTGTGTTCAAGTGAATGTTATATAGAATTTTATTATACTATTTGTATTATTGTAAAATATATAGTCTGTGCAACCTGATTGCATGGGAATAAATATATTGACTATGAAATATTGATTTGTTTCTTGTTTGATTTTTAGTTGAAAGTGGATGGAAAAATAACTCCCCAAAGATCAAAGCAACTTTTAAAGTTACATGCACATGTAGCCAGGCATGATAAATCAAATTTCAGCCAGTATTTCAGAACTGTATTTCAAATGATATGCATTCTTAATTTTACAACAAAGTGTATGGGTATTTTTAGAACAAGTGAAATGGATTACCCTCATCAATTTCATAATTTCAAGCTGGTCCTTGAGTGAAAGCAAATCCTATCATAAAGCATGTAAGGAATAGCAAAGCAGGTCAAAATGACAAATTTTGCAAAACCCTCACAAGTTTCCTTGCAAAAATCCTTTTAAGTGATACTGTACAAAAGAAGAGAATTTAAGAACATGACTCGAATTGTGGATGCTTTATGGACTCATGTCTTTTAACCTAGATTTTGAAATCGGGCTGCCACTTTCATTCAAAGACTTGATTCAAGACACATGGTTTAAATCTTAGTACATTTATTCAATGAATCCAGGGCTTAAATCCCTAAAGGTGAATACTGTAAAAATAGAGATGAAACTGCAAGTTGTCTTCCTCATCTTTTTTAGAAAGGACAAATTCCAGGAGCATCTTTAATCTAAAGTAGACCACGTGTGGTGTTAAAATTGATCATCTCTTGGACCATGAATATGCTTTCAATATTTAGAGCATTGTGTTTTCATTCACATAAAAAGTCCCAAGGATAATAAAATATCAATCTTGACTCCCCGAAAAATCATTCACCACACTTCAAGCCTCATCTTTCCAAATTTTCCAAAAGGGTTTTCTGGAAAGATTATCTTTTTCTAATTTTTTAATTTCAAGAGTTCTACGTACATATCAATACAAATTGAATACAATCAATACAATTGCTAATTTCGAAAAAAAATAGAACTTTTGAATTGGGATAAAGCTAAAAAGAACATATTCCATGTAATGATTATTTATTATTTCACCTAATTTTGTCCACCAAAAAGTCATCTTCATATTTACCACTATGCTCTAATATTGAAAGCATATTTATGGTCCAAGATATGATTGTCTAATATCAATTTTATCATGCCTCTCATAAAGTTTTAGATCTGTTTTATCTCTTCATGAAATAAAAATGAGGAAAAGATTATCTTAGATTAATTTTTAAGAAGTAGAAAATGCACTTTTAAAATGATTTTCCAAAAATCGGAACTGGTGAGAGGCACTCATAGCTTTTTCCAAGTCACAACCTATGTTGAAATACAATGTTATTTAAATGTAAGCACAGGTGAAAAACAAGCACCACGAGACCATTTAGCGGCATTATAGCGCATTATTAAAAGGATACAAACTAACAAACATTATTTTCAGGTACACAACTAATTCCGTGTGTCTTCATCCCTCAGATTTGCAAGAGTGCTAAACCCCGGGCATAAATATACTGAAATTATTAGTTATTGTTGAAAAAGGCATGATAACAGTGTCAGTGTGATCGAAAATTATTGTAAAATTGTGACAATGATTTTAGAAAGGCACTGTGAACTAGACTAGATTATTGTTGATCCCTTATGAAATGTTATAGCCTAGAAGGCAAGGCTTACATCTTAACTAAAGTAATTGTTCTATTTTCCTTAAAGTTAATGCTCAGTAGCTGAATCCTTAATTTTGTACACAGTTTCAACACTCATAAGTTCATAACTGCACGCGTATAAAAATTCAGGTATTAACTTTTAAAGATTTGAATTTCCCGATCCAAGTTTTAAAGTTTACGCGCATGCGCAAAAATTTAACTTCCGGTTTATTTTTCAACAAAATAAAAATCGCTGTTTTTCACTAATACATCATTTTTAACTTACTGTCGCCAAGAACTTGAATACGGACTATTCGTCTGGACATTTAAGTGTAAGTATAGTTCTCTTAAAGCCTGGTGATCTTATCTGATTTAACCTTTTTACGTTCAAGCATGGGCATTCTCACAAATGAAAGCTCATGGTTCAAGTCCCGTGGTTCAAGCAAAAAATAATATCAGTTTTGTCTCATCGTCAGTTCTTCTCTCTAATAATGTGAACGGCCTCTCCCTCCAGCCCCCCCCCCCCTGGCTACGGGCCTGACCTATGTTGTGGTAGACTGGAAACAAATATGGTGGACAGTACAAATGATTATAGTCGGAGATTACTCGAGTCTCTAGCCTAAGGCCGAAGAATAAGGTAAGTCGGAGACATTAATTAACCTCAACCATCAAAAGTTGTCACAATGAGCTAAATTCTAGGTTTCATGTCTCAAACTCTCCCAAGCGGTAGAAAAATAATTCCCGCTCACTCTATGTAGCACAATAAATGAATCCAAAGCTTCATACCTGCAGAATGATGGACAAATTCCTACCAAATCGAACAAATGTTTTCATGAATCGACATGTTTGTGATCCAAGGAGGATCGACTCCCAGAATGCAACATCAGTTAACCTTATTTACTCGTGACAGGTTTCAAAATGGCGGAACGGCATCCTGAAAGCTGGCACATCTATGGCACATCTGGCACATCTAATGTTGCATTCTGGGAGACAATCCTCCTTGCAGCGTAATCGGGCTCCAAAATCACCTCTACATTTGAAGAGTTGGCATTAACATGTGAATATCACTTCAAATTTTTAAGTTCCTATTTGTCATTATGGACATTAATTCCACTATTAATTTGTATGTTCCGTGATGGAGAAAATAGAGCACTCAATTCACTGAGGTAAGAATTTATGACATATGTGACAGAATGTCTTTTTTTCATAGTATAAGTCATTATTTATGTTCATCACTTTATTTAATTTGTTGTACTGAACATGGGCTTTCAACTAGAAGGGTAGGCAACTTCCCATATTTCATACATAAGCATTGCCTTTGGGTTTTAAAATTTGGAGAATGTACACATTCCAAGAAAATCTTATTTTGTCCTTTTTATCTAATTGAAAGCCCATGTACTGAACGAATATTGTACTGAACAAAACAAGCAGCCAAGACTTCTCAATAAACCTATGAGATCACACATACTGTAGATTGCAGTAGAATTTTTGCTACATTTAATTGTTTCTTCCTTATGAATAAGCAGCCATCAAACGATGGCAACCTAAAAGAAAAACAAAATGTAATACTAGGAACAAACATGTAAGTATATTTTGTAACATTTATTCAGATATCAGTACATATTATACATTGAAAAAGCAGTATTTCTTCTGGAGTAAATACACCTATTTTTCTATTGGACATTGTCTGACCGAGATCTACGACATTTCAGATTCAGGGAGTAGATAACTAGGCCAGACTGGTTTGGTTATTGCTAGCATAAGAATAAGAAATAATAATTGAATCTATTTTGCCCAAGCCTCCAAGTAAAGGTCAAATCAAATGTAATGTGTCTTTTTTTCCTGTAGCCATTATTGTGTTACAATGTAATATATTCAAGAATTTCATCTATTAATCACACAAAATACACTCTGTAAAATATATCAAAATTTGACAAAAAATAGAATGATCAGTCAAAATTAATTTGACCTGTTCTATGCAGTTTTATGCGCTCACTTATTGAATATGTGCATCATCAATTCTGTGATATTTGCTGTATATGCAGAATCATGTAAACATTTAGGTGACCGTTTATAGTTTCCTCTTACTGGCCAATAGAATAAATCTGGTTTATACCCATCTTTAGGAAACAATTACATCCTGGTACAATTTATGACAATATTTTTTTGTTGAGATGGTGTCTTTTCATTTGTTACATTTGTTTTGACAGCATCACTAGAGTGAGTAAGAACTGTGCCTTGACAATTGTTAGACTTACATGTAGTAAACAGTTTACTGCTACCCTTTATCTCATTCAAAACAGGCCTAGTACACACAGTGGAGATAAAGATGAAAACACCCTGGCTTGCATTCAACACAATGAACATATAAACCAAAGCTTCATGTACAAATGGCCCAATGAATCCAAAGATCCATGTAAAGCCCATTATGATGAAGAGTTTGATATAGACATAAAAATGGGAATTGTTTCCCTTTGAAGCCATTGCTGTTTGTCTCCATGCCTTCTTCAATGAGAGGACAGTTAATATGTACATAATTATGTTGAATATTATCATTACTCCCAATGGCCCTGCAAAAAACACTAATGCAGCATATGGATTGCTCATCTGACATGTGGGAACCTCAGACAGTGAAATTGGCGTGTCAGACATGATGTTTGATGTGTCAGACATGGTGTTTGATGTCTCAGATACTGAATTACCATAGAAAGGCTTGAACTTTGTGTGAATTGACACATGGTCGAATGTAACAGCCAAATATATTACTAGTGCTGGTAAAAACATAGAAATAAAGATGTAAATAATGATTCTTTTCCATCCTTTGTAGCCTAATAGAGTTGACCTAAATGTCAAATACATGTCCATGGCAATGATTGCCATCCAAGTGAAAGATACCAAGAAGAAATAGTGAATCAGAATACCAAGGGCTTTACAAATGCTTGGAAAATCTGTCACTAAAGGACCGATCAAATATAAAATATTGGCAACGCATAATGATAATACAAAGCAGAACTGAATTTTGCCAGCAAATGAATGGTAGATGCTTACAAATACTTGTAAGATAATGCGAATCAACATGCAAACAATAGAGAGTGCCAAACATACTATTGTAACCAGACCCATTAATTTTAAAGACTCAAGGCCAACCTTTTGGTCTTGATTGTTGCTTCTCTGATACAAGACTGTGCCATTTAACCAATCATAACAAGTCAAGAAATTGACCAATTCTACACAAACAGTCAATGTTTCAAATTGAGAAGCTCTGGGACTTTGTTCCTTTGTAGATTCTATGATTTCATATACAGTGTCATTGTGGAATGCATGTAATGTAAAGTTGCTGGTGACTGGGAGTTTCACTTTAAACATTGCCACATATAAACCATTCACTCTGTTGTTATCTGCATCATAGTCTTTTGAAAAGTTATATGATATTTTACCTACACGTTTTTTGGCAAGGGTATTTGATAAAAGAGATGTGAAGTAAGACTCACTTCTGGTATCTATCCTACTGGTATCTACATCTGAAGGCCTTATTCTCTGAATGTATTCACATGATACCTTGACAGATTTTGGGTGGTAAACTAAGATGCATGTATCATTTCGTGATTCGTATCCAACAATACACCTACCATTGTTACAGTTTCTAAGACTGTTACAGGAAGAGGGCCTCTTTTTGCCCTCATCATTATACCCATTTCTAGATTCTTCGCCACGAAGTGGATTTATGTGCATTAACAAGGATAAAGAAAATTTTCCCAATCTATCAGGATATATTATTTGTGAGTGGCATTGCTTACCCGCTGGCCAGTCATCTGCACATATAGCGCAATATTCATTTCTGTATACATAATTACTGGTAGCAAACATTTGTACTGGCTCATTTTTACACAGTTCAACTATAGCCTTGTTGGATGTACAGTTTGGATGACAAGTTGTCTTGTATTGCCAACACTGATGCCCAAGTTCCTCAAATATAAGTTTGCATGCTTCATGATATATAGCATGCTGTAGTTCTGCTTTGTTGTTTAATTTGTCTAGTGAGACTGATCGACATCCAGCCCTTGTAGGTAACTGAATATCACCTCTTGTGAAGTTATTACACTTTGCACAATACTTATTGAGATAATACAACCCAGTGATATTATCAAAGACTGGCATAGATCCTTCAAGAAGATCTAATTCATTCAAGTCACATGGTGTATTCTTCTCATCTGGGCATGTTGTTATCATCTTTACATATACATCGTGTTTTGTCCAAGTACAATTCCACTGAATTTCTCTGTCTTGGACAGATTCCTTGATCTCCTTTGATCTTTCTGCTTCCATTGGGCAGATCTTTGTAAAGTCAGAACAGCAATCCTCATTCACCAAACAGTAGATGTCACATGCACAATGTCGATTTGAACTTGTTTTGTTACCACAGTTACCTTGACAACTGTAAAGATGTGGCTTATATGTTGTACAGTCTTTTACCTTCTTTAAAGCTGCCTGCAGAGATTGCTCATTCTCACACAGGAGTGTTTCATTGTCACAAACTGAGGCAGCGTCAGCAGAATACATTAGTAAAGTCAGAAGTTGATTTAGTATGATAGCATCAATGTATTGCTTTGGTATTATTGCTCCCATTATTAATCGTAGAACCTAAAACTTTTATGATCACATCTCTTTGTCTCTGTCACTTTTTAAGTTTCCCTAAAATTGTATTTTCTTATTTCAAAAATTGTTGAAGCACAAACAATTGTTTCTTGCTTCATCCACATATTGTTATTCTGTGATGAAATCAAGGATGTCAACCTATCAATTTATATCTGAAAATTCATGAGATGTAAAGCCATCTTTGAATAATTAATATACGTGATTAATCAAGGAGTGCTTGAAAACAAAGGTTAATGAAGAACCTATCAAGGATTATGAAAGAATGTTTTGATGTATTGTAATGCATCCATTAACAGCCATTAAATAAATGGCCTGAAACAACAGAAATTCGTTTGTAATCTTTTATTCTCTCGTAGCATCCTGATGTCGATCACTTTAATATTAAGGTATAAACTATTTATCACTCTCGGGCATTATTGAAAATATTCAACAAAATGAAAGCAATAACACGTATCCCCTGGCAGTATTCGATCAAGTTTTCATTTTATCCAAATGAGCAAAGTTTGAGTAGAAATATTAAGACATCTTATAACTCAAAAAATATGGTTGATGGATTTGGTTCAAATTTTATAGGCTTATGCCTTATGGGCATAGGACTTCTTCTCAATAAGGAATTTCAAATATTTCTGCTCGATTTAAAATTCCTAATTCTCATGAAATGTTCAAATGAGGAGTGATTTGAGTTTTTTTATTAATTCCCTGTTTTATTCTATACCCTTTCAAATAAACAATAAAAAAGTCTTAATTAAACTCCAAAATTTAAATCTGCTTTTTTTGTGACCAGACCCCTCCCCCAATGAAGGGTAGGGCTTCTAATATAAGGGCAGGAAAGATAATGCACTGCACGGAATCTCTTCACAAGAATAACGTCCTTGAAATTTTCATATTTTTCAGATGGCTGATACTGCTGAAGAACAAATACATCAACTGGAAGATCAGATCACTGAGCTGCAACATGAAGTGAAAGCGTTGAGGACACAACTTGATTCAACATTGAAGGTATGTATGTGTATTTCCTAAGGATCTGTCTTCAAATCTCTTCTAGTTATCCCATCAAACGAAGTTCGGAGGGATATAGGGAACGCCTCCGTCCGTCCGTCCGTACGTTCGTCCGTCCGGGCAATAACTCAAATACCGTTGGCCCGATTTTGTTCATATTTTGTACACATATACCCTATGGGGATAGAAGTTCTGCTCGAAAGCCGATTTTCAAAATGGCCGCTCATTTCAAAATGGCGGCCATTTTAGTGACAATTTTACAGTAATTTAGGTGCAATATGTAAAACTGTAATAGCAATATGTTTTAAATGTGAAAAAATTATAAAGGACATTAATAATGCTACAAATGTAGATATTAAAGAAGCACATGGCAGCCATCTTGAAAAATGGCGGCCTTTACTCGTCATTTTACGATTTTTGCTGTAACTCAAAAAATAGTGGAGCGATTTTGTTCATATTTGGTATGTGAATACTATAAGCATGGCACACTGTCCTATGACACTTTTGGTAGAAGGTGGCCATTTTGAAAAAATTTTGAAAAATGGCCGCCAACGTATTTTACTATAACTCGAAAAGTAGTGGAGCAATTTTGTTCATATTTGATATGTGAATACTTTAAGCATGGCACATTGTCTAATAAAACTTTGGGGAGTAGTCGGCCATTTTGAAAAATGGTCACCATTTGTGTTATTTTACAAGTACAAAAATTTTAGAGGTGGCTACTTAAAAGCATATTATTTCTTCTGATGACTTGGCTAGTGAGCAGCCATTTTGAAAATGGTGGCCTTTCTGGTGTGTTGTTTTATGATATTTGCGCTTCGTTTGTAAAAATGCCAGCCATTTCTGTTCGATGGGATTCGCTACGCTTTGGCGTTGCCGTTGTTCTGGTATTTTAGCTACCCTTTGAACACATTGCTTGTGCAAAGAGGTAGATTCCTCACATAGTCCATGTTATTATATCATGAAAAATGAAATATCTTTTGCATTAAAGTAGTTCCATACTTTTAAATTGAAAAAATAGGAGGAACACTGGAAAATAGCCACATAAAATTTTGAAAGATATTACTCATTCCATTATTTTTGTTTTTGGTAATTGTACTCATTAAAATTACGTAAACATTCTCATCAAGTTTATCCATCCCTAAACAGACAATAATTTTATCTCTTACAGAAGTTCAAGAGAGCAGAAAGAGAAATAGAGAGGAGCGAAAACTATAATGCAGATCTCCGTAAGACAGTGGATGACCTCTCTAAACAGTTACATAAGTTCAAGGTCGCCAAATCATCTGCAAGAAACCATTTCCAGTGCCAGGTCTCAGAGAAAGACTTTCCTCAAGAAATCCAAGCCACAGGTAAAAGAATTTATTTATAATTTTATCTCTGTATGAACATTTTCATCAATTTTATAAGAAGTGGATGAAAGATTGTGTACTTTTTACATTTCAAACACTGTTGTTGTCGAAAACTGGTATCAAAATATTATAATTTGAATAATTGTCTCAAGTCCTCGGACATATACAAAAACCATTACAATATTATCCTACCAAACTCTTAATCCTAATGTAATCAGACAAAAATTACATTTATTAGAGAAATTTTCAACATATAACTGAATTTCATCAAGCCAAGCTAGTTTTGATTTTCACTGAAATATAATATAGTTTTTATAATGACAGAAAGCCACAGTACATTCAGTGGTATTAAAATAGTCATGTTATTACAGAAGAACATGCAGCAGATACTGTTGAAGCCACAAGAGAAGCCTATACTGCTGAACAGCTTGCCATTGATGCCATGAAGGATGGAGAAAAGGAACAGGTATAAAGAACTGATTCAGAATCAGAAGCATATAATTGGTCAGTCAATATGATTCAAAATCGATTTTAACCCAGTTGGGAAATTCTAAGGTAATGAAAACCTTAAGTTTATTTTGACCATTTTAATAGTCAGAATCAATATGATAAGAATTGGCACCCATGATGGGAAGAATGTTTTCAATTTTTAGAATCACTTAAATGAGATATCCATGCATAAAGGATATACAATTTGTCATTTGTATTATTTATACATTCATTCCAGCAACAAACTGAACCCATGTCTATTGCTGATAGTCTAAAGGCAGCTGCAGAGTCAGTTGTCAATCAATCAGGATTTGTCTATGATGACACTACAGGTCTTTACTATGACTACAACAGCGGTTATTACTATGATTCTGTAAGTTTGTTTGTCAACTTCTTGAACGATAGATTGATTGATTGGGAGTATAATCTGATGTTGTAGCCAATTTGGAAGAATTCTATGATAATGCATAGAGGAAGTTCCTTTATACATTTTTTTTCTCTAAATGCATATATGCTCTCATAAAGTGTGATATCTGGCGTTTCTCCTATACTTATAATGCTTAAAGTACCCATTATGAATTGAAAGTGCCTCAACAAGACAATTTTCTTTTAACCTCAGGCCTACATTTTTTTCCATTAGAATGGCTCTTAACAAAAGCAAGTGTTTAGAAGTGTGCAAATTCAAACACACTCAAGGTTATGGACATCCACATTTAGAAGAATGGATATATAAACTAAAAAATTTAAGTTTTTAAAATATATGTATTTTAAAATTGAAGGTTAAGTAAGTGCATGTTCCATTTCCATTACAGGAGAACTCGCTATACTATGATGCTAACTCAGGAACATACTACTTCTTTGATCAAGAATCAAATTCTTACCAATTTCACTCGCAAGTTGATCCGGCCCAGTTCTCACAAATGCAGAAATATGTGCAGCACAGAGATGATAGACATATTAAAAGAAAACACAAAAACAAGGACAAAACTGACTCAAAGGTATTCATGTTTTTTTCTAGGAGGTCTAGACAGAATGATAGCTATATATGGTTGATATCAAGTCATCCATACCTTACTATGGGTAGCTTAACCATGTGTTTTCTCTTCTCTATGTCAACCAGACAAACCAGATTTCTCTTGCTGGAGCCCAAAATAAATCATTGTGTGAAATGTGAAAAAAAGAGATTAAAAAAAATGAGGCAACTCATTCTTTAAAGTGTCAGTATTGTGAAACATTGGTCATTTTTAATGTCAGAAATATCTCTCTGGTGCAAAATGGCATCAACAATAACAAATTCTTATAATTGAAACAATGCAGCCTTCTCATCTCTGCAAAAGATTTTTGTACTTTAAATGACACTTTAAGGGTGAAGTGTTTTATTCGATTCAGGTAAACTTTGATGTTGACTCAGTAACTGAGGCCCTCACAGAACTTAACATAGCCCAGGCCAGACAACATGCCACAGGTAAATAGCTTACTTTACATTTTTTATTTTAGGATAATAGACTCAATGAGGATGACAAATCAGAAATAAAAATATCGAAGAAACGGAAAAAACATCAAATAAGTAATGACACCGTTGTAGAGATATCTTCCCAGGGGCAAAGTTATAAACATGCAAATTCAAATACTCACACTAAAGACAATAAGGATATTTGTGAATCAAAAAACAATACTGCAATAACCCATGATAATAAAAGCAAATCACGGGGACGGGGTAGACATCATAAAGAAAACAAAGCAAATGGAGATGAGAATAACTCTGAAAATGTGAAAGCAAGTGATAAAAATGAGAATGATGATGAAAATGTGAAAGCAAAAACAATGGAAGAAAATGTGAAAGATAATGAAGAAAATGTGAAAGCTACTGACAATGTTGGTGAGGACTCTGAGAGTGATATGGAAGAGGGGGAACTATCCAGCAGTGAGTCAGAAATTGATGAATTAAGTGATGAGTCTGAACCTAAAGAAGATGGTAAGAATTACTCAAGTTACTCTTGGCTTTCTTTGTCCTCTTTAAATTAGAGATAATTCTTTGATGTTGCCTATATATAATCAGAATATGTAGTACTCGAGAAATATCCACCCATAAATAGTTAACATTCATTTCACATTCAAACTTTCATGGAATTTGACCCAGGAAACATCTTACCAGTGTCTAAACTAAATCATTTTTGAAAGTCAAAGGATGATATGGCTATTTGATAGGTTTTCTTGGTAAACACAACTACTTAAAGGCCCACTATACTTAATTTAGAAGAAAAAAGAAAAAAAATTATCATTGAAACATATTACTCACACACTCGTTCTAATATGAAACAAAATTTGATTTGCTTTAATGTATTTGCTCTGTGTATTTAACTGAGAATCATGTCACTGTCTTAAGTTTACATCCAAAGAATTTATCCCTTTGTGTATTATTTCCAGAATCATGCCCTCTGTTGTACCCACCATGCATCAGGATGATAGTGCAAGTTTCTGATACATTGGACCGAGGTACGCTGTACATCTTGACATACATGGGTGGCACGATTGGCCGAGAGAAGGACATGGGGCACACTGTACGCATACCCGACCTCAATGTTAGTAAGGTAGGCTATTGTTTATGATAAACTTAAACATAAGAGGTTTCTTTGTAAAATTAAACCAGATTTTTGTTTATCATAGAGTATTGAATTAGAATTTGAGTAGAGTATTCAATTCAATTCAATTCACTTTATTTCAAATGTTTCAAATACAGTGTTTTACATTGACATGAAAAGACACCCCGAGGGGTGTATAAGTTCCATGTTTAACATACAATATAGCATTTATTAAATTAACAGTCAGGTTATATGGAAACAAAAAAAATGACAAAGCATAAGATGCATCACAATAAAATACAAGTAATGAGAAGAAAGCATTTTTCAAAGAAGATCTAATAATGACTTAGCAAATCAAACTTTAACTTACGTTCAAATGATTTGATATGTTTAGACTTTTTGAGATCAAGTGAAAGAGTATTGTAAAGTAATGGGCCACTTGTTTCAATTGATTTTCTTCCAATTTCTGTTCTGAATTTTTTTACAGTTAAATTCTTATTAATTCTCGTGTCATGATTATGAATTGCTGTTCCTGGAACAAATAAATGTTTGAACTTTTGAAAAGGAAATTCTGGTGATTCTGAAACAGTTTTCTGAACAAAGCTAGCGGTTTGTAGTTTATTGATGTCAAATATATTCAATATTTTCAGTTTTGAAAAGAGAGGTCCTGAAGGAGCCAGACGATCAGAATAAGTGATAACTCTCAAGAATTTCTTTTGCAGAACATACAATTTTTGAATAAGAGTTTTTATGGCATTTCCCCATAAAAGGTTACAATAGCTTAAGTAGGAATATATCATGGAATAATAGATAGTGGTCATTGTATTTAAAGTCAGTCTATGTCTAGTCTTGTAGAGAAGGCCTATCAAGTTAGAAATTTTTGTACAGATAGCATTTATGTGAGATGACCAATTCAGCTTTGAGTCAATAATGACACCTAGAAAATTGATTTCTTTAACTTCGTCTATAGGTTGTTCATTAATTTTAAGAACAATATTGTTTTTATTAGGATCCTTCTTTTTATTAAATATCATATATTTTGTTTTTTCAACATTAAGAGTTAATTTATTAGATTTCATCCAGTTAGAAACATTTTTTAGTTCAGCATTCATATCTGAGACTAGAGTTTCAAAATTTTTATTGGTAAGTAGGATATTAGTATCATCAGCATATAAGACAAAGTTTAGTTTATTTGATATTAAATGTATGTCATTTATAAATATTATAAACAAGAGGGGACCTATGACTGAACCTTGAGGGACACCATATTCAACTTTATTTTTACCGGATCTATATCTAATATCTGTAGTTGTAAATTGATCAATCAAGACATCTTTCTTAACAATTTATTAAACCATAAATGTTCACCTCAACATTATTTGGGGCTTTGAATAAATAAAGAGATATTCCAAGAATTATATGAATCAAAAATATCCAAATACTTAATCCAAAGAGTCCTAAACGTACTTATTGTTTATTCCATAGATGCATGCTGAGGTGAAATATATTGAAGACTGGAAGAAATATGGAATCACAGATCATGCTAGTCAGAATGGAACCTTTGTCAACAATGAAAGAATATCCAAGGTGAGTAACAATTACATATGTTTCAAATGAAGGGTAAAAGACTCAGCATATCTGGGCTGTACTTAAAGCATTTTTTGGGCTGCAGTTACAAGTAATTGATTGTCTTCAGCCCTTGCTAAAAATTAGTGATAACATATTTTATAGCTACCAATTTTTGTGTGGTAGTAAATAGTCATTGTACGGTGGTTGTCATCTGTTACAAATTGTTACACATCTGTAACCTCAATGACAAAACCTGTGATGAGGGGGTCTATGCCTGCTAGTTTCCTAGTTTTAGTCGAGAACTTTTGGTCCTTTTCACATTGAAAACATTGGGAATTTACTTCTCAGTTACACACTGTTTGTGGAAGACAATGAATGAAAAACTAAATGAAAATCTCTCAATGATGAATAAACTAAGCCATGTATTACTCTGAATGTTGCAGCCAAAAGTTATGGGAAAGCCATTTCCATTGAGTCACAGAGATGAGTTAAAGATAGGTGGCAGCACATTTCTCTTACACATTCACCCGGGGACAGAAACGTGTGACGAGTGTGAGCCAGGACAGATTCAGGCTGCTCAGAAATTGGAACAAACAAAGGGTATACAATTTTCCTTTATTAAACCTGCTGCCAATTATGCCATATCTGTAGGCAAGAACTGATCAAGGTTTTTGATTTTGGCCAAGACAACTTTTGTGAACATTTTGTGTAAAATATTTTAGGTGGTTCACACCCTGTTCACCTGATCAAGTATGTTTGTTTGTTTCAGAAATTGCATTAATTCTTTTGTTTGTTACAGATATTGAAATGAATTATGTTGTTTGTTTTAGAAATTGTTTTTTCCAGGTTTTGTATGAGTTGTGTTGTTTGTTCCAGATTTTGTAGTACAAAGCAAGACAGACAGGGATCTGGAAAGGAAAAAACAACTAAAACTCATCAAGAAAAAGTTTGGACTTGAGGTAAAACTTTGTTTAACTTATGTACAGATCAATTTATACGATACAACATTGTAACAACACGTTCGAACATGTCAATGAATATAAAATAGAAATGTGTCTCCAGTGATTTATTGTATTCTAGAAAACCGACTGTGACTTGTATTCTAGAAAACTGAATGTGATTTATTGTATTCTAGAAAACTGCTAGTCGCCCATTGTGTTCTAGAAAACTCCAATAGTCTTGTTGTAGTCTGGAAAAATGAGTTGTTGTGTTTTAGAAAACCAACCATGACTTATTGTATTCAAGAAAACTGAATGTGAGTTATTGTGTTCTAGAAAACGGCCATTGATATATTGTGTTCCAGAAAACTGCTTATGATGATTCTAAAGCTATAAATAATCCTGCTTACAAAGATAAAGCTGGAGAAAGAAGGAAAAAAGTTGGCAGTGAAAATCCATTTGAGAAACACGAAGCACCTGCCTCTGTTCACAGGTATTACCCAGCTCTTACTCATACAGTCTTGTGCACACTCCCAAAAAAGATCCTCATTTAGTCAATTGCCCAAATGACATTAGTCACAACCAGATGCTTACCCCTGGTAGAGCATACAGAAAATTGACCTATAAAAAACTCAGGGAAAAATTGCATGAAAACAGTTTTGAAATCTTTACATTGTTTGGACCTCCGATCCTCTCTGATGATTCTATGAACCAGCATACTGCTCCAAGATCATTGGCACGTAACACATGTTATATATGTTTCTTGTTACATTTCAGGGAGATCTCAGAGGGTAATAAAGGTCACAGAATGTTAAAAAAGATGGGATGGGCATCTGGAGAGGGACTAGGGAAGGCACAAAGAGGTGGAATCACAGAACCTGTAAGTATTGATATCTGGTAATGATGTTTCACATCCATAAAGAAGATATCCACTCTTCAATGTTTTCTGTTTTCCAAGAAATACTGTTGAGTATACCTAATGTAACCCCTTATGGTCACAGATTTCACTTATTGTTTCAATGGAATAACTCATACACTAGTGATCTGATTTTTTCTAATTTATATTTAGTGGAAAATGCAATCTAGCCCTGTAAGCACAAATTTTGTGTGAACTCAAAAATAAAGAATATTTGATAATTTTTTTTTATTTTTCCAGATCAAAGTTGTCATTCGATCCAAGCAGTCAGCAGGCTTAGGCTCTGGTATTGGTCATTCAATTGACGATATAGGAAGTGTACAGAAATCTAAAAACCTAACGATAACTCAAGAACGTTTTGATAAAATCACAAAATCAGAAGCTGTATCTAGTGATTCTTCCAATAATAGCGCATTTCCAAAAAGACAGACATTTGTCAAAAGTGAGACCTTGGTGCCAATGAGTGAACAAGAAAGTCAGCCACCAGATGATGGAAATCAACCAATATTTGATTAGACATCAGGATTTCCTTATAAATTATAAGACCCTATAAGATCTATTGCTGATGAGTATGAGGACCGAAAGGAAATTGGATGTTGCTTACCATGACGATAGAATCCCATTTTCAAGCAGTACATAAAATATCACAATATTTATAGTGTGTTTTAAAAATGGTGCAGAACGTTTCATCCTGAACAGAAGTTTCCCATCAATCCATGAGCAATTAAACATATCAGTCAAAAGTGCATAAATACAAAGCTACAATATCAAAAGTTAATTGTCCTCCTTTGCAGGGTTCTTTTTTTACTAAGATTGAACATATTCTTGCCAGGCTGCAGTGGTGGGTCAACAGGCCATGATGGTTAAATCAGCAAACAGTGTATTACAAAGGCTAAAAAAGCGATAGCCATTGACAATGAGGTGCAATTATGAGTTTTAACCCTGCTGCATTGTGCCTAAACGTCTCATAAATAAATGAACGTTTAGACATGTTTGGTATTGCATTTCATACACTCTAGTAGAATTGCACATATTTCTTTGCTTATTTATAGATGTCACTTGGAAATCTTATGAAGAATTGAAAGTAGACGGAACTGGGGAGATATCTATTATCTATAAATAAAATCTGACTCTTCTTTTACTACATTAATGTCATTGGCCATTATTTCGTATAGTCAGTCCCATAGCTAGCTTTTGTCTAGGGGATTTAGTTTTTAAATTTTTCCAAGGTGGTTCAAATTTGACAATTTTGGACCACAATCACTTGAAGTCCTCAAAATGGTGAAAAACTCCTTGATTTTGAAAGAATTTTTGGTTGGGGGAGTGGGCTACGTGATTGGATAGTCTTTGTAGGAACTTTGAAGAAAAAAGACTACTCATTGACTCATTCATTTGAATGAATACCCAAGTTGTGCAATATCATAAAATAACAATTATTCTTTAACTTTAACTGTTCACATCTATGAACATAATAAATTGATAAAAAAAAACATTTTTGTTTATTGTTCTTTAATATTTGAAAGAATTGATATGCAGTACTTTGTATGTTTTCATCACACTTGAAAATGACTTGATTGTCCTCTTGTACTTATGAGTATAACAAGAAATCTTGTCATCAAGATAGCAAGAAAACGTATAACCTGAAATTTTAAATAAGATTGCGCCACAGCACCATAAAATAATTATTCTCTTCACTACAATGTCACTACCTCTTCTCTCAATTCACCAATCACATTGTCCCTTCTCTCAATCCACCAATGACATTGTCCCTTATCTCAATCCACCAATTACCTTGTCCCTTCATTCCACCTATGATATTGTCCATTCATCCCACCAATGATTTTGTCCCTTCATTCATTCCATTTATGGGATAATCCATGTATTTCATAGATGGCCTTGTCTCTTTTCTCATTCCATCAATGATCTTCCATCTGCACTATTATTCAGCAGTGATATTGTCCTTTCACTCATTCCACCAATGACCTTGTCCCTTCACTCAACCCACCAACGACCTTGTCCCTTCACTCATCCCACCAATGACCTTGTCCCTTCACTCAACCCACCATTGACCTTGCCCCTTCACTCAACCCACCAATGACCTTGTCCCTTCACTCAACCCACCATTGACCTTGCCCCTTCACTCAACCCACCAATGACCTTGTCCCTTCACTCAACCCACCAATGATCTTGATCATTTATTCCTTTAATGACCTTGTCCCTTCACTCATTCCACCAATGACCTTGTCCTTCAACCACTCATTCAAGATAAGAACTTGTTCCTTCTCTAAATCTGCAAGTGACCATTTTCTTAATCCCAAAATGGCCTTACCCCTTATTCCAATTCATCAATGACCTTGTCTCTTTAATTATTCTGTCGAAGACCTTGCCCCATTTACTCATTCCATCAATGTCCCTTTATTCATTTAACCATTGACCTCGTCACTTCTTTAATCAGCCAATGGCTCCGTTTTTCCCTTATTCAAGTAATGACATAGTCCACTCTGTAAATCCACAATAGACCTTTTTTTGATTCACAAATGACATTTTCTCTTCAATCATTCCACCAATGATATTGTTCCCTCAGTCATTCCATCACTCACATGCCCCCTTTGTTCAGTCAATCGCCCCTTATCCCAATCCACCAGTGATCGTGTCTTTTTATTCATTCAACCAATGACCTCACCCCTTATCCCATTTCATCAACGACCTTGTCCATTCACTGCTCATGTCACCGATGATCTTGTCCCTTCTGCACACATCGCAGCAATGGGCTTCCACCATTTTGTGAATGTAAATGTACATGTGATGGTATTTATGTCATACGACATTTTTTGCGCATGATGCGAAAAATCGTTACCGGGTGGATTCTAAGAACTCAACCTGATCCAGTATAAAACGCATTTTTATCTAAAGCCTGTGAAAGACTCTATATCCTAAGGGATAGTAAAGAATGTGGATTTCACAATTGGTAAAACACATATTTATGAAGTTTTCTACACTACAATTAATTCCAATTTTGATTTTTAAAGTGTAAAATATTATATATAACGGTTAAGTTTCAAAATTTTTGGCAAATAAACGTTCCTTATCCGTATCTCTTCCCTAAATGTGAACTTGCACAATAGTTCCTGGTTGTAATGCAATTCTTTTTATGATACGGTACTACGAAAACGCTTTCCAAAAGTTTGATTTTTTAAAAGAGAGCTTCATGCGCACGCCTGTAGCCAAGGTGGGGTCGCCAAAATTCCAGGGGGGGTGTTCACTGACAGACAGCTGTGCTCCAAATATGGCCAAAATCACTTGAAAGCACCGAGCTAAAGAATCGAATTCAATTACTAAATAGAGTAATTACCAACAACTCATTGCTTTTAATTACTTAAGAAACGGCAATAATTATAAAATAAAATTGTAAAAATAATCTGCAATAACCAAAGAGGATGGTAGTTTACTTATACCCTGCGCGCAGAGTCTAGTTAAACGAAGACGAAGCTCTCTTTTAAGAAGTGAAGTCAAACGAATGCAAAGGGTAGTTTACTTAGTGACTAATGTTGTTATTGATAGCTGAGAAGTATCACCGTCATTAGCATATCATCAACCTTTTACCAGTTTACGGTTAGGCTATAGTGTCACGCCTAGGTTGGGGTTACTTCCTGCGAAAGCTATTTGGATTTTGATATAATAAGTTTCAAAATCTAACATGGCTCTCGAAGTGAGTAAGGGTGGGGGTGTGGGGGTAGATCTGCCCCCTTATGAACTTGGCCGGGAAACAAGCAACCATTCGAGGAGTGGACGTATTAGGTATCATTGGAAAGGTTATTTAATTCCCCCTGTTTTGAGCTTACTTCTAAATATATCGAGCCATTATTAATTAAGAAATTCATATTCTATCAATGAACATAGGTGTTCATCGCATCTTGATCCATCGTCCGCCGGGATCAAGGTATTACATATGACTGCAGACCCGTTGCCAGGGGGTGGGGGGGGGGGGGTGGAGAGAGCGGCCGCTCCCCCTGGTAAATCCTGGCTACGGGCCTGGACTGAAGGAATAAGCTTATAATATAATGATGGGGAATATTTTTAGAAACCCGGGAACGCCCCTGTGGGCCGTGGGGGCTCTTGAAGACTGAGTCTGACACTCCTGGTTCTGTTCTACGTCAGTGGTTAGACAGTACGTGCCAAACGCATTTGTTTATCTCTGTGTTTACCGCCAGTCAATGGATTTACAGTTTTTACGTCAAATACTACACACACCTCCACGACTGGCCTCCAGTTATAATGCATTCATCGTACTTGTCAGTTTACCCGCCAAGAAATCAGCCCATTCATTATTTTCTGTCTGGCTACGATTGGTTGTTTGGCAGCTTGCCAATATTATTCATTTATTCATTCATTTATTCATTGATAGGAATAATGTTGGGACGGGGGTGTTAGGTAAATAATTAATGTAATCTTAAGAAATTATAGATGTTTATCATAACTTTTACATTGGATTTTACGTAATTATCTTATACCAAGGTATATTTGATAATTTCTACTCGTATATATATCGTACAAATGTTGACGTAGTATGTGCATTATGTAAAGTTTTCATCGTGCCACCCATTCTTGTGAAATGTGGTCTAGTCCAAGTCACGTGGCTCACAAATCATAACAAATAGTACAACTCTACAAAACTAACAATCTCACGTGGAAAAATCAGTCAGTTGGCACGAAAATTCAGTGACAAAAGCAACTTCTGAAAGATCTAAGAGATTTAATTTGATACTTTTAACATAAGAGTATAATAATCTAGAAGAATCAGAGCAAACTTTGAAAGTTTCAATTCATAAATTGACAGAAGCAAGCGATTTGCGTCTTTGTTGACATTTTGAAATCTACTTGAATTTGAGCGCAATTTAAGATGTCTTCGGCGAACTTTGTCGTATATTTGATGGCGTTTATCTGTCAGATATTAATGCTGCATATAAGAGATGTATCTGGTAAGTAATTTAGACAATTTTATATTTTTATCTGAATTAGCTCATTTTATGTAATTGTCATTCAAAAGTATTATACAATTCTAATTATTTCTAATGAAAAGCTTGCTAAATTGTGCATGTATTTTGATTTCCAATATTGAAAAGTTGGTCAGGTTGCTAACTTATACAGGACTCCTAAAATTTCAGAATTAATTAAAAGAGCCTTAGAATGAGTAAGACTTGCTGAACATGTTAGTGAACCCATTCAAGTATTATGCACTTATTCTTTTTATTGTTTTATTTGTTAATGATTTATATTGGTCTAGACATCAGGTTATTCATGTTAATCGATTAAGTAACAATCTTAGAAATGTTTTAAAATGTTCATTGTAGCAAACAGAAATCAATTCATTTTTAAAGGTACTTATCAATATATCCAGACCTATTCAAACACCTTGACATTTGAAAGGTGTTTCGTCATCATGATTACCCCGCCCTCTTCAGTTCAGTCATTAAAAAAGGTTCAGGAAGTACAACTTCTTTCTTTTGGGATTGCATCATTGCTATTTCCAGGCTAAATATAGATTATTTGATACTGGGTGTTACATGACATAAACATGCGCTAGTATCATGATGTTTGGATACAACCTTGGGGTCCTAGCAATTTCATCATACGATTAAAACAGTAAAAAGTTCAAGAATGTTTGATGTGTTAATACACTGGATGGATCGGATCGGATGATCCATGATTCTAAGTTACTCTGACCGAATAGAACAATTAAGAAAAGAAAAATTAATTAGTTCCTTGTAATATTGAGTTTTGATCAATTAAGGTTGTTCACTGACCCTAGGGTTAAATCTAATATTCAATAATTAATACCAGACGCTTACATAACTTCTTTGATTATCGAGTCTAGCAAGTTGATTATATTTACACCTTTTGTGATCTATATATATCTAAATAGTGAACCCAGGTTGTTAGTCGTTTCATTGAGGTATAATTCAGAATGCATTTAGAGCAACGCTCTATACAGAAATTAAGCCACGGTAATCATAAATGTTTACAAGTTCATCAAACTAGACGGGAACCTGTATTTAAACATGTTTCAAATTTAGATTATGTTGAAATATGCTTTGCAATAGCCGACCAAACTTCCCGACACAGACACTATTTATGAGTTTCCTATTTGTAATGTTACAAAACAATGTTTACCTGAGGCTCAGGTATCTTTCGAAAAATGCACTCTTTGACTGCTCGGCTGTCCCGCTGGGGTAACCACAGGGATAAATATTTCCACATCATCAAAAAACCTGAATGAATTGAAATGATTTTCTAATTGGATGGATGATATCTATATTTAATATTTTCTTGTGTTGGGATATCCTGTAGATCATACCAAAATAACTTTTAAAAAGTCAGAATGGTTCTTTGGTGTTCTTAACCAGACAGTCTGTTTTGCATATGAATAGTGAATAGACAGATTACTCTGAACCATCTAACCCATTCATAAAGTTCATTTAAAGCATCATCACCATGTGCAGTTTTGATATCTAAACTCTTGAGATTTTTTAAGTTGACGTTCAACACAGAACATATAAGTGAGATGTTTTAAAGTCGCAAAATGTGACATTTAGATTATTTATGTCTAACTGTAAACTGTTATTTTTCTCAAAACTATAAAATAGCTATAAACTTGCATTTTCTTATAATTTGGTTACAGATCACTCATTTTTGTTTTGACTGCCTATCTGAAATAAATTATTTCTGTTTGTGGAATTATATTAATTTTATTTATTAAAACTGAGAAAATGATTCTTTATTTCTCCAGGGTGTATTTTCATACTTAAAAGTAAAATTAAGTTTTCAAGTCATGCAAAACAAAATTTTAAAATATAGTTAGATGAAATGAATTTTTGTAGCAATAGTCAGTGATTTGAACACAAATTGCTAAGTTTTTAAAACAGTGGTCAGACCTCTTTACCAGAAACTGTATTAGCAGGTTTACTGACAACATACAAAAATCAAATCATTTTCTCAAAGCCGTCTGCTGACAAGGGTATCACAACAAAGTGGTGTGATACCTGTACCTGCAGGTTAGCTAGAGGTCAAAGAATGACCATCCCTCCAGCAACATAACACAAGCGTCATATTTCTTTCATGAAAAGCGAAGAAAATATGTAATATGAGTCGAGAAAAAGTATGTCTATTGGAAATTCAAACTCAAAATTATACATCACTCAAAGCATATAATAAATTACTTCCAACTCAGATAAAACTGAAAGAAATATATTGATACAGCCCACAAGTCCGAGGGAACACATAATAACCTTTCTCAATTTCATTCTTGGTGACCTTAGGAGGGTGAGATTTGAATTTCTCACCCGTAATTGTTTCCTGTCTGGAACTTTTCCCCTTCAAAACTGACCACCCAAGCCTTAAATCACAAAGGTGACAATTCATTCTGAAAACTACAAAAAGGCGTGATTTCAATGAATAATTCACATGACGGTAATTTGAGACATTATGACATGCACTTTTACCTTCCAAACGGAAATTGTCAACTTATATAATCTAATTAGTTGTAGCATGATTTGTGGCATTTTATATGATATTATAAATTTTGTGTTATGTTTGAAATATAAACAATGTGAAAAATCTGAAATATGAATTATGGATAATTTTCAGAAATTATTACAACAAAACAAATTTTTGTGATTTTATTTATTTTGTCTATGGGACACTCTCTCAATATTCTAAATCTTCAGGTCAATAATAAGGGTTATCCCAAAGACCACCAAAATGGTAGTATTTCCCCAACAATTTCTCAGGTAGCCAAGCCCATTCATAAAAAGTCCATTGATAAAAAGTCCATTCATAAATTCTGGCCTCACATATGAATGAACCAATCCAATCAAAGCTATGGTCTAATGTTATTTGTTTGAATGTCTCAGGAATGTCGCTCCTTAGGGTAACCACTTAAAGGTTATTTATTCACCATCCTTACACACAATATCCTGACCTCAAAATCAACTTTAATCTGATTTAAAGCACTTGATAGCATGCTGTTAGTTGGCCGGAAACAAGCTATTGTTTAGATATAATTTTGAAATCTAGAGAACCCTTTTGGTTTTGACCACTGTCATGAGTGACCAAATATTTACATGGGATTTCCAAAAATTGTTTCAGTCGTGAGAATTTTTCGGCTTCCAAATCCATTTCATGATTTCATCATTCTTCCATCTCAAGAACAGAAGAACACTCATTAACACACATCAACTATCCAAATAAAGTGGGAACTAAAATAATGCTGTTCTATGACATCCTTGATTTACAAACAAATTGATTGTAAATGTTTGTTTTTATTAATTTTTAATTACAGAAAACATTATTTTTGAACATTTATCTGAATCCTTAAAATATGTTTTTATGTGTTAATTATCCAATCAGCCAATTAGAATGCAGAATTTAAAGAGGTATATTGTATAATTTTATTAATAAAAATTTTATCAATTACTAATTACTTTTAGCTGGTAGCTGTTGGTTGGCTGTTGGTTCAAATGGACGTTGTCAGAATCTCTTAATGACAGACACCACTAGAGAAAACTGTTGCGTTGGCAACCGTGGAACAGCATGGGTAGAAGAAGACGCAAGTTCATCTGATTTATTCAGATGGCGGGCACTTACAGGTGGAGCACCAAATTGTCAGAGATGCCACAGTAAGTATATAATGTATTTAAAATTAATGGTGCAGGGTTTATAGGAGTTTCTTTTGTTTTATATATCTGTAAAGGTGAATTAATATGATCCTATTTACTTCCTCTAACCTTCAAGTGCCCTGGATTCCCAGGGCATAACTCAATATTTGACCTTGACCTTGATAGATATCAACATTGAAAGTGTCAATATTTTTTGACTTAATAAGCGAATATAAAGTCTTGATCACTTCTTGTGTATTTTGAAATTTTGTGTTTGGAAATAAGACCAAAACTCACGATTCAATTACTGAAGTGAACAAAATGGCGGCGGTTTGAATTTGAATTTTGTAATTACAACATCGCCATATATGGCAGAATATCGAGATGAAAGCCTGGGATCCCATCTTCCCTTGGATTCCCATTTACTATCACAGTGCCTTCTGACCAATTCAAATGATTTCACACATGTGATAACGATAAAATGAAGTTTTTGCTGACTTTTTATGGGAGTTTGAATGTGAAATCAGTGAATGTTAGCTGCTTTTAGGCAGAAAATGCATTGATTTTGTCTGCTTATTCTGATTAGATATTTCAAATAGATCAATGAAACATTTCTAATTTAAGAGTACACACAGAATTATGCTTTTGCAAAGGGTACTTTCAACATGTGACATTTGTATTGAAATCGAATTATGATCTCAATTGATTTGTTGTCACGTTTTCTTCAATATATGACTCAAATGTCAATTCATTTTATTGAGCAACAGTCAAACATGTGTTAAAATAACACGTTTTTCCGGGAACAGGAAGTTTTATGTTTTTTGGGAAATTTCCTTGTTTGTTTGTTATGGAACGAAAAAATGAAGATTTAAAGCAAACATTAAAATTTCCAAAATGTTTTTTTTCAATGTATCATTAAAGACAACTTGGAAATGAACACCTATTAATGCTGTGTCCCTATTAAAAATGGTAACAAGAGAAAATGTCAAAATTTATAGGTCTCAGTTCAAATGGTATGTGTCAGTCTCACATCGATTTAATGCGTCGGGTTATTGGCTATTGGGGAAGAAGTTTGAAAACATCTATCTTTCGCACTCACTGACCTTGCGTAATGATTTTCACGCAAGTTGTTTTCCTTGATGGGCACCTTAAATCAATATCATTGGAATCAGATTATCACTGACATTATAATCTATGTCATAATCTATGTCATTGACCATAAAATCCCAGTCTAATTTTTCATTTTTCTGTTCCATTCATATAGCAATTATACTGTTGAAACTTGAAAACTTTAAAAACATTATTTTGCAATTCTAACTTTTAATTAAAATAACTTCTTCTTACAGGTTGTCACATAAGTAATGATAATTATGCTTTAATTATGAATTAATTGGACATTCTGTAGTTCAGTCAAATACTCTGATGAGGCCCCATAAAGTTGAAACCACTTCTTGTTAAAAAATTGTCTGAATTTATTTCAAATAAAATTGTAGTTGTCTTCACATATATTGTTCAGAAATAATTTACACCAATGCATAGCATACATTCTTACCTATTTTGTGTTATCAAATCAAAGCGTTTTAAAACTTTAGTTTTCATTGAATCTAAGAGTAAAAAATTTAAAAGGTGATAAAAATTATTTTCAACCTAGATAGGCAAACAATATTGCTTTATTTTGAAGGTTTTGCATATTTAGAAAAATATTCGCACGAGAAAAAAAGTTGACAAGTTTTGTAAAAATACTTTGCCACCTGAGTGACATCACAGTGTATCACCGTGGGATTACAATTTTTTTTAAATGCTTTAAAAATATATATATGCATAAAATCATAGATTGAATTTATTGGATTGATTGCCTAATCTATATAATGGAATAAAGAAAATAATTTGTTGTATAGTGCTGTGTATTTGATAATCTAAAATTCTCAGATGGTGGGAAATTCAAATATTTTAAAATGATCAGAATCATATGAGTAATTTTTTTCAAAAGTCATATTTTTCAAAAAATAATTCAAATAACTATACAAGTCATGAAAAGTAATATCTGAAAGATTTAACTATATTTTCAAACTTTACATGGGGCCTTTAAGATATGATTGAACTGTTTCAATTTTTCAGCTTATTGTATAGTGTGCTGTTTAAATATTCAGTTTATTGTACCGTTTCAGATTATTATTGTGCTGTCTAGATATTCAAATTATTGTCCTGTTTCAGATTCCTGTAGTACAATGCAGTGCAGTGTGGGTAAAAAATGTAAAGAGAGGAATGGAATCCCAAAATGTGTATGTGCGCCAGATTGCCATAATTTGAGAGATCGTCATCGCGGGCCAGTTTGTGGTTCAGATAATCGTACTTATAAAAACCAATGTACAATGCTCAAGCATAACTGTCGTCATAACAATCATGTTGAGGTGGCATACCCAGGAGAATGCCAAAGTAAGTATGTCCACAGTAATGTTGTTATGATGTTTATTCTATAAATCCATGGTGGCTTTATTCCTAAGTTCTCTTATAATTGAAAATAGGCAATATGGACTGTTTTTTGAGACAACACACAAAAAATAATATACAGTTATATCTGTTTGTAATTCATTGAATTTTGCACCATTACCGCCATAACAATTCTATTCAGTTCCATGGTAACATCTATTAAACCTTTTATATTTCTGCGAATTTTGCACTTTTTAAATGACATAGCAGTATTTACTGTATACAAAAATTTGCCATAGATATGGCCATACAAAGCTTTCAAAACCACAGAGGAATTTTATTTACTTTCAAACTTGGCAAACTATTTCACCAGTTTATAGTGAAGAGATTACAATAAAAAGTTGTGATTTTAGACCCACAACTATTGTATAAATGACCTTCTTTAAACAAGATTTATTTGACGTGTTTGTGATATATGACGTCAATATACCATTTAAAGTTACCGCAAAAATGCATAATTGTTTTTTTATTTCGTGAAAAAGGAATACATCATACTTTTTCTAAATTGCATCATCTCCCTAGTCGAGAGGTTGTTGACAAAGCGTTCTGTACCTAGTGCTCTATAGCTATTAGAGAAGATGTACCCTTGGGTGTCAAAGACATCGTCTTAATTAGATACAACTGGCATAGGCTTCCTGCTTTTTATGAGCATTGATTTCCTTAAATAAATCTTTCTTTAAGCAATTTCGAAGAAAACATTTTGGTTTTTAGAGTTTTTGTCGCGGCATATATTAAATTCTATCCCTGGTAAAATTGGGTGTAAATGTGAAAGCATATTCACTTATAAGCTTCCATTCAAATCTTGTAAGGGAATGGTCAGACAGTGCATATAGATTGTGACAACATAACCATCTCGAGGGAAGATTTGTGACAGTCCCAAAATTAAGCTGACGCCAACAATGTGCTAGAAAATTGACTAAAATTGCCATTTTCACATTAAGAAATCATCGTGGCAGATTAAGCCATTTAATTATTTAATCTTATTAGAAGAGAAAGTAGAGATAATCGTACCAGACGAATTGGGCTTCATTAAAACAAATATTTCCGTCGCCATATCAGACTGATACGTCTTTTTATGCTGTTTATTGGTTGTTTTTGATTGGATGTCTTATAATAACACTTCCTTAACATCATCAACTTTAACTTGGATAATAGTAATAACTATTAACATTGTCTCTTAAAGCCACTAAAGACATGATGTGGGTGTTAAAATGAACTTTAAGATAGAATGTAAGTAAATAGAAATAGAAAGTTAAGTAAAAATCGTTCTTTATTTGCTATGAATAGCAATTCACCTATCAATGCGAATAAGAAAAGAAACTATATTTATATTTATCTTGCGTGACATTATGCTATACATATTTGACAAATATTATATATACATCCTTTTTAGGGCATTTTCGAGAATTTTAATTTTACTTACATTTGAAATCTTAATATATTATATTCCTTTTATATATTTTTTATACTTTACTTGATGATGTCATAAATACATAAATATTTTATAATGACTTATTTGTAATAATGCTTGTTTTTCTGTGATTCCAGCATCGTGTGATACTGTTCAATGTACACATAACCGTCATTGTATCTTGGACCAAAATCACATAGCTCATTGTGTAGAGTGCTCCAATTGCCCCCGGATACGACACAACAGTCCAAGCAGAATGCTACTCTGTGGATCTGATGGTAATACCTATAACAGCCAATGCCATATACGAAGGGCCACATGTTTAAACCAAGGCAATATACAAACTGCTTATAAAGGTAGATGTCAAGGTAAGTTTGTTTCTTTATTTGTTGCTAGGTAACGCCATGTGGTGTCATAGATCACATCCTGTTTGTTTCTTAAAGAATTATTATGCAATATTGCATTTTTAGGTTTTACAGGAAATTGTGATGGGGATTTTAAGATATAAATAAGGTTGTAATTCCATTGGGATTTTAAAGACTCAAATAAAGTTGATTCCATTGGGATTTATCCTGTTTCCTTCACATTTTTATATTTTGTTGCAAGATCATTGGCCATTCTTTAGAACAGTGATTGGTATATATGTTCTTTTTATGTTTATATTACAATAAACGATACTTGTAAGAACACGATTCATATCATATAATCCAAAATATTAATGCATGCACAAACTCTATTTATCCTATTTGATTTTCCAATATTTAGTTCCCTTTTATGAAGTCAAAGAATAAATATGTTATAAGATTTTGAATCAAACTGAACCTGTGGATTCAATTTCTCTCAAAAATGTAACAGTTTTCCCCCAGCCCACATTTCTTGAACCTCTACACTTTTCAGTGTCAACCACTACCAATATGTTTTACTGTATTGATCTCCAAGGAAATGTCAATATTTTCCTTAATAGTCTTGATCAGGTTTCCCAGACAGATCACTGTTTATCTAATTGTCTGCCAGGGCGAGATGCCCTCTACACGAAAGATTCTGGTAATTTTCCAAGTAGATTCTGATATTTATCTGCCTTCTACTTGGCAATATAAAGTATAAACAAATTACTTTATTGCCTAAATGACCTTCGACCATTTGTAAAATAATTGTCTGTTTTTCCAAAGTCACATTTACCCAAAGCAAGTCTGGGTGAGTTCAATGTCAGTAAAATATAGGAAGTACATGTAAAGTTTAGTTAATCACAACAATTTTAAACTAAAATCATAGTTTTTAGAGAATATAACTTTGATATACTCATTTATAACCAATTTTGATATCTCATATTTTTATCAAAGACTTTACCCAAAATATCGTACATTTTATTAATTCGAATTGATTTCTCAATATTATGTCCTCATACATTTTTATTGTCAATTTGACAATGAATACTGTAGATGGTTGGGAAATGTGTAATAACTGGCAACAGCTTGGAATTTTGTTTGTATAATTATTAAGTATCTGGAGTCTTATATAATCAAAATATAAAAATAATACAGTGTGGTCTTTACTAAGATCTATTAACACTCTCAACAGATAATGCATTCTAATTGATGAGTTCATCCTATATACTTGGGAATGTGCCAGGGAAACAAGCATCGACCAATCAAATTTTTAAAGGCCATTCACACCCCAGACTTACCATATATAGAGGAAACCTTTGGCATGATTCCAACAGTATCCTTGAATGAATTATATCTGGCGAATCAGAGGGTACTTCGAGTAGTAACTTGCAAAAAATTTCATAGAATTTATGAATTGGCAATGTAGGACTAGAAATATTGCAGGTCATTACTTTTAATTCAAAGTACTAGTGAGCCTAATGCAAAAATGATTGATAATCACCATTTTCAACGAATTGAGAATGATTACTTTGACAAATGGGTTATGGTAGCATTTTATTCGTTTGCCCCGCCTACTTCAAGATCCTGGCAATGGGCATGCCACGCCACCGTGAAAGTATCATGCGATGCCTAAACTTACCACAAAGTTTACATTTTATCTTGATGATGGATGGATGAAGAAGTCGTATGTTTTACAAGGCTCAAGTCCTTTATTTAATCTTTGAATGTAACTCTTGATTGTACTTGAACACAAACTTATTTATTTTTGCACTACAGATGGTATAGTACCCTTTGTACCGTTACATGAACTAATTCATTTCTCAAATTGTACTTAACAATTTATAAATATTATAGGTTTGTGTACTTTAACTCATTAACAACTTAATATACACCTACTTTCAAGTACTATTATAGTAACTTTATACAAGAAATAAATTGTGTCAAGATCAAAGCAATCTGAAAAAGATAGTTTGATGAGTACATTTCATGACAAAAAATTGATAAACAGAAAGTCAGTTAATAAAACAGAAGAGACAAATAAGATAGTACGAAAGGCAACAGTTGAAAAACAGGTTTTAACCTTTCCGGGAATAAGTTCACAGGATAAGTTCATAAAGAGCTAAATATAAACATACTAAGTGTATTTAGTTAGTCTGCATAGTTTCTGAGGTTAAGTTCATAATCGTTTACTGATAGACTAAACAAACTATTAGAGCAATTAAAGGGTCAATGGAAAGTTTGGAAAACCAGAAATCATTTAAAGGCCATGTTTGTTATTATTTCACTTGCAAAGTTTGGGTTTTGGATCACGTGTTGGTGCAGTGCATTTGTATTATATAAATAAAGACGTCCTATCACACTTACAGTCTTACGCAAACCTCAAAACACTGTCAATTTATGCGTAAAATGATAAATAAATAGACCTCTTAATTCATTTCTTGTGGTAATGATTCTGATCAGTACAATTCAGCATTTTGTTTAGCGATTTTTAATATGCAAATTCTCCCAACCTTTGAATTTCAAGAAGATGTTTGATTTCACATAAAAGATTTAATATATCATTGCATTTCAATAAAAGCATAATATTTATATGAGTAAAACATTCATCAAGAATAGAAGCAATGGCATATCCTGTAAATGAAGAAATCCAGTGATCGCTCATTTTCAAAAATTCTTACAAATTATCTTTATAAACATTGCAAACATGTGCAAAGTATGACATCATGAATCTACCCAATATTAGTCTGGGTTTTTCGTTCCCCAAATGGGATCAGGATTTGCTGGAAAGGTCTCTTCCAGAGTTGTCATAGATTCTTTCCAAGTCTCTCAATATAGTGCATAACCTTTTAGTGTACTGCTTCACCTTTAATATAAACATCACTTTCCAGTCTAATTACTGAAAGTCTTAGATAAGCCCCTATAATTAACACCCTAATCTAAGACTGCATTAACAGGAACGATATTACACATTATTCAATGTCTACAACCTACTTACAACTTTGGCAATTCTCCAGAATTTGTGTACCAAATTTGGAAGTGTGCCAATTTATCTGACCATAAGCAGATCTTTGCATATTTCGCTCTCTTGCCATATTAATCATATCATTTTGAAAAGTACCAGAGAAGGAAAATTCTTGTTAGTGATTAAGAAAAGATTTTACATCCAGATTCTATTTCATGAATAGATTATTACACTTGATATCAATGACGTTTTGACATTAAATAGTTTTTCAATACAGATAGTGTTAACTATGAAAAGTTTTTTGTACCCTAACAAATATGTTAAAACCAGAGAGGTTTTCACTAGGGAGTCATTCATTAAAACAGGTTTTCACGTAGTCTTACTGTATTATATAGAATAGAGTAAAACCAGTCCTATATTTTAATCTACAATAGACTCAAATTTGGAAAAACTTGTGTCATTACATTTCTTAGAGTACACATTTATTAATATGAAAATTGCATAATTTCAGATTCTCCGACCTGTGATAATATACAATGCACATCGGGGAAATCTTGCTTGATGAATCCTACGACGCAACGGCCGCAATGTGTGACATGTATCGCCTCAATGTATTGTGGACACTCCCAACAAGAAATTCCACTGTGTGGGGTAGACAATAAAACATATAACAATTGGTGTGCATTACGGAGAGCCTCCTGTGAATCGGGCGTTATAATCGAAGCAAAGCATCCTGGGAGATGTGAAGGTGAGACTTACATATTATATTAACAAACAATCAATAAGATTTTTAATTCGATTATTAAAAAAATTGATCTACAGCTAAAGGAATAAAATATATGATAAAATAATAACTATATGCGCTGTGTGGTACTCATATATGTGGTTGCTTTATTGGCCCTTAATACCTAACCTCACCTCCTAGTTCGCTTATTGCTATATAATTATATGATTCATGATGCACCCAGGGAGGAAATTCTCAGTACGTACCTAGGATTATATGAATCGCTTATTACTAATCACAATCTAATGAAAAGACTTACTCATCAGATCTCTATCATGAAATTGAAGTAGCACCACATGGTATAGGGTAGAAAGTGTACAATGTTTGAATAATCTTTTCAATACATATGTCAATGTGTTCCTTGTGATTTCAAAAGGTAGAGGAAGTAAACAAAGATTTAAAAAGCAGAAATCTCCTAAAAGCATTTTTATGGAATGAATAAGTCAGAAATTTAGAAAATAAGCATGACAGAAATGCTGCAAGAAAATATTTTGACAACCCTTTAAAAAATTACCCTCATCTTGTAGTTTTTGCTGCCTCTTTAACCCATAGGTTATCCATTGCTGCTATTAATTCTTTTCCAGTAGGGTTGGACAAAAGAAAAAAATATGTACAAACAGTCCCTCATCCGGCCATATACATTATGCTTACAATACTAGAAATGGAAATGTTTTTGGCAGTTTTAAAGGTCCTTCTTCAAAATTTCCGAGAGTCAGCTCTTGATTTGTCCAAGTTTGCATTTAGGAAATGTTTTTGTTCTCCATTCGCTAAAAATCAATCGCAAGTTAAAGTAAGTAATTAGCTTTGATCTTTAAAGGAGGATATGGACGAGGAACTAGTAGAGATATCAGGCAAATATTTGTGTCACAATTCACTTCTTTAAATCCAGTCATCTTAGTAAACCACAGAAAAAGTAATTAAAAGTGTGACATGACAAAACACGCAATTTTGCACTTAACACTGTTAAGTTTCGTGCATTTCTTTTGGTTTTTAGACTGCTAATTAAGCATGTCCATCTCAGTAAAGAACTTAAATAAGTGATGAAAAATTACAGGCCATTATTTTAAAACCTGCCTACTTGAGACATATTTATTGTGAAAAAAACTGAAAGCACTTGGCTAGCCAGGTCATGTCCTGGTTTTGATTAATCAATGGAATAGATATATACTGTTTTTGCATTTTAACATTTTATTTACTTACTTTACTCTCAATGGGTAAAGACAGGTAATGTGGGACTGGATAGATAAAACGATGATCAGCAGACACTCCAAAGAAACTTATTAATATTAGACTTATATTGATGCTTTTATGCATGACCATTGCATTGAAACAATGAAACTGAAAAACTAGCTTATTAATAATTGTTGCAGTCATTATGAATTATTTCAAGTGCGTAATAATAAATAATTTCAAAATATTGAATGAAATTTTCAAATTACCAAATGTTGTACATTAATAATGATATACTAGTATATAATGTTAATCTATGATTTCCTGTGTTGTACATTAATGCGAATCATTTTCCTACAGCGATAATGAGATATCAAATTTATAACACAATATTTTGCGCATTTATCTCAATTACAGAATTTTCTGTTCATTTTCATTTCCTTTAATATTCAGATATGAATTTTATCTAGATCTAAAATTATGTTTAGTAGTGCTTTGTTAACTTGGGATGTCTTGGTATTATTTGTTGACCTATACAATGGGTTCAATAAAACTTTAATCTAGTTTGATACTTCCATACTGTAGTTCAACTCAGTGGATTTAAATTGTTCATTGGAATTTGATTTGCTTTATATACCATCATTTTGGCCCATTGTGTATTTTTGATAAAAACAATAGTGAACTTGACTTGACCAAAACATATTTAGCATGGTATATCATAAATGTCTAACTGTTTACTATTAATAGATAAATGAGTAGGTGATATGAGTTTTGACTTTGAAAGAAGAATCTATAAATTCCATTCATCAATTAAAAGGGGACATAAGTGTCTAAATTTAGATATATCTGTCAACTCAAGGATGTTTTTGTAAGATTTAAATCAAAAGTACAACACGTGTGTGCTCCTTTATCAGACCTATTTTCAGACTTTTCATTCATTCATACAACATTGGAAAGCCATGTGAAAACTGAAAAAGGGAAGTCTTTCTTCATTGGTATTCATGATTGTATCATTAATATTCATGAAGTTATGCATATACTGAAAATAACACCTGTTAGTTATGCCAAGGAGTAAGATCAATTTCCAATGCATGATTTCTCATGAAATAATTTTTTTTATTAATATTATTTATTGATAATGAATTAAACTGAATTTTTTTACAGGCAACACTAGTAGAAGATTAAATTCACCTCATCGTTCACGTCAAAATCGACGTAATTATGCTCATCAAACATAAATCCCATCGTTAAAAAGAACTCAAGTACATCGAAAAGTTCTTTTTAGGTATTAAAGTTTAAAGATTTGATTAGTGTCTTAAATCAGTAGTATTGTTAAGTGTGATACTTGTGTGTGTTTTTTTATGTCTTTTCATCTGTGTTTTTATTACATATTTTTGTGTGTGTTTCTTTGTTGTAGTGTCTTCATAGTATTTGTGTTTTTGTGTAGTTGTATTTTTCTGTAGTGTATAGTCTTGAAACCTTTACAAGACAAGTGTTCTGATTATCCTTTATAGACTCTTGACTCTTTTAAAATATAATGTAGATAAAATTGTGGTTTTTAAATAACTTGTGGTTTGTTATCAATTTTTGATAATAACATTTTGTAACCAGTTTGCCTATCCTAAAATACTTTTTTATTGAATGTTGTGTCTGTACTTATAGATAAACATAAATAGATCCCCTGCCAAAAATACCCTCACAATTCATCATTATTCAAGCTTGCATATAAAAACGAAACGCCAACCTATACGTATGACTAATCACCCATACAAATGCATCGCTTATAATATTTTCTGTTCACATTTAGGTCGTGAAAAACATTTCAAGCTTAAACTCTCTTTCATCAGAAATACATACATTTTTCAATATTGAGATTTGAGTAGAACTGTCATCAGTTTGAATCCTTTGCTGGGAAAATTGCAAAATCTCCCTCATCCCGATACATAAATATTATGACAGTACTGGGTGATCTTGGCAATGGATCTATGTCTGAGAATTCTGAATATAATGTCATGTGATGTAAACACAGGAAAATGCGTAGGCGTACAGTCTGATTGGAATTCACATAACAATTTCATGTTTTATATTATGATTTGACTTTACCCAATATCCATAGAGACAATGATACTCCATTTCTGTAATAAGATATTTTTAAGCATGGCTATAACTCATTCTTTATTTAATAATAAATTAGTTTCAAAACTCAAAAATGCGTGTTTTGTTGCATGGATAGATGGCAGTACATGTTTATACTTCTGCATGGTACATAATAATTTAAAAGCTTCACAATTTAATTTTTATAAAATGTAAAAATAGTTTTTATACTTATAGCTTAACTAATTGCTTCACTAAACAGTGCATTAATTAATAGAAATTACATGTAATCAATAACATTTCATGTATTGATAATTAACCAATTAATGAATTCTACATTCCATCACTCATCATTCATTAACATGTACATTTTTCTTAGTGAGAGTTTTCTCAATTTTCCAAATTTCTGTATTTTCAGATGAATTAGATGCTGAGTATTACGATGATTCAACCTTTTTCTGGAGGTAACCATGGCAACTAGGTTGCAGTTTCATCGATATAAATGCTCAATTGGTCGTGACTAGCCCCATGCTAATGACAGAACCAAAATAGATTTCAAGTCAGATGGCAACTCACTTACTGAAGCATAATGACAATCTCTTCATCAACTTGATGATAAAGTAGAAACTGCCTCTTTATCAGAGACTACCTCTTTAACAGAGACTGCCTCTTTAATAGAGACGATGTTTAACTTGAGACTGCTTTTAACCGCGATTGCCTCATAGTGGTTCCTACATACCTCAGAACTGAAAGATGACGAAAAAGTGTCCATGCATCAAACTGAGAGGCTGATTTACATTACCCATAAATGTGGTTCTTCGAGTGAAGGAATAATCCTCAGAAAGGGTACTTGGGAACCAGGTCAATATATGGATAAATGCCCATAATAAGTATTATCATATTTGGGAAAGGGAGTTCAGACATTTTGTTAGCAGACATCGTTTTTTAAATGAAGTAACTTTAAGTTTGAAAAAATCAAAAAATTTTAAAATGCATTTTGGGGAGAGAAAATGTAAATGAGTTAATTTTGGGAAAACAAAATATTGACCTGTTCCTTTAGGTAAAATGCACAGTACACTCAAATATGACAACAACGATAAATAATAAATGAAAAGAAATTATTTATCTTACAAAATATTAATTCAGATTGTTTATCACAATTTTAAGTTAACATAAAATAATGCCTTATGGGATTGGTGTGGGCTCCCTCCCCTGGTGCAACATGGGATAGAATATCTCTGATGTATTCCCCAGTTTCCATAATTTCCTTTACAAAACATGTAGATGATGTTCATGGGTGCAAGTGTGAATATGATTGTATATAACTGAGGAGAGACTGTAAATTTTTATGAAGAACAAATAAGGTGCTATGTACCTTGATGAATTGTATTTTTATGTATTGTATAAATATGGCAATGGCAATGTGGAAACACTTAAGTACAGTATAACATACAGAAAACTTATCCATTCTTCAAATGAAGGACCCAACCATTTATATCAGAAACAAATATTGGGTCCTATATTTGAAGAATGATATTGGTTTTAATAGACGAACGCAGTAGTAATTAACAATACATGTATTGTAGTTTAGAGTAAAACCACTAAAACACTAGAATCTCAAACTTGACTTGCGGGAGGCATCATGAGTTCATCTCTTGCAGCGATAATTACTCATAATGGCATAATTCGACTCCAACTTTGCAAATTACTTACCATCTGTAATTATAGTGATGTAAAATATATCATTTTACGCAATAGTGATGTAAAATTTGTTATAACGAAATTGTGCATTCATTTTCATGTACGTGTACTTTAAACAGTTATGAAGTGAAATGATAAGAGACACTAATATGTTTTACTTTCACATTCATTGTATATAGGAGAAAAAAGGCAGCAATATTATTTATTTATTTATTGTTTTCCCTTATTTGGCAAAATCGAAAATCTTATATTTTTTTATTTCGACAGATAGGGGGCAAACATTGTACATATTAGATAGTGATCCTGTATTAAAAAATCTTTGTATTCATGGTTTTTATGAAGAATTAAAAAAAATTGTAAGAGTGAAAGTGTGAAAATACATGACCTACAAGCATTTTTTAAAATAGGAACACATGTATTTGAAATCAGCATATAACAATGCAAAGATAGATGTCTCTGTCTCACAATCACGAATGACATAAAGATATCACTAACATTTAACATTACTGTATGAATCAATTATCATTAATAAATCTCAGTTTTATTTCCTGTAAAACATTTGGCGAATAACTTGCTTTGATTTCTTGCCTACAGAGCTGCAATGGTGCATTTTTGGATGAAAATGTTAGGGATATATTTCTGTTACTTCTTAGTGTGTCATACCGAGCAAACAGGACCTGCATTGAATGTTTTGGGAAAATAATGGACCAAAATGGTCAGAGTACACAATGATTGTGCAGTATAATGCACAGTCTCGAGGAGACATTAACAAATGAGCTATTACTCGGAGCTATGTGTTAAACTGTACAATATTAATCTGAGTTAATGAATGCAGCTTCCAGATTTGTAAAAAGTATTTTATGTTATGGCTTATTTTGATCTTATAGATATGTGGTGTAAAGGTCCTATTCTTAAGGTCTCAGTTTCAACTCTGAGATACGCTAAATGCTAAAATACGATTTGAACAATGTATGAGAGGTGTTCCAAATTCTTGGTTCAACCTTTGTTCATTTTTCATGTTATTTCTGTGTTGATACACCACCACAAGGTTTCATTATTATTGATATTATTTAATATATTACTATTATAGAATATAGATGCAATAGGAGGAAGATATGTTTAAAATAGTCAAACATGTATACAAACTGTAATGTTAATGATATTATAGAACTCGTAAAATAATATAATAAATATATATAAAGCGAATCACAGGTTTATGTTATATTGATATTGGCAAATATACATCCCCTCCATAAAGTTGGCAAATGTACACCCCCTCCGTTAAGTTGGCAAATGTACACCACCTCCATAAAGTTGGCAAATGTACACCACCTCCATAAAGTTGGCAAATGTACATCCCCTCCATAAAGTTGGCAAATGTACATCCCCTCCATAAAGTTGGCAAATGTACACCCACTCCATAAAGTTGGCAAATGTACACCCCCTCCATAAAGTTGGCAAATGTACACCCCCTCCATAATGTTGGCAAATGTACACCCCCTCCATAAAGTTGGCAACCAGAAATTTTCATTGGATAACATAAACCTGTCCATGTATGAATCTTAATTCTGTTCCTTGAATTACAATAGTTTCGGGAAATTGATGAATTGTTTCAAATCTCCAACATAAACAGACTTTAAAGTGATCCAAAAAAGGAGACTTCCAGTTGCTAAACTTATTAAGGGGAGTGTATGCGTTGACTTTATCTACACTTCATCCAACTATATCCAATAAGAATATATATAAAACAATCAAAATACTACATTTTCTGCCTGTTAAGAAGCAACCATTCATTGGCCGTTTGAAGTTGAAAGTAAATTACCTCTTTCCCGATCGATAAATCTCTAAAGAGGTCAAGAGGTCAATGAGATATTTAAAGGTTAAGATTCCCTAAGAAGTCAAGAACAAAACCTAAACATAACATTACTTGTGGTCAAAAGAAATGTCAAAAATAGCAGGGTAACAAAAACGGTATCATGTCTGTTATGTAAGTACAGTATGTTTCTGATTTAGGGTCACTATAGCGATGCTCATGTTTCTATGACGCAACAATAAAATATCGCATAAAATATGCTATCTCCATTTATAATAATGGTTAGTTATGATTGTTCTATGTCCATATATTTCTATTTACAATATCAATATTTACAATGTCATTCTGTACATAAAATCAATAATATATGATACATACATAATCTATACAGTACATAATAACAATATTTATATATAAAATATAACAGTTTTAATATACACATTGTATGGTGGACTACACTATATACTTAGCTTTATGGAAGACTTTTGACAAAATATGAGTTATAACTTAGTGTATTCACCCTAGAAATAATTCATCAAAGGATCAATAAGTGACAAAATACTGCAATATTCAAAATGTTCATCTTAAAGGTGCAGTAAGGTGTTAAATACAATGTGTCAGGGATATAAAGTCCAACATGGGCTTTCAATTGAAAGCCCATGGTCCAATCAACAATTCGTTATAACCATGTTTCTGACATGTTTTAGTATCAAGGAATGATACCCTTCTAATATTATATGAGAAATATAGAGAATGTTACCCATACATACCACTTGTATTTTGTCAGAAACTAAGACTCCTTTTATTCTCAGGGTCAAACCAATTAAAATATAATAATACTAGATTTATAGTACCATAAATTAATAACTCTACCTACAAAAGTTCAATGCTTTGATTTCATCACTTTCCACTTAAAAGATGTAGTAGGTCGTTATCAAATATAAAAGCACCAGTCTGTACTAACAACAGATTCACTATTTTCTCTACAATTATAATAGACTATAATGGTTGTAGCAAAAAATACATACTTTGTGCTGTCAAAATGAATACTAATTTGTAAAATTAATACTAATTTAAAAAACAATATTTTGGACTCTGGAAAGATCCAGATATTAACATCAACAAATACAGCTAAGACATCTACAGTATGTTCAGAAAATACTTGACACCCATATGGTGTACTAAGATACATTCAAAGAGCACTAGACACAATATAAGTATATGACACTTGTGTGACGTGGTGCACTACATACACTTATGGAACACTAAGACACAGATGTGGAGCACTTATGTAGGTCAAAGTCACTTGAGGTGATCACAAATAAGGCATGTGTGATGTACAACACTTATGGAATTCAAATGTATGTGCTTACAAAGCCCCTCTTCAGTAAAGCTAAAACCACATCATACTCATATCACAGGAATTTTTATAGAAAATAACTTTCAATAACTTTTTCAAATATTTGGATGGTTTAAAAATATTGGCACAAATACAGAGTAGTGTCTTATCTTTTTAACACATACATAAAATTAATTACTTCATACTGATCACATTTTTATTACAAATCTTGATAATTCAAAGCATACAGTTTGGCACAATTATATACAGCTGTACATGTTTTGTTACTATTTTGAATTATTAGCCTCCTATGATTCACCATATTTTTTTAATATTTGGAGTTTTCAATTGTTTGGCACAAATATTTTCTAATCTCACTTTTAGGAAACTTTGTAAACATCTTGGGAACTCAAAGATAGTCATCAAATAGATAATACCACACTTTTCATTTCTACAAAAAGCACTTAGAAACACTAACTGTCTAAGGAAATAATGTATTATTGATGATGTATAACGTAAGCCCCAAGGTTTGCCTGACACTGAAACGGCCATTTATTTTACTGATTTCATTTATGGCGTGCATGTTCACTCATTGACGTCAGAAATGTAAGTAGACAGGAAATCTCTAATGACCATTTGCCCAAAGGGTGAACTGCCATCAAAACAAAATGTCATTTTGATTCTAAAAGCAAAAATAGAGAGGAAAAGAGAGAAATGATTAATGCAAATATAAAGAGAAATCACGTGAAAATCCTTCTGCAAGAATGCAAGCTTTATAACCAGAAACCTTTGTACATTTTAGAGAGTAAATTCATGATATTAGCAGCAAGATATTTTAGAATGAATGGTCGAAAGCTTGCCCCATAACCTCGAAACCTTGCCCCATAACCTGCATATTCGTAACTTTTGTCTAATTGCAGGAACACGATAACCTGCACGTATGACCATGGCCTATTTTTTCTGAAGACTAATAGCTGTCACAATATATTTCCTCTCATTATAAAAATAATGAACTCGTCTCAATATTTCAGAAAATTGGTTTCATAACAATAACAATATGTGAACATCATAATGTTTTCCAGACATCAGTCTGATCAAACTAATTTCTATTTTCTGTAATAAATATTTAATAATTGTTGACATATTCATCGTGGGTGGAGATATTTCATTACGCTCTACAAGTACAAACTGGTCCTGTAAATTAAGACCTTTCTAATAAATCCTTGTCCTTTTGGTAAACAAAAGAGACAAAAAATATTGAATTTATGATGTCATGCTTTGCAGTAGCAATTTTCCATCATAAAATTTACAAAAAAATTCAAAAATGAATGATAATTTAATCTTTTTTGCCTCAGAATATGTAAGAGTGACTTCACAACCAATAGATGGTGTGATTCACTGGACTGGTCTTTCATTTTTTACATAAATATTTCATAAATATGACATTTATAAGATCTGACTTCTTATACAAGCCTCTAGTATTTCTAATACACATGATTTAGGCTTCTTCATTATATTCATCTCATTTTACTGGAAATTTTTATTTTGTAGAGCCATCGATATTACTATCATTCTCCGCATCATCTTTGTTGGTTAATGCTTCATCGTTTTGTATGGTTGTACCCAAGATTCCTTCAATGTCTTCAATCACATACTTAAAGTTAGTTTCTCCTTGCATATTTGGAGCGGAGATTTCCTGGTGTATAACAGAGAGATTGCGCGCAAATGTGGCTAGAGTTCCCTGGAGATTGTCTCCTAATGTACTGAAATACAAATTAAAAATAAATTTTTCAATCAAAGCAGTTATCATTAAAAATGTATTGAAATGTATTATAGAATTTTAGCCTAAATCATTGAATCATAAAAATGTTAATGATACACGCATTTTTTACCAATTTAAACTTAGGGACCATGTAATGATGATGCATCATAATTATCTAACCAGGTAATGAGCGTAATTAATTAACTAGTTCAATTATATTTCCTTGGTCAGGTTAAGGCCAGATTTTTAGTAGAAAAATGTGTTTTAGAAATATGATATCTAGCTCAAGAATATTAGTACGTCGGTGTGCTTTTATATACATATTATCTATAATATCAACGATGGCCATCATAAAATGGGTACCCAAAAAATATCACTGAAAATTTTTAATCAATTTATCAGACATTTTGTCTGGAAATGCACATAGAAGATACTTGAGACACTGCTACCAGTGTCTGCCAAACTGATGACAATTTGTATTTTTATGTACAATTAAAAGTTGATACTCACATCATGCCCATGTTATCCCTGTTAAAGCTGTCAATGAGGGTAAAAAGAGTCCCTTGTTTCTCCTAAAAATAAAAGAACACGTGGTAAAAACTTATTCAACTTACTTACTTATTCAACTTATTCAATTTACTGAAGGTGGCCCCAGTTGGATGACTCCAAGACCTCTGAGATGTAAGTATGGAAGAATTTTGTAACATTGAAATTAAAAATGCTGCACCAATCAACAGTTCATTAGGTTGTTTCATAAATCAAAAGAATATGCAATCAATGGACAATTGTAACATGTGACATCATATGGAGAAAATACTTTGTGAAGCAAGACCTCAAAATTAACATGACAGAAAAGATTTAAAATACAAAGGGCAACACTTTTGTAAGCCAAACCACAAACTATCCAACTTATACAAAGGCTAGGTCTTTTAACATGTTTGTATTTTTCAATATAATATTGCACTATGGTCTACTGATTTCGCTTATTAAATAAATAAATACAATAAATAAATCTACACGTTATTGCAAAAGTACGCATTAACAACTCAATGAATTTAATAACATTTCCTGATCTATTTTCACTGATGACGATGTAGAAAAAATCTATATGACATTCTAAAAGTTCTTGAACAATCAACCTACTCAATTAGCATCAGGTATAACTGGATATATTTGTCTGGCAAAGTCTAAGAGGATCATGAATAGAAAGGTTTTATCTTTACTGATGAAAACAGTCCATACTAAAGGAATAATGCAAATATAAATACATTGTAGTTAATTACATCCGTATTAGGCAGTGTATTAGAATGATACTAGATTCTAACCTTATTCTATTTATAATTGCTAATTAAGGTACAGTTAAACCTGTAAAGTGGAACACTTCCAGAAGAGGAACACTTTTTCAGATTCCCAAGACCAACTGATCTAAGCTAAATGAACCTCTACTAGTGGAACCCCTCCCAAGTGGAAAATACTTTAGAGATACCAAATATGTTCCAGAGAATAGTGGTTCTATAGGCTCTTGTGTCCCCAGACCCCGGACCTAATGTACAACCTTCCACCATACAATATATAATGGGGAGAAGAGGCTTAATCACAGATACTAGTTTTCTGCATGAAAAAAATCAAAATTCTGCAAAAAATTCTGCAAGAAAAAAAGCAAATTCTGCAAGGAGAAAATCGAAATTCTGCACAAATTTTCAAAAAAAGTCCAAATTCTGCAATCTTTAAAACGATGAAAAACGGAAACGGAAGTCAGCTACTTTCTAGGTAAGAACTGCGCGTCATTAGCGAACTCACTTTAGCGAATTTAAACGTGATAGAATGTTGAATTTCACGGTGAAATCGTACTTGTACTCAATAATGATTGATTGTTGGACATAAACAGACACTCTTCAAATACCCCGCAAAGGTAGGAGATCGTAAAATATGTAATTTCTGGAAATTCTGGTAATTCCGCGGGATTTTCATGAAAATCAGGGATTCTGCAAAAAATTGAAGTTTTGTCAAATTCCGTCCACGCCGCGGAATTACGGAATACTAGTATCTATGCTTAATGCATGCACTGGAACTTAAACTTACAGTTGCATATTAAAAGACCATTAAAAAATACAAGCTGATTTATTTCAAAGAAAAACTGTCAAAATTTAAAAGTATAATTATTTCATATTTATGATTTTCACTGATTTTCTGAAAAACTGTAACTCCCTTTTCAATTCTAATGAATTTGGACATATCATTTTATGGGATCAGAGTTTTATACAAGACTATGGCAGTATACATCTACATACTTTAATATCATAGCCTATGCCATGTGCTCTGCACATCTGGAAGAAGACACTGTAGTGGACTACAGCAAGATTCGTATGTAGCAGACGGGTACTCATCACGGCAAAGCGTGTATTCTGCGGTTCCTCCTGAAACAATAAAGTGGTTACAATTCATGGAAAATTGACAACTTTATTGCATTTATACTATTATAATACTTTACTGTGATTGGTTATGAGCTTTAATAAATAAAAAAAATTAAATCAATATAAATATATATTGCTATTTTGTCCCTTTAAGAATGCTACATAGTCAAATATTACAACATTTCCAGCCAGAGATATCTCTTAATTTTATAAAAATGCTGGTTTATATTTCAAGAAAGGGCCTCTGGGAGAGAGATAGACTTCCTTGTACCAAATAAGTATTATTCACAAAATATGGCAGTAAACAAAATACATAATTATGCATTTCAGTATAATCCCAGTTGTTTGAATAATTATTTCTTATTTTCAAGACATTTAATATTTTGGAATATTTTCTAATAATATTTTTAATATATCACCTCCTCTTCTGGTCTCCATCGTCGCTTTCGTTTCTTTTCTTCCTTCTTTGGTCGGTTAATCTCATAAATGTGATTGGTTGAGTCAAAATGTCCATTTGTTGTGAAGTCCATCAACTGAGACATTGCCGTGCTGTCTCCATAGGATAAATTCAGATCTACAGCCCAGAGAAGTTGGTCCATCTGAAAGAATAATACATGGATTGTTTAACAAGCTTACATTGTGTTAATTTAAGTGGCTCATTCTTTTTAGCTGACACTAAATAGCCCAAAATACAAAAGCGTAACAGCCTGCAATTCCCGCCATCAATAGACTTTGATTCAAGCTTTCCTTTCACACTACTCCCAGTTTTCTGCAAGTTGAAATGATGTATTCTGTAGTTAAACTTTTGAACTCTGCAATTGAAATACACCAATTCAGCATGAATTCTCTGTAGTTTTGAGGAAAAATGAGCCAAAAATGACAAAATATTGTGAAAGTCATTTGTTCAGTCAAAAAACTGCTGTCACATTAAACAACAGGAAAGCAGATTGAAATGTTTTAAAGAATCATGACCCCTCTTGAACATCTTTAAATGAAAATTGAACTTCTATCTACTTACTGTTTTTCCATCTATAAAGGTAACAAAGTCAATGGAAAAATAGCCAATCACGCCTCTTGTTTTACACGCATCAGCAATCCTTAGACAAGCCTCGTTGACGATGTCTGGCTCCACTGAGGATTGTGGGACACTTAATCCCCAGCAGTTGAATGGTGACTCAGCATGAATCTGATCTCCACAGTTGATTATGCTGATTTTACCATTGGGCTCAATGAGCATGTCAACGGTTAGTGCGGTGACACTTTCTGATGGTGGACAAGCTTCAATGACACCACCTAAATAATAAATTATTCTAATTAGATGTAAAAGGGAAGTATGGTTTGTATTAAATTCAAATAAAAACAAGATTATTCGGGATGCCCGCCCAACCGCCCACCCGCCCGGCAAACTGATTACAATATAGCACCTGAGGGTCCGATAACAATGTTCATTGTACAAGACTACCAAAATTATATTTTTGGTCATCACTTTGAAATTATATCTTTTTTACCAACAGAGTCCTAGTTAATTCATATGATAAATAACCAAACAGTACACTTTTTCTGAGAAAATATCAATTAAAAATTCACAATATAATATCAGTTCAAACATATAAGCATGCCCATGTTTGGAATAAATTTGTTCCTCACCACAAAGAGACAAGCAGAAGAGCAGGGAAATAGATTGAGGACTGCACATGTCTAAATGCAAGACTCATGGAAAAGCAGTAGATATATTTACCCAAACTAAGAAAAGCCTCTAGATATTTCTCCCATGTTGGGTATAATGTTTTATTGCACGGAGTTGAATGATTCTTTACGACTTCAGCGATTTCTGAATGGATCTTTATCCCAGCAGCCTCCTGGGCCCACTTTTTCGACCATTTATCGCCATATCTTGCCGCTTCTTTACATGCCCAGGCATAACTGGGAAGATGATCTGCGATGTCACAATAAGCAATACCACGTCCATCAAATTCATCATCTAACTTGAACAGCCACCGTTTGACTTCCAAGTGTTCTGTTACTAACTGGGCAAGGCATTCATTGAGCTGAAATGAAAAATTTCATGGTCAACACTTTATTTTTTTTTTCTGTTTATTAAGTCATGTTACAAATACATTTTTAATGTTACAATTATAAGATAGTGTCACATATTTTCCAAAATTGTGGGTAAAATACATTTTTTCTTTATGGCTATTTCCTTCTTCAAAGAGTGTAATACTTTATTCTTAACATGATAAGAAAGTTGAAAATTGCTGAACGTTTAACTGAATGAATTCCCTCCTTGGTAATTTATGTATTGATGTACATATTGAAAATCAATTAACCTGTGGTAGAGAATATACATCATACTCTCCAGGTGGCGCTTTGACTCCTGCACTGGCAAATATTCTCTTACATCCAGATTTTGTGGAGTATAACTGTGCAATATCTGGCTCGGGGGAGAGCATGGGTACCCCCAGATAGTCGGCCACAGCAACATCATCCTTATGTGGAACACCAGGGACAATGTAAGCGTCTCGTCCCCTGATCAAGTTTTTGAGACGTCGTAATGTTTGAGGGCTATACCAAAGGTGCGAACCAAGGCACATGCGATGAGCCTGAAATACAATCGACATTATTTTTATATATTCATTTATTATCATTTAAAAAGTAATAATTTCCAAGAAAACATTTAAAAATATAAATAGAAGTTCAAAGTACATATACGATTATTTCAGAGAAGCAGTTCTAAAATTGCAGTTTCCAAACCACTGTTCAAATCAAGAGCAGTGGTCCATATGCCATAAAATGAAATGTCATTCAAAGAAATTCTCGATGGATTGTTGTTGCATTACCTGGTGAGATTGGTGGGAGCCTTTAATTGGCTAACCAGGTAAAGTTCTATTCTAGGAGGACCAACCAAAGCTAGACCATCCTCCAAAGACAGTGCTTCATAACTCGAAGATATTCCGGGGGTCATTAACAGAACTTTCATAAAGTTTGAATTCACAAATCAGTTGTTAATTTTTCGAATTTGGTAAATATGCATTAACTGGACTTTCGTAAAGCTACAAACGATTTGCAAAGTTATGAAAAAATGATGTCACATATGCTTTTGTTGGTAACTTTAATAGCACCTCAGACCCTTCATTCATTTCTTATGTAAGGTATACAGTTTGACAAAAACAAATTGTTTTTATATGCATGCAAAGTTTCAAGCTGAAATATCCACTAATTCTTACATGATTAGCAGATATGATCCTAAGCTGAGAATCTTTGAGATCGCGGAGACATGTTTAACCACTGCGCGCAATGATACTAAATGACGTCATGTTTTCATTTGTGCTAGTTCTGTTAATGACCTCCTGGATCTTGAAGTTCTGTGGTTAGAGGATAAGCTAGACTTAAACAGTATGTGATTGTGTAGTAATGTGCACTGTAAACATCATTAACTCTAGATTGACAGTGCATGCACTTAAAGTATGTCTTATCATTAGAGTCAGGAGAGGGGGAGGGAGTGTCAACTTAAAATTATTTAAAACTTGTAGCTGTATGGTAGTTTTAAATTCAACATATTCCAGGTTTAACTAAATTGCTAACCATGTAGTACTGGTCTGATTTCTTAACATATTTGAAGAGATGGAATATTGTGTATATGTGCATAACTTAATGAAGTGAAATATTCATATTCTTAAGCTAGAGAGCACTCACTCTATAAAACTTTTTCTGAAAAGTAATTAAAAGGTCTTGAAATGCAATGAAGCCTATAAGATTAGTAGAACTACATGATCTCCCAATAACAGAAGCAATACAATTTGATACAGGCACTGATACACCCAATTACTAAGGGTGTGAGTGCAAATGTTTTGTAATGTTTTATTCTGGTGTATCATGAAACAAACTATAACTAAATAAAAAAAAAACTTGGTGCTGTAACCTGTAGAGAAGTAAGTTGAGATTTTTGCCTCTTTAATTATACACAGGATGAACCATAAAAATATGAAAAAATCATGAACTAATTGTTAGAGAAAATAAAACTTAACAACCAATATAATATGTCTAAGCAATAACAAGTAATATGTCTTAGTGATAATTAAACATAGGACAAGAATTGTCTAGTGTCTACTTAATCAAAACAAAACAGGATACAGACAAAATACAACACAAATTTTAGTCTATGAATGCCATAAAAATAAAGCACATACATTCAAAAGAAAATATAAAGTAATAAATATGATAAAATATGACCAAAATTTAGCAAAACAAAAATATTTAAACCCTTTAATATAGAACACAGTATCAAAAATGCTCACTGGAAAACTTGTAACACCATCAGGAACAATGATCTTGTATTTAGAGGACACATCTCCCTGATCTTCCACATTCCCTGTGTCAATGGCTGCTCTTAAGCCAAGGAGTTTGGAATAATATTGGAGCTTCTCCTCACTCACAGGGAGTGGTGAAATGTAGATGACATCAACATTTGGATCTGAAATTATTATAATTTTCATATTTTTCTGATGGTATTATTATTTCTCTCTGTACATCTTTTGGCAAAAATATCTAAAATCCATAGCTTCTTTCATATACATGTAATGGCAAATGCAATTCAAAGATACTGGCCATAATTTGATTCATTATCAAAGGACAAGTGTAGAATTCAGAATAGAGTCAGATTATCTGCTCGATAAGGGCTTTTCTTCAGATTCTATTTTTGCATAAAATTTTTCCGCAAAAATGACTGAAGATATTTGTGAAAATGGAGAACTTTGTTACTGGTTTCCTTTTCAAGGTAAAAGTTTGGGATTGAGCTTGTGAACACCTTTCTAAAGTGAACACCTCAAAATGTGAACATCAATTTTGGATGCCAAATTCACCCAAGTTCCCACAACTTAATAACAAATGAAACATATATGTCTTAATGTGAACAGGGAACACCCTTTAAATATTAATTACGGATAAAAATGTAGAGATTTCATTTCTTGAACAAAATCAACTGTAAGTACCTTTGATGTCACAAAGCCTAGCCATCTGTGTATTCTGCCTAATGGGAAAATGCTGGATTGTGTCTCGTATCTTTTGTGAGTAGCCCAAAGAAGGCAGATGAATAATAACACGTCTTGAGTGCTTGATTCGATCCCACTGTTGTGCAAATGTCTACAAAAAATTTAAAAATAATAAGTTTAAACTTTGCAATACACAAACACCTATTTCATTAACTAATAAGAATTTAGATAATCTAAATGTATAAATCTTTTTTTGCAGTTTTCAAAATAGAATAGGGACAACATATCCACATTCATTACTGTGTTGCTGGTCAATTCAAAACACATACAAAATGAGCAAACTAAACATAAAACTAAGTGATAAGAGATCAACATTCAAAAAGTCAGCTAAAAATGTTCTGCTTGCAAATTTCCTTTGAGCAAAGCTAGACTGCATTTCCCAGGCGACAACTGGTTTAACTAGCTTAGTTATATTTTTTCTAATTGGGAATATACAGTTGCTAAAAGTGTCGCCCACTCAGGAACATTTTCCTTGAAATAAATAAACAAAACACATTTAAAAAACAAACCTTAGATCTTCTCCTAAATCCTTCCAATTGGTCCATTCTTGTCTGTTTCAGCCCATTCTTGATCTTTGACATTTTCACAGACATAATCCAAGAGATTACGATAACTCCAGCTGCCCACTTGCGCTGTCTGTATGACAGGTAATCCTTACGATCCCTGTACATTCTATACAATGATTGAACCTTCGTGGCTGCTATGTGGTCTCCATTTGGACCCATAAACCGGCGCCCCTAGTAAATATAAAAATCATTTTTTGTTGCATAGATTTTTTTATAGAGGCACTATTACTACCTTTATAGAGTTATTTGGGCTTATTGGTATCTCACTGAAGATATTTTGTAAAATTTGGAAATCTTGGTCAAAACTGGAATAATATAGTCAAGAGTGGCAGTTCTGAATCAAAATAGGTATTTTTGGTAGAAGCTGAACCCTTTGAAAATTTAGAACCTAATTCTTGTGATTACTATAATGGCCTATGGTAAGCAACACAAGTGACATGTTGAGACACTTTCAACAATAAATGTCTATAAATGACTTACAGGTCGCTTTATGACAGCCTCTACATCTTCTCTGTTGACAACCACAGTGAGCAGGTCATCCACTGTGGGATTGTGCTCCAATTCAAACTCAAGAGATAAGTCAGCTAACCTAGAGGGGTAAAGATAATCAATAAGAAATGAAAATGTATCAGGCCAATAGACAGCTTTTGCCAAGGGGAGTTCACTTTTAAAAAAATCCAGGGGGTTCACATTTGACAACTTTGGCCCAAAATCACTTGAAAAGTGCTCAGAGTTGTGAAAGATTGCATGAATTTGAAACAATCCTGTATATAAAGGGCTCTCACTAGGAAATTTTTGATGTATTTGTTCAGCGGATTTGAGTAAAATACAGAAAATATTGTGGCCAAGAAGAGGGTATTTCATGAGGCACTAACAATCTGTGTAATGTATATGGTGCTTTAAATGGTTTTTAACAAAGAATGATGCCTTATGACATGATGTGTGATATAGTTTAATGTGATACAGCCCTAATCTGTGAATTTTTCCAATTCTTCGTTACAATACTACTCCTCTAAACAAACTCATACTATAGTTGCAGAAGTTCAATTTTCCCTTACCTGTCACCATTAATGAAGGCAATTGGCACTGCGTAGTTTGTCATAAGTTTTTCAAGGTGTTTCAACATGGAAACAATTCTGCAAAAATAAACAAATATAATAAAAACCTGGACACATAAGTTATTCATATATCAAAGAAACAATAAACTTCCCAAACAGAAAAATAGAGATTCATCAACACGATGAAATATTGAAATATTTTGAGATATTAATTTGTACCATGTCAAAATACTATGGAGATCACTTAGATGTACTATCATCCCAGATTGAGCAACTTACCCGCCCCATGACAGACAATAGTGCTGTTTGAAGGCCTGGTATTCATGTGACTGGTCTCGTGTCTTCCCATGTTGTATTGCAAATCTGTGACTAGAACTTTTGAACTCACCACTTGCAGGAGTTGTGGGAGGCGGCTAAAACAGAAAATAAGCTTAAATATATTATATTTCAGATAAAGAATGTATATCTTGTTAAAGTGCATAATTGAATAAAGTCATATATAGTATGATATAATTACAACTGTTTAAAAGAACGAACAAATTCAAAAAGTTCATTTTCCAAAAATATCAAAAGCAAATGTGCTTATTCAGTATGTTCAGAAAAAGACATCCTTTTCTAATATTTTTTACAACAATTTCTTCAAAACATATCATTATTTGAATCTTGAACTATACTGATGATTAACTTTTTTCAATAACATCATTTGGCTTTAAAATTTCAACATGCATGTAAAGATCAATTGCTTCTATCATTTTGTCACCTTTTGATGAATCGTAACAGAATTGAAGAAGTACTCACAAGGGGTTGTAAATTAAAAGGCATCTCGTATGTTTTCAGTGAAGGATGAGGAGCTTTCTTTCCAGTTTTCCCACTACCTGCGCTTGTCGTTTTACGTTTTTCTCTCTTGCCTTTGGGGGATGCCATCTTGGTGGGAGTGATGAGACTAGGGGTAGACCCCACAGGGCTCTGTTGCGACATATTTTGTCGAGTATCAGGGGGCAGGTTAGAGTCTAGGATCACGCCTGTTGTATTGAAGTGGCCATCTGAAATACATAGAGAAGTTGAAAAAATCATCTTCATGTGAAAGTCTTGGTCACAGCCCACATAAACACAACTTATGAGATATGTTTATAAGTTTGTAAGTATATGCATTTACTTTCATTCATTTTGAGAGGTAAATTTAAAGATTTCTTTTTAGATGTACTTTTAGATATACATCAAAGTCTACTCAAGAAAGTGATGGATAGCTAGGTATTTTTAATGAATGCAACCAATTAACTTTTTCAAGAAATCTACATGAATCGTGGATGGATGTACAAAACATTAGACAAACAATTCCACATAAATGTATCCTTTACAATTGAATGAAAATGACTGTATATTCAAAGATTAGTTCAAACCATACCTGTGATAGCCAAAGGAGGAGGTTTTCCCCGCTCATCTCTTACACTGGGGTCATGGAGCTGAGCTAGGTTGTGACGAACAGGAGGTGGCTCCAAGGTCAATTCTGCAGCTGGAGGGATCAATCCACGCTCTATGAGACTCAATATGCCTTTCTTGGCATCATCCTCTGAGATTGGTGGTGGCACAAGCTAAAACAGAATGCAGAAATAAATGAATAATACACATGTATAAATATGTCTTTGTATAGAACTAAATGTTACTTTTTCGAAACAAAATCAAATGTAAATAAGGGTTATGTACTGGGAGGTTTTGGATATGGGGTTTATCCAGAGGGAGATATGCATATCTACCTGAGGGACCATAGGGACCGAAGGTAGATGTGCATATCTCACGAGGGATGAACCCAATATCCAAACCGACAGTACATAACTGCTTTATCCTATACCAAGTAGAGTTTTCAATTTTTTCACATTTTTCTGATTTTTTTCAATTTTTTCAAAAAAAAATTCTATTTGTTTTCTTCAATTTTTTATTTTTTCAAATTTTTTTTCACATTTTTCTTTTTTTTCAATTTTTTCAAATTTTTTTCGAAGCGGGAAGATATGCCCTGGAGCGGGAGATATGGCGGGAGATATGGAGGTTCAGGTTATGGAAACCTCAAAATCAGGATACGTGATATATCTTACCAACTTATCTACTTGGCATAGGATAAATAGAGATTATCCTATATGAGGTTCAGAATATTGGGATTATCCCGAGGCAAATATAAAAGAGGGAAAATATATTATATTGGCCAAGGGATAATCCCAATATCCTGAACCGACTATAGGATAATATGTTTATCCCATACCAATCTTGGTCATCTGGTTCACATTGTTCAGTCGTGGAAATATTTTAGAATATTCATGTCCAGTTTTGTTTACTTGACCGTGGGCGGATTTTCCTGTTCTCACAAATATTCCCGCATTTATTTTCTCAAATTTTTGATTGATTAATTGGATGCTCCTTCCCTCTTTAAACCATCAAACACGAGATTCCGATTGTCTGTGTTTTCTCCATCGTCGTTTACAGTCATTACGCGAACGTTACAAATTATGAACAAATATGCGAGCGGCGATTATGACGTAGCGGGCAGATATACTATATCTGCCCGCTCGGAGCGGGACGTAAAGCTATATCTGCCCGCTGATGAAAATATAAGTTTTTACAAACCGGCTTTATGTACCTGTAACACGTCCAAGTATGGGATAAATATGTTTATATCATATATAACAAATGAGGCACTTGATGAAGTGTAATCATATTTGCATATTTGGAGTTTATGTCCAATAACATCTTCTCTCTTGAGTCCAGTTTTTACCCCCTCCCCAAAAGATTAGATTCATGAAAACTGATATATCAACATTAGATCACATCAATACAATATATCATTTATAAATAACTTAGCAACTGGTAAATAAACTGAAAAATGATCTGAAATCCATATGAAGAACGCCGGGAATTTCCGTCATATCTACAATTCATAAATATCACTCACTGAAGCATCCTTCCTATTGGCTGCTGGAAGTCTAGCTAGAGGCTCAACATTGGAGCCAGTGATTACTTTAATCTGAGCCTGTCTATTGGCTGACTTGTCAGGAATAAGAGGCAGCTGTATATCATAGCTGTCCTGTAGTAGGGTGCGATTTTGTGCATTATATGGGTTCTTTACGATTTTATGCTGAAAGTTCTGCTGAGTCTATAACACACAACATACATGATATTGTTTATTTTACATTTACTGCTAGTTGTATTGCTCTAAGGTAGGATAAATTGGGACTCATTTTACATGAGTCACCTTGGGCATACATAGGATTTTTCTGTATTTTTCAAATGAACTACCCATGGAGTATAGCTAGGGGGAGGGTGCACAAACCCCACAAAAAGCATTAACAAATTACAATTTGAAATGCACCATATACAATGTACTGTATATGGAGCAAAGTACGAGTACTACTACTTTGAAAATAATTGTGAAATACAAATCTTGAAGTCTAAAAGAAATAGTGAGTCAAATCAAATCATATAAGATACGCACATGTTGTCCTGGTGTCACACCTGCCATTTGACCAGACTTGGAGCTGACTTTCTTTCCAGAATTCTTATGCAAACCAACTTGGTTTGGCCTGATGGACATATCCCTGTAAGAGCACATAATAGTAGATTGATACAACATATGCAGCATTTAACTAAAAACAATACTTTAAAATTACAATTTGGGGCCGGATATCAACTTCTGTATTGCACACAGTGAACTAAAGAAATTTGAATCTGTTTGTTTAAATGTTTATTTTTTCGTTGATAATACTCTTTTATCTTTATTACCTTCATTGTAACAGAAGCCTGTATGTTTTTAATGAATCTTTTTTAATTCTTTTTTAACCTCTTGACTTTCTGGAGTGACAAGATTTCTCGTCACCTCAGAAATGACCTTGAAACCCAGAGTGACGAAAAAATATGTCACAAAATCTGTTCACTAAAATTGCTCTTATATGAACAATTTATGTAGTAGAATGTCAAAAGGTGGCAAAAATGAAAAAAATCTCTGATTTCAACCGATTTTAGAGCCTGGAATTCAAGCTGTTAAAATTCAAGAAGTCTGATTCTGTTTTTATTTATTCTTTTATCTTTTTATTACCTTGATTCTAGAAGTCCTATCCTGTTGGTCCTTCTGACACCAAGGTCCCCTCTTGTGTCAGTCCTCAGGTCCCATGTGGTCTCAATAGCCATGTTATCATTCTGCTGTTGTAGAGGGCCTGTTGAGTCCAAAGATGGGAGCGTCAGGATCTGGTTGTTCATTTGGTTTACAACCAACTCAGTCCGATCCTATTCAAAGTTGAATACATTTCATTTTTAGCAATTTTTAAAACTACATTTAATACACTACACAATACATACTTCATTTTCTCTTTCATCAGGTTTTGGAATCAAGTATTGCCCATATAACTCCAAAGTCATGATATACAACAGGGTGTCCAAAGTCCATAAAGTCTCTACACTTTACACAGACTTTGTATTTTAATCATAGAGACTTTATGGACATCCTGTAAATTGAGTACAAAGAGGTAATGAGCTTCTTACCCGAATCCCATCTTGTGTCTTCTCAATAGCATTCTGCAAGGCTGTTAAGTCTATGCTGCTACCTTTCTGATGAAGCAGCTTGTCCCGTAGTTGATTCAAGTCCTCTTGCACCTATGATAAATTTGTATAAGTATGAATAAATGTTGTTTCCTTTCTGAGTACATTTGTATAAAACCTGCAATATTCCCCTTCAATTATCACAACTGCGTGAGGTAGAAATAAAAGAGCCCTCTACCGTCACCAGCCGACTGTCGTTCTGTCGTTCAGGCACTAGCAGCCCAGTAAGGCTAGAATAAAGTCATCCTGCATTAGGTTTAGATATTTGACATTGGGATTAGATTGAGGAAAATGGCAGTAGTTATCTGTTTGTTTTAAACATCCACATACAAATGAATAGGACAATTGAGTATTTTTATGATTTGATCACTCAAGGAATTTAAGACTGAAGCTTAGTGACGACTTACTAAATTTGATTGATTTTAAATATTTATGAAATATCAGAGGCTTTACTCATAAAGCTCATGTATTGCCATGAAGCTGAATGGATGTGTGATGACCACCTTTTTTGTTTTCATGAATGTTACATAGGGCCACACATTTGCCTAACATCTTACGAATACATTTTCATGTTCGTCAAATTAACCACAATTTACGTCTCACCTCCAGACCATGTGTAACCAGAGCATATAAACGAACTACTTTTTAAATGAAAGTTTACGATTAAAACAATAATTTATAGACAATTCACTTTGATTTTTGCATAGTGAAATGAATACTAATGCTTCTATCAATTTTCTATTAATATTTGCCATCAACTTACACAGAGGTCCATGATTTACATCATTTAGTTATGACCTGTACATGTATGTATGAGCATAACAAAGCAATTGCTTTATTGATGCATATCTAGGGTTGGAATAGCCACTATCTCATTAATCTTTGGGTGATTTATTCAATGATCATAATTAAAACATTCTGTTAATACTTGAATGACCCTAGATATAGCAAGTCGCTTCTACAGTCTCTGCTGTAGTGGCTAGCCCTTATGGCCCAATCAGTATAGCGTCTGACTTGTGAGCGAAGGGTCCTGGGTTCGATTCCTGTACAGGGCATTGAATTTAGCTCACTTCCTTTCATGTCTAGTATCTATTTGTAACCAAACGTCACTCAAGTGAACCAGGCTGCGTCACCAAAGCTCTTCAAGATTGACAGTCTGAAGGAGCGTAGAGAGACTGCTAGAGTTTTCCATTTTTACAAAGGAAAGCAGAACCTCGCTGCCATCGACGTGCCTCCATACTTCTGCCAACAGATCAATACCAACACTAGGCTGTATCATCCTTCTAAGTACATGTATATACAACAATCAACTAGAACGGATGCATAAAAATTTAGCTATTTCCCCACGACAATAGCTATAATGGAACACTCTACCGGGTGACATCTTAGACAGTGACAGGCTAAGTGGTTTACACGTAAATCATCATACTATGCCTATGTCAATAAGAGCAATTAAATAGGTGTGTTTTTAATACAGATCTATTTTTACCCAGAGCACTCAACTCATTACACGTCCATGTTTTAATGTAAATGGTCCCCATGGCATAGCATAGCAACAAGCCTGCACTACTGGTAAAGAGGGGCGATGTCAATGCTGTAGCCTGACAGTTGTCCCAGGGTATCCCAACATAAAGGTAATTCCTAGGGGGGGTAGTGGGTACATGGGCCAACCAAGAAGTTTCCTTGCAATTTTTAATTGTAAACCATATGTAATGACCCGAGCACGCCCCAGGGGAATGAGCATAGTGTAACAAGCCAGATAAAGAAATAGAAAGAAAGGAATCGAACCTAGGAACCTTAGACCCTCAGAAGTCTGATGCTCTACTGACTGAGCTATAAAGGCTTAAGCTGGACTGTAGTAGCAACTTGCTATCAAGGGTCATTACACTATCTCCCCCTTTGAAAGGACCACACCCTCGTGGTCAGCCCTAATTCCCTAGCAGTGATCCATATACACAAGGGCGCAAAGGATACAACCAATGCTCTGATCCCACTTCTGACAACAATATAATGACCCGAGCGCGCCCCGGGAAAATGTCTAACTAACGAGCATTGGGCTGCCCCCCCCCCCACCCCCAGGATGGGCCCAAAAAAAGTATTGGCCCAAAACATTGCAGGGCCTCTTTAGTGGGCCTTTTTGGGCATTACTTGACCTTTTTGGCCTTATTTTTTTCAATTTCAATTTTGGTTTTAGGGCCCTAAAAAAATTTATGCGCGGCCCTAGGATGGGCCAAGAAAAAAATGTTGGGCCAAAAAAATTGTAGGGCCTCTTTAGTTGGCCTTTGCTTGACCTTTTTGGGCCTTATTTTTTCAATTTCAGGCAAAATTTTCAAAAAATGGGCCATAAATCTTCAAAATTTAGGCCCAAATTTTGGTTCTAGGGCCCTAAAAGGTTTTCTGCGTGTTCATAGGATGGGCCCAGAAAAAAATGTTGGCCCAAAAATATTGTAGGGCCTCTTTAGTGGGCCTCCTTGGACATTAATTGACCTTTTTGGGCTTTGTTTTTTTCAATTTAAGTCCAAATTTTCAAAAAAACGGGCCATAAATTTTCAAAGTATTCGCCTAAATTTTGGTTTTAGGGCCCTAAAAATCTTACGCGCGGCCCTAGGATGGGACTAGAAAAAAAAATGTTGGGCAAAATATTGAAGGGCCTCTTTAGTTGGACTTTACTTGACCTTTTTACTTGACCTTTTTGGGCCTTATTTCTCAATTTTAAGCCAAATTTTCAAAAACGGGCCACAAATTTTCAGAATTTTGGCCCAAAATTGGGTTTTAGGGCCCTTAAAAAATTTCTGCGCTGCCCTAGGATGGGCCCAGAAAAGATATGTTGGCCCAAAAATATTGTAGGGCCTCTTCAGTGGGCCTTTTTGGGCATTACTTGACCTTATTGGGCCCTATTTTTTCAATGTTAGGCCAAATTTTCAAAAAAACGTGCCATAGATTTTCTAAATTTTGGCCCAAATTTTGGTTTTAGGGCCCTAAAAAGTTTTTTATTTTTTCCTGACTTGAAGTGTGGGTCCCCCATTGTTATCTTCCGGATCCGCCACTGTCCTTTACAAATACAAAGGGGCTTGGTTTAGTATGGGGAATTTTTTTTTTGGGGGGGGTTCGAGCCCCCCCTTACAAAAAGCTGGCTACGGGCATGTTGCTATCAAGGGTCGTTACACATAGATCTATTTTTAAATGTTAATGTCTTAAATTATATTATATTCAAATTCTATCACTGTCAAATTATATATCTGCTTTAATATGGGCTGATTAGCCTTTTGCAGATTATTGGCATTGATTCCCGTATGGGGCATTGAATTCAGCTCACTTCCTTTCATGTCTAGTATCTGGCTCGTTACACTACAGCTCCCTGACAAATGCCTATGCGTCGCTACAATACACATTAAATATTGCAAATATGTTAAATAAACCTTAACACACACTTTTTAGTTTTGTGAATATGTTGGTACATTTTATAGATCTAGTATCAAATACATGTACATGTGCATGCATTCCGATAGGTTTGCAGGCTCGTCTCTATTTATGTCATACTATTACTATCGATACTTTTTTGAATAAAACCTCGGCCCTGCGTGGTATCAGGCTATGAATTGAAGGTGGAGAAGTCAATCTCTTTTCTGTTAGGGAACTTGACTCGATTTTTCATACTTGTTCCAGCGCCTGAGGCCTAGGAGTCTAATCGTAGAAACACGTTTTTCACAAGGGCTTCTAGATGCCAGGTTTTTCCTTGAACTAAAGTGAGTCTTTAATGCCATTGTACTTCCAAATAGATCTACATGTCTGCTGCTCCGATGCACAGGGCATCCTGAGTGCAAATTGTTTTGAAAAAATTTAAAATTCTGACTCACCTTTACCAAGATGTGCCCGACTTCTTCAGGTCTTGAATCCATCATTGGCATCGTCAACCTATTTAATGTGACATTAGGTAAAACAAGGAGCAAAATCTGTTAATCAATATGGAGTATTATAAGAGATATAGGAGAATTTATAACATTTTAAAAAATCGTGAAAGTTGCTGCGGCAACAGGGCTTAACAACAAGATTTGATGACGTAGACATCAAGTATTGATGTTGCATCCTGGGAAAAATTAAAGATGTCTGCGCCCTGTGCCGTTTTCGCAAGTTGCATTGAAACACCTCCTGATACACTAATAAAAGGTATGTATAGGATTTTTTACAGTTATCTAATGCATGGGAATATTTATGTATATCTGCAACAGAATGAATGATGTCAGATTCTGCAAACTAGTGATATTGACTTTTAAATGTCAAATGTATAAATAATCAATACATTGATTTACTTCCGGGTTTTAAAATTTTTTTTTATTTTTTTATTTATTTTTTTTTTTTATTTAGATTTTATTTATTCAGGGATATCTAATAAGAAATACATATGTTTTCTTGTTTCCATTAGGACCCTGCAGACACACATACACACTACATTTAACAATAAAATATGTGACAATATACATATCATAAAATTAGAAATTTGTAAAAACAGTACATTAATATGTGTAAAAATACTATATGACTAGTCGATAAAAATAAGCATTAAAAGTAATTGTCACACTTGACATTTGAGCATATTAAGACATGTAAAATTACAATTATTCACTAATTGAAGCAAGGAATTGCTTTTTTAGATGAACTTTAAAAGATTGCACTGAGGCAGATTCCTTTAAATCTAAAGGTGCCTTGTTCCAGAGAACAGATGCTCTGTGACTAAAAGTTTGTGTGCCTGCATTATTACAATTTTGTTTAATAAAAATACATTTGTTAGTTGTAGCACGAGTACCATAGTTGTGAGTGTCCTTAGTTAAGGTAAAACTGTCCTGCATATAAGTGGGAACCAGTCCATTCACTACCTTATACATAAGTGTCAGGTTGTGCATGTCCTGCCTCTCTCTTATGGATGGCCACTTCAGAGTATTTCTAACATCCTGGGATGGGGTACGTGGGGCACATTTAACTATCAATCTACCAGCACGGTTTTGGAATCTCTGAATTTTATCTAAGAGTTGTGAGCTGCATCCAGAGATGACAGCATCACCATAATCAAAAATGGGTGTGATGGTAGATTGGATTAAAAGTTTGGTTGTATTGAGGGTAAGAGAATCTCTCACTCTCCCAATGACCCCTAACCTTTGTGACAATTTTGTACAAGTTTTGGTTATATGTGTTTTCCAAGTGAGTGTTGGATCAAACCACAAACCAAGATATTTGAAAGCGTCGACTTGTTCAATTTTTTCTCCATTTATGACTATGTCGTCACCTTCATCTACCTTTGACAGTTTCTGGGATGACCCATACACCATGAATTTAGTCTTCTTGACATTTAATGTTAATTTATTTGAGCACAGCCATTTGTGTACCACATTCATATCAGCTGTTAACTTTGCTTTAATAGAGTGAATATCTTTGGCATGGTAAAATATGGCAGTGTCATCTGCATAGAGAGTGACTTTGGAGTCTTTAATTTGATTTTGGAGGTCGTTTATGTAGAGAATAAAAAGCAGAGGCCCGAGTACAGAGCCCTGAGGTACTCCATACTCGACTGGTAATGAAGATGACACTTTGCCATTTATACTTACACATTGACTTCGACCAATGAGATAACTGCTGAACCAAGACAATTAAAACACACAAATATTATGATAAGAATGTGTTATGTACTGAATAGATCTGTATCTAATATGCCCTGTCTAAAAGAACTATTATCTTCACATCGTTTCCACACATACTGCCAAAACTGTGCTACCCAACCACTGTAGCCAAAATAAACAAAACTCCAAAGGAAGGGAACAATATTCAGTACTGGTGAAGTGGGGTTACTTCGGTCCAAAGCCTTCTCTATATTCCGGCTTTGAGGAGGAAGATTGAGCTGCCTTAGTATTATAAATATTGTAAATCATTGTGTCACACGCACAGTAAATATGGCATAATAATATGAAATATACCTTTATGTATAGATTTGAAGAACATCAGCTCACATCCCCGTCAGAATCTATTGTTATATTTGATTTCTTTAAGCGAGAATAATTTCAAATGTTATTCACGTCCAGAACCGGAAGCCATTTTTAGCTACAGCGAGAAAATTTCACCATGTGTCAAACTCCGAAATGAAATTTTGAAATATCTAAATCAAGACAAGCAACGCTTCATCCTAAATATGATTATTATTCTTAAAAATATTTATAAAATTTATTAAAAATGAGTTCTAGGTGCGTGTAGGTGCGTATAGCACAGTACATACGAAATCAATCAAGTTTCGTCTAGCTGTAAGCTAGAGACTCGAGTAAAAGTGGGGAATACTCCAGGGTTCAGACAAGACATACATGTATGTCTATCATGTAAATATGTATTAAGATTATACATAATCGCTGATTGGTAAAATTGTCTGACAAATGACATCCACAAGCAGTTTCAAAATTCTCTAAAAACGCTTTGCGGTCTATAATATTATTCGTAAAGGCTAGAGTACCGACAATTGTCGGTACTCTAGACTCTGATGTGGTGGCACGCTAGAGGACCGACAAATAAATTGTCGGTACGGGAGATATGCTGTGTTTACACGCTAGAGGACCGACAAATATTGATTTTCGAATTTTCTGGCGCATGCGCAATGCGCGGGGGGGATATTTCAGATATCATACGGATATTTTGGGAACAAGTGCAAAACCCGTGGAGGGCATTATCCCCGGTTACCCGGGGATTACCAAACCCAGTCAAAAAATGGTAGCCCGGGAACAGGGAATGGTAGTAAACGTTGAAAACCCAATAAAAAGGAAGGGGCGTTTGCTACCCATTAGATAGAAGAAAATAGCTAGAATGTTTTTTAGAGCTTATCGTATGGTATGAGGTTCCATATCCATCCGCCAAAAGTTATATAGTCCATTTAAAAACCTACGGTATCGTTCTAAATAACCCATAGTTGGCTTCTAGGGTACCTAGTATGCCACTATTTGGTATCAAAATAAAGAGGAGTTCAACTTTCATTTGAATTACGAAAATAGCGATGTAGGTCAAAATAGTTCCGAACGTGAGGATGTTTACTACGCGTTTGCCTGTCATATCAGAATTGAGGAAGTGGTAGCAAACGCGAGTTACAATAAACGGACGCTGATATCTCAAAAAGTAACCTGACTCCCTATAATTTGATGTAGGTCAATCGAACCCCTATATGGACAGGTGCATTTTGATGTATAACACTATGGGGGGTAAGCGTTTCATAGTTGGTCACGAACGCCATATGTGCAAAGTATTGTTATGAATTTTCGAATTTGGTGTTGGACTACGGTACTCATACCTTATAGCACAATTTTGGATGGAAGTTGCATTTGGCTCCCTTAGTTAATGGCTACGATTCCATCTCGCATGAGAGAGCTACCAAACGCAAAGTAAACAGTGATATATTCCAAATGAGATATTTCTCCTGTGCCATGGCGTAGTAAGGGTAGAGGTCGACGGGGGCGAAAGCATCCCCTCCTAATTGTATATATCGACCCATTAGATACATGTAGAACAAGAAAAGAGCTTTAAAATGTTTTTTAATTGAAGCTTGTAGGACAATTTTGATGGAAGTTGAATCAATTTTTGTCGAAATAAATTATGGCTCACTACAAGTTAATGCCTGTACGATTCCATACTGCAAAAGAAGCACTATCCCCCCTCAAAAGAAAAAAGTAGGTCTTGCCGGGATTCGAACTCGAGACCGAGTGTTTTTGAATCGTGCTCGCTAACCACTAGACTATCAGTGATGAAGTTATTTATGGAAATAAAAGTAGTGAATTTATTTATGAAATTGTCGGCTCTCTAGCAAAAACACGTAGCAGCCACTTGCGTACCGACAATTGTCGGTTCTCTATCTGACACTACTAGGTGACGATAGAGTGCCGACAATTGTCGGTACCCTAGCAAATACCCCTGGACAGTCTCCAGTACCGACAATTGTCGGTCCTGGAGCCACTCCGTTCGAAATATTTGTTAATTATTCTGTCGAGTTAAGGTCCCATGGAAGTTAACAGGAAATGACGAAACAGGAAGTGACAAAAGATTTTGCATTTTTAGACATTTTTTGAACAAAGATAACAGAGTTCTGTTTTGACCTCCAGTCAATTTAACCATTTCCACATACCATTTACATGACCAGGATCACAATGTGCTTGGTCAGAATGATCCTAAACATGATGAAATAACCTTTTTAGCCCTTTGAAAGTGTGACTGAAAAAACGCTAAAAGTAGGAGCAAGGGAAGGTCACTGAACAAAATTTTTTAAATTTTTCAGAAAATGTGCCCAATATTATGCTCTAACTGATACAATCTTTGAAATTTTAGAAAATTGTCTGAAACAAAAATGGCGGGCATAAAAAGGAAAATAGATCGCTTTTCAAATCAGTTTTTTCATTTTTTTTCTTTTTCTATGAATGATATCAAATTTTCAAAGATTGTATTATTTAGAGCAAGATATTAGGCACATTTTCTGAAAAATTCGAAAGATTCTGTTCAGTGACCTTTCCTACCTCCTTCTTTTAGCTATTTTTCAGTCAAATTTTCAGAGGGCTGAAAAGTTTATTTCATCATGTTTAGGGTCATTCTGACCATGAACATTGTGATCCTGGACCTGTAAATGGTATTTGGAACTAGTTGAATTGACTGGAGGTCAAAACAGAACTCTGTTATCTTTGTTCAAAAAATGTCTAAAAATGCAAATTTTTTTGTCACTTCCTGTTTTGTCATTTCCTGTTAACTTCTATAGCACCTTAACCAATATCATATCATGTTGTTATTTCACATCAAGATAAAGAATAAAGAAAGATGTAAGGAATATGCTAACATTGATTACAGTCAAAACAGAAATGTTTGTGACTACTTTGAATTTAAAAAATAAGCAATCAAATGACCATATTGAAACAGTTTATGTAAAAATAGAAACATTTATATTTATCCTAACTTTTGCAAACGAAGGTGGTAAAAAGTAAGTTAGAGATCCAAACAGGTTTGTCATCTCTAAGCTCTAAGGTTTTCCCTCCTCTTATTCTAAGTGTAGCCATTCTCTTGATTCTCTTGAATGATGTAAAGTCAAGTCCATTTCACTTTTTTAGTCAATAAAAGCTAAAAAATAAGCAATCAAAAGACCAGAGTGCAATATCATATGGAAGAGTACATTAATTTTGTACGTGCAAAACATAAGTATATTTCAGATAAATTAGTCTTATGTGCAATTAACCTGTGATCTCTTTAATTTAGGGACTTTTAGCCATGTTAATTTTTTCGAAACATAAGAGGCAACATATTTCATTAGCCAAACCACAAGCAATTCAAAATATACAAATCTTTTGGATGCCAGTTTTACTCATGGGCTCTCACAATACATGTACATGTACATGTACATTGATCCACTACAACTTTTTTGTTTGCAGATATTTTAGGAGGTGGGACGCTACCAGAGGCGACCTCTATACTGGAAAACATATCAGCGTACCCCTGGCATGTGGATACAAAATACTACACAGCAGATATACACCTATGTGCCACAAAAGAGAGAACTATTGGCGATGAACAGTTTGCAAATTCTGTCCATGCCATTATTCTTCAATTTGACAGTAGAGATGTAAGTACGAGTGTTCATGCTGAAAATCTACTTTCAATTACAGATTTTGAAATTTGTTCTATTTGAACAAAGAATTCTTATATGTCATCAAATGGAACAAAATTCAAGCCCTTAAATGTAAAATATATGTATGCAAATCTCCAAAAGTCTTATTGAAAACAAGACTCCAACGAAAATAGCAAAGCATCTCTTGGACACTGAACTAAAATCAATGAACCAGCTGATAATAATCATGTTCTTTCATTTCTAGAGCAACAGTTTTAACTTAGTCCAGTCCTGGTTACCTTATATTGACCAGATTGAAGCACCAGTGCTGCTCCTAGTGGGAGAGAGATGTACCAATGATGATGCAGTACCAAGGTCAACTGTTTTAAAGTGGTGCTTGGAACATTCCTTTGAACTGGTAGAACTTCAGCCAATAGATGGCACTGATAGTGAGGATGAAGGTACATAGATACAAAATCATAACTAATATGAATTGGTTTTAGCTTCCACACTGTTTGGAACACATGCATATTATGCAAAGGACTTGGCTGGAATCTCTTTGTGCTTGCTTTCCTTTAAAAGGAGACCGATTGGGCAAAACTCAACCTTGATCTAAAAAAGTGGAAAGTGAAACACCCTAGAACTCATTGTTATTGTTTTTGAATTTATTCATTCACTTCTTGTTTCAGATGACTTTCCAGAGACTACAGGAGTGAAAAGAATCATTCAAGCTCTACATGCCCACACTTGGCCAAACTTAGAACTAAAAGGTATTGATTAGTTGACATATTTCTGGTAAAGGAAAACCATGACTCTTGCATATTTCTTCCATTTTGATTCTTGCATATTTCTTCCGTCTTGACTCTTGCATATTTCTTCCATTTTGATTCTTGCATATTTCTTCCGTCTTGACTCTTGCATATTTCTTCCATTTTGACTCTTGCATATTTCTTCCATTTTGACTCTTGCATATTTCTTCCATCTTGACTCTTGCATATTTCTTCCATTTTGACTTGTGCATATTTCTTCCATTTTGACTCTTGCATATTTCTTCCGTCTTGACTCTTGCATATTTCTTCCATTTTGACTCTTCAGTGTTCTTCCTTGGATGTCTTCTCAAGTGAAAGCAAAATTATCATCATCACAATTTTGCCCAATTATGGTCAAAATATGCAGATTTTTCTCAATCTCATGTGGGTGCAAATGAGTTTTCAGGGTTGCAACCTTATTTTCAGCACCCAGTAGCTCCAGTGCTGGGAATGACACCATGTTTCTTTCATTTTGACACTAATATGCTCTCTTATTTTGTCCCTACTTTAAAACAAGGCATTAACATGACAAAATGTCACCACCTAGTTGCTCACAATATTATGAGTTCAAACTTAAGTCAGATTTGAATTTCTGAGAACTTGTAAAGTCAAATTTGAACTTCTGAAAAGATGTAGATGATTTTGAAAAAAAAATTTGGTCAATTTGAAGCAAGTTGAAAACAGACCTTTTTGACCTTTTTTGACCTTGAGAAGGTCATTAAAGGTCAAATGTCAAATCTTAAGTCAAATCTAAAGTCATATTTGAATTTCTGAGAACATGTAGAAGCTTTTGAAAAAAAATTTAGTCAATTTGAAGCAAGATGAAAAAATACCTTTTTGACATTGAGAAGGTCATTGAAGGTCAAATGTCAAATCTAAAGTAAGATTGGAATTTCTGAGAACATGTAGATGATTTTGAAAAAAAATTTTAGTCAATTTGAAGCAAGTTGAAAAAACCTTTTTGACCTTTTTTGACTTTGAGAAGGTCATTGAAGGTCAAATGTCAAATCTTAAGTCAAATGTAAAGTCAGATTTGAATTTCTGAGAACACGTAGATGATTTTGAAATTTTTTTTTAGTCAATTTGAAGCAAGTTGAAAACAGACCTTTTTGACCTTTTTTGACCTTGAGAAGGTCATTAAAGGTCAAATGTCAAATCTAAAGTCAGATTTGAATTTCTGAGAACATGTAAATGATTTTGAAAAAAAAAATTAGTCAATTTGAAGCAAGTTGAAAAAAGACCTTTTTGACCTTTTTTGACCTTGAGAAGGTCATTGAAGGTCAAATGTCAAATCTAAAGTCAGATTTGAATTTCTGAGAACATGTAGATGATTTTGAAAAAAAATTAGTCAATTTGAAGCAAGTTGAAAAAAGACCTTTTTGACCTTTTTTGACTTTGAGAAGGTCATTGAAGGTCAAATGTCAAATCTTAAGTCAAATCTAAAGTCATATTTGAATTTCTGAGAACACGTAGATGATTATGAAAATATTTTTTTTAGTCAATTTGAAGCAAGTTGAAAACAGACCTTTTTGACCTTTTTTGACCTTGAGAAGGTCATTGAAGGTCAAATCTTAAGTCAAATCTTAAGTCAGACTTGAATTTCTGAGAACACGTAGATGATTTTGAAAAAATAATTTAGTCAATTTGAAGCAAGTTGAAAACAGACCTTTTTGACCTTTTTTGACCTTGAGAAGGTCATTGAAGGTCAAATGTCAAATCTAAAGTCAGATTTGAAGGTCAAATGTCAAATCTAAAGTCAGATTTGAATTTCTGAGAACATGTAGATGATTTTGAAAAAAATTTAGTCAATGTGAAGCAAGTTGAAAAAAGACCTTTTTGACCTTGAGAAGGTCATTGAAGGTCAAATGTCAAATCTAAAGTCAGATTTGAACTTCTGAGAACATGTAGATGATTTAGAAAAAAATTGAAGTCAGTCTAAACAGTATTTGTTAAGTTATAGGAAGTTGTAAGAAATTGTTACAGACGCCGGACGCCAACCGCCGGACGCCAACCGCCGGACGCCGTCGCAAAAAAACGGAGACCATAACAATATGTCACCACTTTTGGTGGTGACATAATAAAACTCAAATTGTTTTTAGATTAAATGGTTGGCTATTCAGAATTTTTAACCTGCTAGTCTAAAATGAACTATGGAGTTGTACTTGTAATAGACTAGTGGAAATACTGCTTATGCTGCATCCTGGTTATTTGTATTAAATACATGCATGTTGTTTTCTATATTTCAGAGAACCATGCTATTCAGAGCCCCTATATCAGACAGTTAATGCAAGAACAGGCCAAGGAAAAGGCTAAAGACAATAAATCTGAAAATAACTCTTCTACCTCAGACTGTAAAAATACCCCAAAAACAAACTGTTCTCAAAATACAGAGTGTTCAGAAAATACAGACTGTTTGCAAAGTGCTAATGATTTAAATCAGCAGACAACTAATGGTTCACCAGGGGAGAACCATTCAAATGGTGCCACAGGTGTGATGTCACAGTCCAGTAGTAAAGAAACAAAAAATAAACAGGAGAAATCTAGAATTGATAGAATAGGTGAGAATTGATGATAAATGTTTGACTGGATTGTGCCCACATCAAAAGTAAATTCAAAATTCTTTCTCCAAGTGTATATACACCTTATAAAACTGTACATACACCTTCATACACCTTATAAAACTGTACATATACACCTTATAAAACTGAGGGGCATTGTGTCTATTATATTGTGGAAACTAAATATTGATATCCCATTTTTAAATATGTTTTTGATATAGTGTGCTGCAGTATATTGTATTGATTCCTTTTTGAGTACCATTTTGATTTTTTCCATCTAGTAGTATAAACTATTTCCATATGAAATATATTTTCCCAGGAATAGATAAACATTGATTTTTTGTTTCATGATATTGAGGTTGAAAAAATTAAGAAATCTCCTGAAAAATCTGCTCATCTTCAAAAACATAAGCAGGATACAAAAAATGATACACATTCCATTTGATTACTTCTGGGTCTGAGTTTTCTACATAGCCTTTTGCTTGTTCCAGATGGCCTGTTACCAAATGAGGACATGGCAACATTTGCTGCTCTTGCTAATGAAGACCCAAGTGAAGGTGATGAATCATTTGAACAGTTATTTGAGAAGATGAAGATAATGAAAGGTAAGGACTCCTTTCTGTTGGTCTCTGGTATAAAAAGTAGTATAGTCAGGAGTGTAATGCTTTATAGATGGCAGCTCACAATTGATATTCTTTTCACTTTCTTTGGTTTGGATTCACAATTGACATTCTTTTCACTTTCTTTGGTTTGGATTCACAATTGATATTCTCTTCTCTTTCTATGGTTTGGATGACATATACACTATTGCTCAACAGTAAAATGTATCACAAAAAATCTGATCTGGTAGCTGACATTTCTCTCAATATTATCAGTGCAGCAACATATGGTGAAGGATTTAAACCCAGGAATCCATGAAATGTGGACGATTTTAAGGGATTTTGAACAGTACCACTAAAACATGAAATTCAACAAGAAACTTTTTTGCTTTTTGCAAAGGGTTTGGATGGTTTGACAGTTTGACCTGCATAAGCACCTATCTTGATATTTATTGTGATGCTGTTTATAGTTTTTTCAAAAGTCAACTTGAAATTATGAAATTGGTCGGTTCGAATTTGATACATCAGGCATCAAAAAATTTGACCAGTGAGATATTGGGATGACTGATTAGGGTATGCTAATTGAAAATTCAGTACTGTTATTTTGTAAATTCAAAATCATCCTTTTGGAGTAGAAGGTATACCAAGTTACATAGATTTTAAATCTTCCTTGCAGATCATGCAGATACTTTACCCCTGGATCAACGCAAGGCATATGCGGAGAAAGTTGCATTGTCATTCTGGCGTGCCATTGGTGGAGATGAGGATGAAATTGAGGGACTTTCGGACAGTGATTGAATATGTTTCTATAAGGAGATCAAATAAGTACAGAAATTGAGCCAACTTAAAAATCTGCCATTTGACTGGTTTATACATTGTCTTGATGTAATAATGAATCTAAAAAGAGGGGATTTTCCATTTTGGACTACTATATTTCCTTAGTGAGATAGTGCGTGTAATTATTTTGAAATGAAGCCATATGAACTGTTGCATCACTGGGCTTCCGTTAATGAAAATGGATCACAGTCACATTTCATAATCATCTATTTCCACCCCTCTGAATGTCACATTTGAATGAAATGAACAGTTTCTTTGCAGTTGTATATCATATTATAACTATATTTGTTGTAGTATTGTCTATTATTTAAATGTACATTATATACACTCATATATATACAAAATTTGTAATCCTATCTGTTGAAGAAATATAAAAATGTGAACGATAAGAAAATAGATTGAATTTCAGTATTATTTTATTTATTTTGTACCAATTACAATAGTTGGTGGTGCAGTATTTTAAAGTTATATCTAAAATATTATATTACTATCGGAAAGTAGTTCAGTAATCTTACTTTTTAAATTCCAGGTAAAGAGAAATGAATGTTCTTTTATCATGGATATACAATACATGAATGTGTAATACTTTAAAACGAGGTATTGACATATCAAAATGTAAGTACAGACACAAGATGTATAACATCAGACAAAAAATGGGGGCTATAACAATACAATATCACCATGGTGATAACAAACCCACATAATTCTTCTGAAATTCTCGTAAAACTACTGTACATCACTGTTAATCAGCTCAAATCAGTAAAGGCAATTCTACAGGTAGAATCATTTATTTGAATCGCTTTATGATGATAAACTAATTTTGAAACTTGACAAGAATACCTTTTCAATGACTATGAAGATGAATCTTGACTTTCAGATTCTGACAGATTTAAATTCAGTGTTTCATTACTTTCCTTTTCAGAATTATCATCTATAGTTTCACTGAGATGTAAATTCAATGTATCAGCAGTACTGTCTGTAACTTCAGATGCATGTTGTGAAAGGTCTGAAAAGTCTTTTGTTAACGCACTAGATTTTATATCTAATGTATCCGCTGTACCCATTGTATCTGATAATTTGAGGTGGAAATCTTCAGACTCATTTTGAGTTGCATTCTGGATATTTTTATCAACATTCTCTGACAACACATTCTGAGAATGTTCTTCAACCATGGTTTCAGTCAGGTGCAAATCCAAAGTTTCGGTATTTGGATTTTGCGAGTCTGAATCACAACTTTTCCTGACTGATTCATTTTGATTTGTAGACACATTTGTCTCTGGTGTATCCAGTGAATTATTTTCCTTCATAAGAGGATCCTTGGGTGCTGATGGCTCCTTTGTTTCAAAATCATCATCCAGAGCTGCAAGGAGCTCATCCTCTGTAGCTTGATCAACCTCCATGGCAACCGTCTCATCTTCATTTTGAGATGTAGTTAGAGACCCATCACTTGGAGTTGGTTGGGAGGCACTTGGTTGTGTTGAAGTTGGTGGCGTGGATGTTGGTTGCGATTTGTTTGGTGTCCAACCTATATTACAAAAACAAAAATTTCCATATAATGTAATCCAAAATTGCAATTCAATCATTCATCTGGTGTTATATAATTCATAACATACAGTGATCTACTAAATCCTGATATTATCCGTTTTAGCCAGCCAAAACATCTTAATTGTTCACCAATTTGGCAGTGTGCAAACTGATTACACTTGTCAAATTGTTCCCATTAGATCTGATGCCAGCGAGTTTGCTGACATATGTACAACTGCTATGGTTAGAGGTTGACTATGAACAACTACCTACCAAGTTTGGAATATGACTCAGGTGGTAGCAAATTCTGTGCTAAGCATGATCTGCTCTCTATATGATGTTTATGACCTCTGTTTACTTGTTTTTATACATTTCCCATGGTTACATACCTGGATTTTGTTTAGCTAAACGTTTCTCCATAGCTTTTCTTTTATTGGCCTCCATTCTGGCTCTCTGTTCTTCAGTCATTGTCTGAAAGTAAATCATCTCAATAATAGGGGTGCCAGTGCAGGTGCGGTGTGATGACCTGTATTACTAGTAAACTATTCAAACAAGAACACTATTTTGAACAAGTATCTACTGCTCCATTGCTTTCTCATTGATATGTTACATACTGACATACCAAAAGGCCTCATTTAGTGTTTAAATAAAAAATATCTTGCAAGACTAAATGTCCCTCAAAATTGAAATTTCTGATTGGGTTGGGAGGCAAAGTCTTGCTATGCTTGAAAAATATAATATATAGTATATAATTCAATTCAGCCAAATATGCTCCTCCTATATTCCCTTTCATAAAACAACAGTTTTTTAAACCATTTAATAGAAGTCTTACAGAATTTCCACTTGGTTTTGGAGCAGGAGCACTTGAAGGAGTCATGGGTGGTTGGTTGTTCTGCAATTGTGTTGGGTTGTTCTGTGACTGCGTTTGGTTGTTCTGTGATTGTGCATTCTGTTGAGTATTTGCACGCTCCTGACGCATCATTTCCTCGAAGGCTTCCTCTGCATCCAAATCATCCTAAAAGCACAAACAAAATATGTTTGTATTAAAGGTACATCCAATGAGAAAAAATACCTTGGTGTTTCTAAAGACAAATGTAATCTTCGAGATTCATGGATGTTGATAAATTTGGTACACATTTTAGATGCTGATGGCTTTGGGACATTGGAAGAAATTTTCAAGTTGCCATTGATTTCAAAATGCATGTCTTTTTTAAGAAAAAATGTAACTTCTGATACCTGAATACCAGTTATTGGATTTGATCTAAATTCTCTAGGCTAATGTCTCAGGGGAATAAGATCTGTCTGAGAAGGAATTTTTAATAAAGCCCCGTTTAATAATCTTATCATAATATTGTTTTCAAATATATTGTACAATGTGACCCACAAGCCTAAAATAGACTGGGAATCCTATACGAGGCACTTAAATAAATAAATATACAATACAATACAAATATACAATATGGCTGATCAATTCAAAATGGCCACCACTTTTTTAATAAAAATGTAATTTTTGATTACACAAATACCAGTTTCCTTACACTGGCGGATCCAGGGGTGGGCCCAGAATAAGTGGGCCCTTTTGGTCATAACTGGCCTTTTTATGCTAAATTATCAAAAATAGGCCTTGTTAGATTCTGGATCCACCAGTGCCTTAGGTATGAGACCTGTGCTCATGAAAAGGTTTACAAGATGGCCACTGAATTCAAAACGAATGATAAACCCATAGGGTTTGTGTAAAAAACTGGATGACCGGGTCGCCGAGTAACCGGGTACCTAACGTTCCTGGCAGGATTACCTATTCCCATCTCAAAGTGGCACATTTTCACTAATATATAAGCAACTGACTGTGTAGACTTCTGTTTGATACGTGTACTGTACTCCGGGTAATGTTCGTGTGCGATTTAATTTCGCTTTGTTTGCGAATATAGTAAAATCACGAACATTTATCGTCGCGAAATTTGTCTTAAATCCCCTGGGGTTTCGTTTGGTGTGAAACGTTTCTTCCAGTGTTGTTGGGCGAAGGCCTAAAACATTTTGAATTGGCTTATTAGGCCAACAAAGGCAAGAACTGTTGACAACAATGATATCCTACAAATTGAAGTTGAAAACCCCATTCAAGAATATTCAAATAAATGCCCTAAACGTGGGAAATACTAACATTATTCGGATTCTGAATGGGCTAAAATAGCCCACATTGATTCACGGTAATCGGAAAAATTCAACTTGTGCAATCTGCGAAATTTCATCAACTCAAATCTGCGAAATTAAATAGCCGCAAAATTGCAATTTTGAAAAATAGCGAAATTTTATGGCGTCGAAATTTACCCGGAGTACAGTACTTGTCATTTGTTTTAGAGTCAGATGCCCATATGGGACATGAGTTATATTATGTAAACTACCTCAGACTTCCTAATTCCTACTATATTAGGGAAAAAGTGCAACTTTGAAATTGGTAACCCTGCTAGGAATGCTAGGTACCCAGTCACCTGATTACCCAGACACCCGTTTCTTTACACAAACTCAGACTTAATATTTACACATTAACAATCATGTACAATGGTGCAAAATTGCAGGCTGTTAGAGACAGAGCCACTTTAAAGTAAAGTTTTAATTTTGTTTTATGAGGTTGACTTGTACAATGGTGCAAAATTGCAGGCTGTTTGAGACAGACCCACTTTAAAGTAAAGTTTTATCTATTTTTTATTTATTTTTTTATTTTATTTATAATGTTTTAATTTTGTTTTATGAGGTTGACTTGTTCAGTCTACAGAGAACTTATGAAACACAACACCCACCGATGCCATACATAAACTTAATATGATACGGAACAAGCCATAACAAATCTATAGGCTTGGTTTTTATATTTGACCAGGTTTACTGCAATCTATTTTTTTAAATAACCAAATTACAATAGCAGATACAACACTTTTATATCAGTATGCCAAAAAAACTCACGCACGTGGGGCCTTTTGCACATATTAATGTACAGTATATGTACATGTATTTTGTTCTAAATGAGACTCAAAATTATATCTTTCATTTATTTATTTAACTTTTATACACCCTTTACAGTTATATGTATCTTATTTCAATTAAAAACTCAGAAATTATATCTTTGACTAAATACAGGTGTACATGCAAGATGTACCACCCTGTATTTGTATATCTTGAAAAAACAAGTTACTGAATAGATCACAGTTAATCAGTAACAAAATTGTGTTTGCTGAAAGCAATCCACTTTAACACAAGCTCAATTCAACTTATCAGAATAAAGTTAACATCCAAGGACATAGGAGCAAACAGAGAGTACCACACAATCATGCCAGAATTACTAATGCCTGCCTTGGTGGCTTTGATCATCATCTATATAGTGATAAAATTCATGACAAAGAAATCTATTCCAAAAGGGCCGCCACAAAAATGGCCATTTATTGGGAATGCATTTGAAATAGATTCTCAAAATCCACAAGAAACCTTCATAAATTGGTCGAAAAAATATGGCGATGTATTTTCGGTCAAAGTTTTTGGAGAAGATATTGTTATAGTAAATGGGTTTGATGCTGTGTATGAAGCACTTGTGACAAAAAGTACAGAATTTGCAGGCAGACCCAAGCAGTTCAGAACCAGAACAACGGCAACGCCAAAGCGTAGCAAATCCCATCGAACAGAAATGGCTGGCATTTTTACAAACGAAGCGCAAATATCATAAAACAACACACCAGAAAAGCCACCATTTTCAAAATGGTTGCTCACTAGCCAAGTTGTCATCAGAAGAAATAATATGCTTTTAATTAGCCACCTCTAAAAAGCACACGTACTTGTAAAATAACACACATAAAAATGGTGGCCATTTTTCAAAATGGCCGACTACTCCCCAAAGTTTTATTAGACAATGTGCCAGGCTTAAAGTATTCACATGTCAAATATTAACAAAATCGCTCCACTACTTTTCGAGTTATAGTAAAATACGTTAAAATGGCGGCCATTTTTAAAATGGCCACCTTCTACCAAAAGCGTCATTAGAAATAGACAGTGTGCCATGCTTATAGTATTCACATACCAAATATGAACAAAATCGCTCTACTACTTTTCGAGTTATAGTAAAATACGTTAAAATGGCGGCCATTTTTCAAAATTGTTTTCAAAATGGCCGCCTTCTACCAAAAGTGTCATAGGACAGTGTGCCATGTTTCTAGTATTCACATACCAAATATGAACAAAATCGCTCCACTACTTTTCGAGTTATAGTAAAATATTTTAAAATGGCGGCCATTTTCAAATTTTTTTTCAAAATGGCCACCTTCTACCAAAAGTGTCATAGGACAGTGTGCCATGCTTACAGTATTCACATACCAAATATGAACAAAATCGCTCCACTACTTTTCGAGTTATAGTAAAATGTGTTAAAATGGCGGCCATTTTTCAAAATGGCCACCTTCTACCAAACGTGTCATAGGACAGTGTGCCATGCTTATAGTATTTATATACCAAATATGAACAAAATTCGCTCCACTACTTTTCGAGTTATAGTAAAATGTGTTAAAATGGCGGCCATTTTTAAAAATGGCCGCCTTCTACCAAAAGTGTCTTAAGGCAGTGTGCAATGCTTATAGTATTCACATACCAAATATGAACAAAATCGCTCCACTATTTTTTGAGTTACAGCCAAAATCGTAAAAATGACGAGTAAAGGCCGCCATTTTTCAAGATGGCTGCCATTGGCTTCTTTATTATCTACATTTGTAGCATTATTAATGTCTTTTATAATTTTTTTACATTTAAAACATATTGCTATTACAGTTTTACATATTGCACCTAAATTACTGTAAAATCGTCACTAAAATGGCCGCCATTTTGAAATGAGCGGCCATTTTGAAAATCGGCTTTTGAGCAGAACTTCTACCTCCATAGGGTATATGTGTACAAAATATGAACAAAATCGGTCCAACGGTATTTGAGTTATTGCCCGGACGGACGGACAGACGTACGTACGGACGGACGGACGGACGGACGGACGGAGGCGTTCCCTATATCCCTCCGAACTTCGTTCGATGGGATAATAAAGCTTATGCTAGATGGTAAGAAGATTGATTTCACTTAATACTAATCATGGCAGTAGGCAGCTTTCCCCAAGGGGAGTTCACTTTTCAAAAAATTCCAGGGAGGTTCACATTTGACAACTTTGGCCCAAAATCAGATGAAAAGTGTCCAAAATGGTAAAAAACAGTATGATTTAAAAATAATTTTTGGCTACGGGCCTGCTGATTTTCACATTTTTGTCCAAACATGGTCAAAATTTCAAGCGAGCTGTCAGATTGGAGCAACCCTATCAACCCTTGAAAATCTCAAATGCGTGCAATGCTCACTTCCAATGCCAGTTGATCACTGATCACCCACTCATAGAGCAGACAATATTTTCATGACACTTTGTATAAAATTATGCACAAACAGTTTTTTGTATATTGCATCGTATATCAGACCCGGATTAGGGTCTCTAAGAATTATCATGACAATAAAATCATAATAATAATAGTACGGCAAATAAGAAAATACAACACCTGCAAACCATGTATATAATTTAGGAGAATACACCGGATCTTGCTGGGATAACTGGAGCAACCCTAAAATGAGACTTCTGAAGAAAGCTGCAATGAGGTCAATGAAACAATTTGGTGAAGGGTTGGACAGGCTAGAGACAATTTCTTTAGGTGTTATTGAGGAACTCATTGGTGTATTGGACAGCAAAGAAGAACAGCCATTTTACCCTGAGCACATTATTAACAAGGCTACCACATGCATTATTTTGCTTTATGTAAGTGTAACCTTTGTATATTTGCATGGTAAGTCAGCCAGCAGTGTATCCAGGAATTATAATGTCACATTACTATAGCAACCATAACTCTTAATAGCACTTCATGAAATATTTTCAAACTTTGCACCTTTGCGCCAATGAAAGCATTTTGCAGCAAAATTTAACATAATTGATTCAGAGAGGGCTGCTATGGTATAACTAAATTTTGATTTCATTTCAGAAAGCACTTTTAACAAAATGATTTTTCAGATTCTGAAGAAAATGTTTCCATGGCAACAAGAAATATACCAAAATTACATTAATCAATGATTGTGATTAATTGATTTAGTTGTTTGGTGAGGAGTATCATATGGATCACCCGCATTTGGCTGTGTTGCACAAAATGCTGCGATATTGGGAGGATTCTATGGGAAACGCCTCTGGACTTCTTTTGGACATCTTTCCATGGTTAAGGTTCTTCGGAAATAAGGCATACAGAGAAATTTCTAAGGCAGCAGAGATTAGAGACTCTATATTTCTACCACTGATTAAGAAGCGAAAGGTATGAATTTGAGATATGAACATGTAAGGGTTGGCCTACAAATCGTCTATCTCAAGATTGATCAAACATTTATGTGAAAAACCACATAATCTATATAGTCATTTGTTTATTACTTCATCAAATTGCTTTAATTACCAAATGTTGTATCTAAAACCACATTATTTTTAAAACCACCAGCATCCAGTCCCATAGGATGCAATATTCACTTTTTACAGAAAATATTGTACTTTTGACACCGCTTTTGAAATGATAGAATCCTCCAAGACAGTATGTCACACATTTGAAAACTTCTGCAGGAAACCATAGATAAAGCAAACCCTGACTGTGTTTGTGATGCCCTGCTTTTACTACAAGAAGAACAGCGTAAGGTGGGGAAGGTGATAACCGAACTAGATATCAAGATCACACTACAAGACAGTTTTATGGGAGGTAAAAACATGTTTCTTAAAGTATTGATCCATGGTGAACAAATTGATGGAAAATTCCAACTCGGTTAAACCCAAATATGATTAATAATAAGCATGGCTAACTTTGGTTTATTTGCCTATAAAGCATATATCATCTTTTTTGCTTATCCACAGAGGAAGAGAATATTCTAAAACAGAATTCATCTAAAAAGTAGTACTTACACATCGTGTAACATAGATAAACACTTTTGGTGGTGACATAAAAACTCAAAATAATCATTAATTCAATCACTTGCCCAAAACCCAAGCATTAATAACAATCTTTCACTCAGGGGTTGACACGACAACTAGCGCTGTAACAGGTATGCTACTCATACTCATGAATTACCCAGAAGTCCAAACAAAACTACAGCGTGAAATAGATGGCGTTATTGGAACTGAAAGACCTCCATCTTTGGCTGATAAATCTAAGATGGCATATACGGAAGCATTTATACTAGAGATGTTACGTTACATGAGTTTGGCTGCTTTAGGTTTGCCAAGGGCAACAGAGACTGATACAACACTACGAGGACATCCTTTGCCGAAAGGAATAATGGTAAGGCCAAATATTGTAAAATCAAGCCTAATGTTTCCCCCATTCTCTCTAAATGAGATTGCATTTGAAGCCTTCTGTGGCGTTTTTAAATACGAAATTTCGGTTAATGGACTAAATGTAAACTATTGGCCATATTTCAGAATATCCAGTATTTTTAAAGTGTTCAGTCTAAAAAAATAACTTTTCTCTAAATTTGAGAGTACGCCATGGGATTTTATGCGTATATGACGCTATACCATTGCTGAACAACTAAAAAACAGCAAGCATCCAGCCAAAGTAAAAAACACAAACGCTAAAACATTACATGTACATTGTTATTGAAAAGGAAACATGAATCAAAATGAAAGATAATATTACTGGCAAGAAGTTCTAAACATTTCACTTTTGTTAAACATTTACCAGGGATCATGAACCTGTGTGTTGTTACTCTATCTCTTGTGTTTAAGGTGGCCTAAAGTGCTGCTTATTTTTTGTGAAGCAACTCAGTAAAATTATGATTTCTCTGCAGCCTGATGTTCAATCAACATCATTCGGGAATCTATGTGTTCCTGACACGTTTGGGCATCCGGTAATGACAACGTCTACCCAATGTTTGCACACAAAATTGACGTAATTCATGACTGAAATCTGGGTAGACGTTGTTATTAACAGACGCCCAAACATGTCAGGAACACATAGATATTTGAATGATCTTGATTGGACTTCAGGTTGCAGAGAAATCGTAATTTTACTGAGTGGCTTCACGAAAAAAAAAGGCTAAAGGTTAAAGGACATTGACTCTTGTATGCTATAGATAAACAAGGCATTAACATGACAAAATGTTACCACCTAGTTGCTCACAATATTATTAGTTCAATCTTAAGTCTTTGAATTTCTGAGAACTCTGCAGATGAAAGAAAAAATTTTTGAAAAAATTGGTCCATTTGAAGAAAGTTGCAGAGACCTTTTTGACCTTGAGAAGGTCATTGAAGGTCAAATCTTTTTTGACGTTGAGAATGTCATTGAAGGTGAAATCTATAGTCTGATTTGAACATTTGAACATGATTTTGAAATAAACTGGCCAATGTGAAGCAAGTTGAAAAAATACCTTTTTGACCTTTTTTGACCTTGAGAAGGTCATTGAAGGTCAAATCTTAAATGGAAAGTCAGAGTTGAACTTCTGAAAACTGGAACATGATTTTCAAAAAATTGAAGTAAGTCTAAACAGTATTTGTTAAGTTATTGGAAGTTTTAATAATTTATTATAATCATGAAATGTTCTACCGTGACGCCATGGACTTAGTTCCTGGATGCAAGTTCTTGTGTATATAGCGTGGGCTTGATTGCATGTTCATATATGTTTGACTAATATAAATTGTGAGGTTTGTAACTTGATATTAGTATGACCTTTATTGTCCCGACAATACACCAGAACATGCTTTCAAGGTTTGGAGAATTTGGTTTAATCAACAGACCAATAAACATTGTCCCACTTAAAGTGATGCATTGCGGGAGATATTTATGTTAATGATTATTTTTTCGTCTATCGCGTTTAAGTCTATTTCTTTTCTTTGAGTACAACTGTATACTGTATACTGAGATATTTTGAGATGCTCCCTCCAATCAATAAATCTCTCAAATGTACATGTATTTCAATAGGTGGTTTTGAATCTATGGTCTGTACACCATGATCCAGGCCAATGGGATGACTCATTTACTTTGAAACCTGAGAGGTTCCTTAATGAGGATGGAACACCAGTATCTCCTGATCATCCCAACAAGAGAAAGTAAGTAAGGTGATATGTAGGCATCAAAAGGCACGAAAACAATAATTTTACAATATGATTATATGATAGGATAGCTTTGATTGCAAGGTGCTTTTCTATAATATAGCTAATGAACTGATTCAAAATATGTAAAGGATAACTTCATGAAACATATCCAGAATTCACAGTCAAGGCATCACTCTCGGTCCTTTGTGTTGAAACATGGAATACCTACCTTGTATAGTCCATCACTTTCTGGCTTTTTCTCTTTATTCTATCCTATTTTATTATACTTGTATACACAACAATATATAAGATACATTGGTCCATGATTAGAATCTAAAATAACTTTAAGAATATATTTTATTGGGCACCATGGTCCACACTAGTATCCCAGGTAGGTTCTCTTAAAACAAATCATTTCTTTTCAGTTTTTTCCCATTTGGAGCAGGACATAGGATTTGTATTGCGCAAGTGTTGGCAAAGAGCAGATTATTCTTATTTGTGACTTCGCTTCTACAGAAGTTCACTTTTCTCCCACCAGAGGGGACTACACCACCATCATGTGATCCAAGGCTGTTCAAACGAGCGCTCATTCTTGTGCCCCAGCCCTTTCAAGTGAGGGCCATCAGATGGCAACAACCAGATGATAAAATATAACTAACAGATGATAAAATATAACTAAAAGATGATTAGATTCATAAAAGACTTATAACTGCAATGAAGCTTGCAAGTTTCACATATAGCTTGAATATATAACTCTAATATTCTAAATACATGTATGTTATCATTTAAGCATGCGAAATAACTTGTGCCTACTTTCAGATGATCACATCACTGAAACTGTATACATTTATTTGTAAACTCACCTCATCTAAATAATTTACACCATCTTCTGGATTTTTGTCGATGTCAGCAGCATCATTATTGTCACTGTTTGCCCCATCACTGTCTTGTTGCGATACAAAGTCATCATCAGTCATAGACATACCCATACGGATCTTCTTAACGCATGTCTGAAAATAGCAAATTAATAGATTAATTTGGTAACTTTTTATAATCAAAATTGAACTATCATTGTAAGAAACTGGTTTAGACTTATGAAAATGTGTATTGGGGCCTGGGGGTAGAGAATATTTGACCAGATTTTTTGCTCCCAAAGTTGGGGAAATTGACTAAATTTGGCTCCAAGGCCATTTTTTGTCCAATTGGAGGGGGAGGCTCTCTTGGTCTCTTGAACGGTACATTCCATCTACATTCAATATCACAGTTGTTTCAACACCGAATTGGCTTACCTATGACACTAATCAGGGGTATTTTCTTTTTATAGTTTATCAACACATGGATGCATGTGTTTCTACTTTTTCAAAATCTTTAAGGTTAAAAATTTTGGCAAGTGCAGTTTGGCAAGCACAGTTATTCATATAAGATGTATTGTCTGCTTTATTATGACACCTGTGTACCTGTGTTTCTCTCTTAGCACCCAGTCGCTCAGCGCGCTCTATGACCTCATCAAATGTCATCTTGGGGAAAAGCCGATGACCCCAATGCTCCATTGTCCTCATCAGCCGCTGCAGATCAGTTGCCTAGATTAAAATAATATTGCATACTTTATGTAATACCCGAAAAGCATGTACGAGCCAAACTACTCTATGAGCACAACCAAATGATTGCAGTATTGTAAAGCTTGTCTTAGTGAACACCTTTCTCTAGTGAACACCTGTCCCTAATAGACACCCAAATACTCAACTAACTAATAACTAATACTCCTCACCAAATACTCAGCTGACTTCTGTATAAAGTACCCTCTTTGTAATGAACACCAATCTATAGTGAACCTATTTTTGCAGGTATTAAATGTACACATTGGTTTCAATGTACACAGTTCAAATGCTGATAAAATCTGAATAATCTAGCTTTTATAATATTCAATGGCAATTTAATGTGATTGTTTTCCCAGAGGCCTAAAAATAACTGACAAAAAGTGAATATATTTTTATATTAAAATGACCAGGACATAACTATGCTTCATGATCAAACAAAAAAGAATTATTTTAATTGTATCTTAGTCTAACTGTACAATAAGTTGTATTTTGTTTAACTGATGGAGCAACTCATATTGAAAGTATATGTATGTGTATCTGGAAATTAACTTAACTGGAAAATAAACTTTAGTTTTGTGTAAAATGAATTTGTTTTTAATTTGGTGAGTAGATGAATTTAGTGTTATAAATGATTTTGCAATTGTACACCTTGACTTCAAATGTTGTGTTTCTGCATTCTCAGTATACAATTTGTAAGCTTTACATAAAGAGAATCAAAAATAAAACTCATGATTTTATACTTTACCTCATGTCCAGCACCTTTAAACTTGACATTCTTGAAAAGATCGGGAAGAATAGGAATTCCACGTTCGCCAGTAAGTCTAAAATTTACAAAACATAAGTTTGTCACTTCATTCCATTATCATGTGACCTTTTGTCACCTTTATTCTATTGCATTACTTCTCCACGATATATATGGCCATGTGTAAAACTGCTAAAGTCTCTAAACTAAGCTTGATTAATACATGTTGGCAGCTAAAGTGTATCATAGCTGCCTGTTAGACCTCTTCAGGTTCAGAAAAATACTTATGATCATATGTTAAGCTAAAATACATTTTATTCAGTTTTGAACAAAATTATGAAAAAGAGCAAGAACATAAGAATGGGGCTGACCTTTTAAATTGGCAGGGGAAGAGGGTAGGGTGAAAATAAGTTTTTTGAAAATCCCTCGATAAAAATGTGGCTCAAAATGTATTCCACCTTCTTATATGCCAGAATATTTGCATATTATGAGTTCAATCTTAAGTCAGATTTTGAAAAATGTTTGGTCAATTTGAAGCAAGGTGAAATTTTTTTTTAAATTTTTTTTTTAATCGTTTATTTCATAAATTAAGTTCATGGTAAATGATACATGTTATACAAAACTTTTTTGACCTTGAGAAGGTCATTGAAGGTCAAATCTATAGTCAGATTTGAACTTTTGAGAACTTGTAGATGATTTTGAAGCAAGTTGAATAAAGGCCTTTTTAAAGGGCAAATTTTAAATTTAAAGTCAGATTTGAACCTCTAAAAACTTGTAGATGATTTTGAAGTCAGTCTAAACAGTATTTGTTAAGTTATTGGAAGTTGTAAGAATTTGTACAGATGCCGATCGCCAACCGCCGTAAAAAAAACGGAGACCATATGTCACCACTTTTTAGTGGTGACATAATTACATCCTCTTTGGGGACATACCTAGATGGATCAAGTTTTGGTTGTGGTCTCTTTACAACTTTCTTTCCTGCCCCCTTGGAGAGATCTTTAAGTCTGGCGAGAGCTTGACTGTTCACTTCACCATCTATAAAAATATGTACATACAGTAATAGTACAACTTAAGACAAGGAAAATCACAGACCGGGAGCTACATTTGAATATCTTTAAAGGCCCACTTTGGGAATTTTCAACAATTCAAAGACTTACATTTAAATTTCATAGTATATCCAATGTATTGATAAGAACCTTATCTTTCATTTGACACCAACAGTAGCTCAAGTGGACCACATCAAAGCTTACAATAAATTATCAAAAAATATTTTTGATCTGTCAAGCTTTATATATCAAGTTTTTATCAATGACATTGAAAGATGGCAAAGTTGTTTGTATTACATGATACATTCATTTTTATAGAAGTGTCGCCATCTTTTGAATCAGTAGTAATTTAAAACATGCTCTTTGTTTAACATGTGCATGCATGTCTAATGATCTCTGAACTTCAAATGCCTTTTTCTCTGAGTTATTTTTTTCTTGGTCCAATATTAAAGCAAATCAAACTTTGTGTCATATTTGAGCAAGTGTGCGAGTCACTTGTTTTAATGATTTTTTTCTAGATTGAGTATAGCGCGCCTTTAAATGAATAAAAGTAAATATAAATGTTGCCATTTCTATCGCAGGTATAAACTGATCTAATATGCTGTGTGAAGATGTATATTTTGACTTTTGATGCAATCCTCATTGGTGTCACATGCTATTTTCAAATACATGAATGAACTCCTTGTTCCTCACATAGTCTACATCTTTCAATTTTTCACAAAGTGTGCACTTATGTACCTAGAAAAGAGTGTTATGGCCGAAAATACACAATGATCTTAAAGAGGATTATTTTCAGAAGATATTCAAGTGCAAATGTTGTGACAACTAAATATGTTGAATACAATACTCATGTGCTGTACAGTACTAACCATCATCCTCTCCGTCGCCATCAGCTCCTGCCTCTCCCTCGACAAAGGGGTTCCCAGCTCCATCCTCGTCATCTCCAGGGGGTGGCATGGCTCTCGTCTGATCCTCATCATCAAGAGGATCATTGGATTCAAAGAAGTCATCCATGTCCAGGTTCATAGTATCAACTGTGCCCATCATGTTGGAAGTTGGCTTTATTTGATTGAAATACCTAAATAAGAATGCCGAGACAATAAGAACAGAACAATGTTGACAGATTTGATATCATGGATGATCATCATGATCGGGTTCAAACATGAAATGTCAAATTGAATCAATTAGTCCATACAATATTAAACTATAACTGAAATTTTAGTTCTAATACTGTCTAACGTTATGACTGTATACTCACAAAATCCTGATTTATCACCGTGTCCCATATATAACGTATAATGTCCACTTTAGTTCGGAATACTTTAGTTTTGTTATTTTTTTGAGGGAGAATATTTTTCGCGGCAAATTTTAAAACGAGGCTATATGACGTCATTGTAATTTCAAACATATATTTGTCCAAATTCATACTATCACTTATAGTACAGCTTATGCAAATGAATTTATTATATGTATTTTAAACCATTCGCTTGGATAAAATAATGCTTTTTGGAGAGATTGTGGTGAAAAAAGTTCTTACTATTACTTCAAATGTTTCTTGCTACTCAGACGTGGAGTGTAGATACTTCCGGTGTTGTGACTTTTACTTAGAAATAATTCCCAAAACCTCTTGTATACGACCTCAGTTAGAACGGTTAAATTCGGTATGATATGAAAATGACATAAATGTAATTGTATCATCACAACTGTACCATTGAATGATACACACGTTATGCTGTAAAAGGAGATAAATGTTATAGCGGAGTAATACAAAGTTCCAACGTGTCCATCTTTGAAAAAATCGAAAGGATACTCGAATGACGATAACAATCAAAACTATCTAGGTGTCACATTCTAGAACAATCAATATGGTAAGTCTTTCTTACAGTTCGTATATCTACGCACACTATGGTAAAGATTCATGAGATTTCATTGAAATTTTGACGTCTGAAAGCAATTTTACAAAAGATGCAAATAAATTAAATTTTTTTGAGTTTTTTTCTGATTTTTCATTATTATCATCAAACATTTCTTCTTTGCCAAATACTCCCTGTGTTACTTCAAGTAGTTATCTTTCTGGTATTTATTTTATCCTTAACACATGTTCATATTAGCTTTGAACCATTTTACAGTCTCATTGTAATATTGTCATTTCTCTCCCCCCTCCCATTTCATATTTTGACAGCTGTTTTACAAAATCTTTCATTTATTCAGGGGGTTCACTCTTATTGATATAGGTAGATATGTGCAGCTCGGCCAATTTTGGCTTTGGTTATCAACCAAGGAAACTGGCCAATTAGAGAGAAAAAATATGGTAAAAATTGTTTGAGTGCCCTGTCAAAAATCAGTTTTTTCCAAAAGAATCGTATCAAATTGGTTAGATTTACTCGTCTCTAGCTTACAGCTAGATGTAACTTCATTGATTTCGAATGTACTCGTATTTCGTATGTAAAAATTGCTACAGTGCTGATATATAATAATTAAGGGTGCGTTTTCAAACTAAACAGAGTGCTCCTATCAAAATGAATTTGCCTACATACCCCTGAGACTCTTATCTGATAGATAGAATGCACAAATAAAACAAAAGTTTTGCTATTATAGGTAAAAAGTTCTCTTGAAATTTCGAAGTGATTTTACCTGTTAATTCTGTCCATGTCACGCCATTTTTGCGGAAGTTACACTGAAACGCAAACTCCATGAAACGAAACGAAATCACTAGAAAAAAAACCTGGCACACATTGTGCGCATGTGCAGCAAAGTTTAGACCAATCAGATTATTTGATTATTTTGCGCATATGAATTAGTTGCTTCTGAGCACTTACAAGCTTACCACAATAAACAAACCTGGCAGAGACTACCCTTAGCCCACTTCATTTTGGCGAAATTTCAGCTCAAACTCATGACAAATGCATTATGCATACGCTGGTGTGAAGCCTTGGAGACACTCATTTTGGTAAATATGATTTATGGGGTATACTTTTCTGCGGTTTGTGTGAGTTTGGGACATTAAATGTTAAAATTCAAGAAAATATGCCAATTAAACGACTGATCAATTAATATATACCAGCACTGTACACGCACCTAGAAATCATTTTTAATAAATTTTATAAATATTTTTAAGAATATTAATTATATTTAGGATGAAGCGTTGCTTGTCTGGATTTAGATATTTCAAAATTTCTTTTCGGAGTTTGACACATGGTGAAATTTACTCGCTGTAGCTAAATATGGCTTCCGGTGAATAAATGGAGGAAACTTTGAAATTATTCTCGCTTAAAGAAATCAAATATAACAATAGATTCAGACGGAGATGTGTGCTGATGTTTCTCAAATCTATACATAGAGGTATATTTCATATTATTATGCCGTATTTACTGTGCGTGTGACACAATGATTTACAATACCAAGGCAGCTCAATTTTTGTACTCAAAGCCGGAATATAGAGAAGGCTTTGGACCGAAGTAAGGTTAGATTAGTGTCTGAGGCTTGGGACAATTCATCAGAAAACTGGATTTTTTAGTTAATTTCCCAATATTTATGGAAACTTGGCCCCAGTAATCATGAGTAAACTCAAGAGGAATTCAGCATTGACATATATGAAGTTATGGGGAATAAAATTGAATTTTTTAAGGTAACTTATAACTTAATCAAAAAATCCAAGATGGCCGAAACCAGGAAGCACATGGCATTTGAGTATAATCTGACCATCAAAATTAACTGTTTTTTGGTTGGATTTTCTCTCAATTTTTTAGTTCCACTTATCATTTATATAACCAGGCCCAGGCTCACTGTGGTAATGCAAATAGAAACAGTAAACATTTTGGAATGGGAATTTGAGTCCTCTGAAAATGTGACAGAAAAATTGACAAAAAGAGTAGCACGGCAAAGGTCCCTGAACATTTTTTTTCTAATTTCTCTGAAACATCCCTTTAATATAGCCCAAAATGGAAGGAGCTTTAGAATTTTGAAATCTCTCATACAAATTAAAAAAAATAGAAAAAAAACAATTTGAGAAGTGTACTTTTTTCCTTATTTTGATCCCAATTTTTTTATCGGGTAATTTTTCAAATTTCCGTTGCTCCTTCGTTTTTGATATATGTTTGAAGTATATTTTCTGAAATGTTCAGATATTTTGAATCAGCGGTTTTTCACAGGCTACTCCTAGAAAAAAATCTTCTCAAATTCTTTAAACGGCACTTTTTTTCTCAAACTAAAGTTTTTTGTTGTTCTTTGATGTCTTTGTAATGATTACAGTGCACAAGCATATGTGAAATAATAAAAACGACTTCTCGGGAAGAGTCCTAAAAAGGAGCAATTTCATGCTTCCATATTATGGTAATATTTCAAAAAGTATTAGATAAATATGTACATGTATGTATGTTTTAGTATTATTTTGAATAAAAATCAATTTTCAATATGATTAAAGCATTTAAACATATATTCAATCTCATGTAAAAGTAAACAAAAAGGCCAATAAGAATAAGAGGTATCAAGATGTTCTCCTGAGTATTGCATTTTGGGTAATTATTCAAGAACACATTCCAATAAAAACATAATTTGTGGGAGAATGTTCACTTTCTGTATTGTCATAATTATGATGAATTCCATTTTTATTAAATTATCAACATGAATGTAGATAATCATGTTTTTATTTGAGTTATTTCTTCATTAAAAGTAATAAAATAAAAAAGTACAAAATAAGATTTTCTTGGAATGTGTATATTCTCCAATTTTGAAAACCCAAGAGGCCACACATATGAATGATGATAGCCAAACTACAAAACAAACTAAAATAAACAAAAGTTAGGCCATGTATAAATGTTTCTATTTTTACATATACTGTACTGTAAGTTTCAATATGGTCATTTGATTACTTATTTTTTTAGAATCAAAGTACATGTACTCCCAAACATTTAAAAAGTTACTGTAGGTATTAAGAGGTGTATTGAAGCATGGGCTTTCAAGTAAAACCCCAGGCCGATTTTATCCTACATTTAAAAGACTGAAAGAATTTCCCATGAAGGTAATTGCTGTCCTTTCAGCAATGGCAGTTTTCTTTTAAGTACCTACCTACATGTTTGCCTCCATCTAACATTCAGTCCGAGTCCAAGCATGTACAGTACCTTACAATATTTTGAAGGCCCATGGTCTGAAGTATAAAACCTACCTATATAAGTATATATCATGTTATTTTCAGGTACTGCTGGCGGCGGCAGTATGCAACAGATCTGGAAAAGGTATGTTTTGAATATATGATTGATATCAGCTGAAAATAATAAATACTTATGTGATATGAAGCATTTGCATCCTATGTATCATAGGCTGGCCACGATTTTGTTAGTATCATGGAAAGGTTTTTTTTCTTTGGTAAAACCTCCCATTGGCCTTAGTTGTGTAAAATGCTCAAGATAGTGCAAAATGATGCATAATGAGTTATATTCTGGAATGAGATTTACTGGAGGGCCAATTCATGTTTCATATTTAATTATGATGGATAAAAAGTACATGTATAACATCAAATAACAATACAAGAAAAACAATATCAGTCCGGTGTGTGTTTTTTACACTGTTCTACAACTGTAGTTACTTTGATGGAGCGTCAATGTAACAAAATGGATAAACTTCCTGGATATGAGTATTTTGGTTTCTTGATTTAAACTTATGTATAAGTCATGTTCCGGATTATCATTTGGCAAAAAGTTACACAATATGGTCTTGAAAAGTTTTAGAAATTATGGAACAGTGTTTTAATAGCACAAGCAAAGTACATGTTTCAGAGGCCAAGGACTTAAGTAAGCTGTTTCATCCCTTTGATATACATGTATATTCATCTTACACATTGCGTTTAACAATTAATCAAATTAATGATTCAGATTGTGTGATAAAAATTCTATATGCATGTTGCAGGCATTGGCAAACCAAAAGTCCTTAGAAGCACTATACATTACACATGAAAATGTCCTTATTTTACATGTGCATCTAAATAAAAATGTTTTATAGCTATAGTAAAATGATTTGATCTTCAGTACTATTATGGTATGGAGCCTCTTGTTCTGTGAGTCTTCTATATTTATTCTAATACATGTATTTTTTCTTTACAGCGATCATCTCTCGACAGTTTGTTGAGATGACCCGCTCTCGGATAGAAGGTCTCTTGGCTGCATTCCCGAAACTGATGAACACAGGCAAACAGCACACATTTGTAGAAACTGAAAGTGTGCGTTATGTATACCAGCCAATGGAGAAGCTTTACATGCTGCTTATCACGACAAAAGCAAGCAACATTCTTGAAGATCTGGAGACCCTCAGATTATTCGCTAAAGTTGTAAGTAAATTCTAGAAGAGATGACGCTATTAATATTCTGACAACAGTGATTGAAAACAAAATCATATTTTGTGAATTGTTCTTTTACCATAGAGATACTGTAGTTGCAAAATTCCTCTAAACAGTTTCACTTGTATCTCCTTTTAGATCCCAGAATATTGCAGAATGATGGAAGAATCTGAGATTATCGACCAAGCATTTCCTCTCATATTTGCATTTGATGAGGTGGTTGCCCTTGGCTACAGAGAAAGTGTAAATCTGGCCCAAATCAGGACATTTACAGAGATGGACTCACACGAAGAGAAAGTCTTTCAAGCTGTTCGTCAGGTAAACAGTTATTTAATCTAACCCATAACTCCAATACAGAATTTGCTTGTGTGAAAAGGAGGGGTCCCCTCAATTAAAAGCAAGCAGAGGCTAATTTTCCTTCTAGATAAAGCCTAGATAAAGTTAACATTAGCATTAATTCACAGTGGAAATTAAAAGGTGATTAATGGCAATCTATTATTCTGTAGACCCAAGAGCGTGAGGCGAAAGAAAAGATGCGACAACGAGCAAAAGAACTTCAACAACAAAGACGGGAACAAGACAAACGAGGTGGACGTGGCCCTGGATTTGGTGGAGGATTTGGTGGAGGTTCAAGTAGTGGATTTGGTGGCAGTTCTTCAAGTAGTTCTATTGATGCAGTACCAGTTGAACCTACTCCTAAATCAACATACACAGCTCCAAGGTATGGTTTGGTTATGAAGTGTACACGATTGTTTTCATGAGATTCTAACCTATACTCCTCCTCAAAAGTTTGGCAAAACCAACTCTCCTATTGGACCACATGTTAAAGCCTGAAGCTTAAAACAGGCCTGTTGCCAGCTTGTGCCATTTTCTAAAAAATCCAGGGGGTTCACATTTGACAATTTTGGCCATCCAAAAATGGCCAAAATCAGAATGGTTAAAAACTGCATGATTTTGAAAGAATTTTTGCTAAAATCCCTGAACCCCTGACTACGGCACCTGTTTAAAATCATCCAAGTCATAAATTTTTAACCAAATATAATTGAGAAAAATCCAATGCAAATGTTATAAACCAGCTCTCTATCCAGTCAGGTAATTTCATTTTACAGGGAGTGAACCATTGATTTTTGAAGCTTCTAATGTTCCTCTGTTGAACACAAAATGATGAAGCAATTTTCAACGTTTAAATTGAAAAGATTTAGACCATCAACGTAGTGTATACATTGTGACATTCACATCGGTTAATAGCAACTGTCAGAATTGCAGTAATTTGTTAATAAATTTCATCACTCTTTGTATTTCTAGTAGGCCTAGTTCATCAGGCAAAGCAATGAAGTTAGGCAGTAAGAGCAAAGATGTCGATACATTTGTCGATCAGCTCAAATCAGAGGGCCAGCGTAAGTGGAACTAACATTCAGGTCATATTAGTAAAAGTTAGTTATGTGAAATAAACTCCCAAGTTTACCGAGTTATTCAAATTATATCAATTTTATTACTTATCGATCAACTTGGGTTAGTGAGACTTGTCACAACTTGTATTTTCATTTTCTTCTCTGGCACTTTAATTTTGTTCTGACATTGCGTTTTGAAAGTACAACAAAACATAGAATCGCCAGTAATTCACAGGATTGATATAATGAGATAATTGCATTTTCATTTTAGAGGTGGTAAGTGTTGCCCAGCAGTCAAAGGCCCCCACTGCAGTATCCAAAGCCTCCACCCCAGCAGTTAATCAAGAGAGGTCAGTAACCAGCATGCATTTCGTTAATATTGAAATTTCTGAAGTATGAAGTACTCAAATGAATGGCACTTTAGGATAGATTGTAAATATTATATCTTTGTTCTGAATCTGAAAACATTTATTTGTTCATTGAGATTTACTTCTCTGTGGAGTTGCCATTTCAAGGTGTTCGGTGCATAGATTTATGATTATCTTTATCTTATAGTGTACACTTACGTATGGAGGAGAAACTCAGCTGTACTGCAGGTAGAGATGGTGGTTTACAAAACCTGGAAGTTCATGGCATGGTCTTATTGAAAATCTCAGATGAAAAATATGGAAGAGTTAGGGTGGCTGTGGCTAATAATGACTCCAAAGGTGTCCAGATTCAGGTACTAGACAATGATACATTGGCTATTGTATTCTTGTTAGATGAAGTTGAAAAAGACAGTTATGAATTTGAGTAAATCAAGCCCTTGTATGAATTCCTCCTTTGGTATACATACATTAATTCTTAGGATGGGTTGGCATGAACAGAGACACTCTATACACAGGTGATAATCACCGATTCAGTAGGCTTTGTGTATTTACCTAAAGCATGTTTTATAAACTTATTAACATTCATACTTAATATGAATTTAAATACTTTGCTCAGTCGGTATCGGGTAGATGCTTTGTCAACCTTGTAGGTATATATAAAGAAGCTGTAAAAAGTGCAAAAAATTAAGACCACCTAGGTATAAAATTTTATTTGAAATGTCATAAATATTTCCATTTTTCAGACTCATCCAAATGTAGACAAAAAATTATTTGCGGCAGCAGGTCAAATAGGTTTAAAAAATCCCGCCAAGCCATTCCCTATGAACACAGATGTTGGAGTATTAAAATGGCGCTTCCAGAGCCAGGATGAGGCTTTCATGCCCCTGTCAAGTAAGTGACCCACAAGCAAAATCAGCAATATTTTTCAGTTTGGCCACTTCATTCATTTTCTCTCTTGTCTCCAACCTAACGAACCCATTGTGTTAGGGTCAGCCTTTTTGATTTGAAATCAGATATTGTCTTGAATCTTCAGTATTTTTCATTGAATTATACACAATTAATTTTGTTCAACATGGTGGTTTAGAATTCAATCTTAATTGAACAAATTTTTCTTAAATGGTTAGGGGGGCATATCTGCCCCCATCCCCCTAAGGAATTTTTTGGATAACTTTTTTTCATCTTTTGACCTGAAACTTTCCGACTTTTCCTAAAACTAAAGGCATGTTTTAGCGAAAAATTGTGACTCTAACTCTTTCCAATGAAACCTAATGCAGCTACATATGATTGTCCGTTTACAAGATCATATGGGTTTACAAGATCATAAGATCATCATTTGATGAAGAACATGTTCTCATACATCTGTACATTCAGAATTATATTGCGGCTAAGACTTGCATTGTTGCCTATATGTAATACTATGTCAGGCTGATACTGATTAATTGACTGTACAAATGTAATATAAAGAATTATTGCATAATAAATATATTAAGAGGTTTGATACTAGATAGAGCTATATCTTGTTTCCAGTTAATTGTTGGCCTAATGAAAGTGGTAGTGGATGTGATGTCAACATAGAATATGAACTACAAATGGAAAATCTTGAACTCAATGATGTTGTTATATCTATACCAGTGCCGTAAGTATATCCACCATTTAACAGGTCTTCTAACAATTGAAGAAATGATAAAAAGTATCTTACCTAAAAATGAACTGTTGTCAGCTTGCTTGACACCTAATGGTACTCATTTTTCTTGTGTACCAATTGAACAAAAACCCAAGGTATTGATTTGAACCTTTCCGGGTACTTTCTAAGAATGAAAATCTAGAACTGATTATTTTGGACATGCTGGTAAATTTCAAGGTGGCCATTTTCAAATTTCTTTTCTTGTGTTTTCACCGTGTGCCTTATTTATTATTTATTAAAATAGATTCAGACTAGAACAGAGTAAAATTTGGATAAGATAAATGCACATGAAATGTTTATTGTTTATAAAGAAGTATTGTACAATTAATATAAATGCTTTAATTCACATTTCTAGGTCAGGAGTTGGTGCTCCAGTAGTAAACGAATGTGAGGGGGAATATCACTATGACAACCGCAAAAATATACTAGAATGGACTCATCCAGTTATAGACTCATCCAATCTATCCGGCTCAATGGAATTTTCCATTGCTGGCCACCCAGATGATTTCTTTCCCGTCAATGTATCATTTGTATCTAAGAAACCTTATTGTGATTTAGAGGTAAGTAATCCAATGTTTTCTTTTTCTGATGTCTTTTAAAAAATAATTGGTTGTTGTCAATTGACCATTTTCGATATAGCTTTGAAATCTCGTTAAAGTTTCGTTTTTAATAAGATTCTAGGAGATCTGCATTGTTGTCATATTTGAATTCTTCGTGTAATTTTCTATCAAAACAACTTTGATTCGTTCAGTTATTTACCTTTATTCAAATTCTAAAGATTTTCAAGTTTTCTAAAAAAGGTCGGGCTAAATCCCCATTGACACAATGTTGTAAAACCTTTAAACATTTACTCTTATAAGGATCACAATTTTAATGTGAAATCGTAATCCACGTGTCAATAAGATCACATAATTAGATTCCAATGGTGTTTTAAGTTGATCCAAATGGAATTACTTGTTAAATCAAGAAATTAAGTGACTCTTGCTATAGGTTGCCATGTATTCTAGCCCTACCAACACCTATGATGCCATTCTATTTATATGGAAAATGGTCAATTCATGAATGTTATTGATTTGCAGAGAAAAAATACCCGAGTTATTATAGAAAATGATATAAGTTATCCGGACAAATATTTTTCTGAATTTGTCCCGCCATTAAGATCAATTTGCCTGGAACTTAACAATAAAAGTATCTAACAATAAATGTTTTATGATATTTCCAGTTAAATGATGTGCGACAAGTCGATGGAGAAGCCTCAGTGAAATTCTCATCAGAAGTTTTATTATATGTGGAGAAATATGACATCGTGTAGAATAAACTGAACTTGGACAAAAACAAGGGAAATTAATTATAAAAGACTGAGATATCGCCATTTGAAACACTTGCTAATGGGTACATGATGTTTCTGAATCAAAAGTAATTATAATAGACTGAGATATCGCCATTTGAAACACTTCCTGATGGGTATGTGACGTTTCTGAATCATCAACCTATCTTTGTGCCTGATCTTTCCTGGGTAGCTGTTTCTTGTGATATCTTTGAGATGACGATATGTCTCGTTATATAAGTTGGTTCCCATCTTTTCTGCTTCATTTATTTAACTTCATTCTTGTTGAAGGAGTTGATGTGAGCTGATATCATGTCATTAGGCTAACGTTAGCCTAGTGAGGCAAAGATAATAGAGCCTGACTTGCATTATGGAACCATGTGGACATTGTCGAGATGCGCAATTTGGGCATCAATGTAGTGATGTTCCATAATTCCAAACACAATTGGTTATTTATTTAATTATTGATACTAGTATCACTTATTCATTGATCAAAGGCCAGAATTAGCCTGCATCAGCTATTATTGCATAAAAAACTACAGAAACTAAGATAATATTTTGTCTTTGGATTTCAATGTCATTTTGCCATTCTGAATGATAATCAGAGCCCAAAAGTCTCAGAGTTAAAGTTATTATATGTTTGTATTAAAAGTGCGTTATATGTGGGATATCAATAAATTATCATTGATGGATAGTATGGATGAAGCAGAACTAAAAGTTCTATGTAAAACTGACAAAGAAAACTGGTTTATTTTTACTTTGTCTTACACTACTCCAGAAATGTCATTGGATTCATGCCTATACTTGCGACAGAGAGGAAATAATGGAATAGACAGGAAATACATTTAATACCAGGGCACAGTTGTTGAGAACCACTATTAACTTAATTGCAATTAACTATTAAGTTAATAGCGCTTTTACTAGCTTATAGTAGTTCTGAACAACTGGCCCCTGAAATGTAGTTAAGGTCAAACTCTAAATTGCATCTTGACTGAGCACCATATAACTGAAACTGACTGGTGTTTTCCTTGCCGATTCCATTATTTTCTTTATGTAAGTTAATGCATGTCCCAGCCTTGTGTTGGATAAGTGGGTTGAATGTACTGTGCAATGTTACATCGTAGAAAGATTATTAGTATTTTCATATCATCACTGTACAAATGTTTATTATGTTTTAGCTGAAATTGATTAATAATATTATATAATGTTAAATGTTGGGTTTTATTTGTTATTTCACAACAGTTTTGGTCTTATATAATTGGAAAATGTGTTTCTTGTGCAAACTGCATATATGTTTAGAAAAAGTTATGTTTTTCCTGAACACTTAGAAAAAGGTCAAATCTTTTTTTTAATTCGAAGAATATAGGCCTTTAATTTTTTAGAGATGATTTTTCACAAAGCAGTCTGTTTTCATGTAAAGATTTGATAATATTTCTTTGACTATTTATGTACTGTATGTGGATATGGGGACTAAGAGTCCATGTTAAATTGTACATAAAATATACAAAAATATATATTGAATTGATTGTTTTGTCTAGTTTGAAATTACCTCCACAATCTGATATCAAAATCTAATATATACATACAGTCGAACTGTATAGTATTCACATTCATTGAACTATGAACTCTGAATCCAGTGCACATATGTTGACATAGAATTTGCTTGGCAATTGGGTAAACTTTAAAATGACTCCATTTTGTTATAATAAACAATATTTTCCAGTTACTTATTTGAAACATGGAGGCATCCCAGACATAATAGAAAGATGATATCTATAAAGTATTTTGTTTTTGACACTAGTATCACTGCAAGTATTAATATAGAATTACAGTATCTCCAAATATATTTTCCATCCAATATATTTCAGTTAAAAATGTTAACATTGGAATTTCATTCACATTCGACTAACAAAGTCGTTGTTTTGAGAAAAACTGAACTGGAAAGATTGAATAAAATTCACAATATTTCCAACCAGTCTTATTCCATTGTGGGATCTACAGTCTCTATTATCACTTAGAATAGTAAGTAAAGCTTTAAATAGACACTCCGATGATCAGGATCATGTTCTTCTTCATATCTCACCCGGGTCATGAGATTTTCAACATAAATATTTTCTTACCTTGGGAATATACTGGTAAATTGCTAGAATCTTTGACAGATGTACAGGTATTCACCTCAATAGTATGAAATAATAAGGATATAAACATTCTTTGTACATCACCCTATGCAGACAGAGCCTGTGGGAAATATTGGGTGCGGAGCAAATGAGCGGAGGGTGCGGAGCTAACGGTCATTTTTGAATTTAAATTTGGGATATTTCTGAAACTAAGCCGTTTTGGGATTTCAAATATACCAAGATATGTGTATTTGACACCAAATATCAATACAATTGTGAAAATAGTAGCGCAATTCATTTCATAGCGACGCAGTGTGCCTTAAACCTTTCCCAGACCTATATATTTTGAAATTATCCTTTTAATACTGAGTCCCCAGCATTCATAAAAAATGGTGTTCAAGGTACACTACATATACAAATTATTTTTGCATCTTGGAAGCCAGGCAGTATCTGTGTGATTTTATAAAAATTCGGAAATGTTTTTCAGATATGAGCCCCCTCTAAATATTGGGTGCGGAGGAGCTCCATAAACGTACAGATACTGCCTGGCTTCCAAGATGCAAAAATAATTTGCATGGGTAGTGTATCTTGAACACCATTTTTTATGAATGCTGGGGACGCAGTATTAAAAGGATAGTCTCAAAATATATAGGTCTGGGAAATGTTTAAGGCATACTGCGTCGCTATAAAATGAATTGCACTACTATTTTCACAATTTTATTGATATTTGGTGTCAAATACACATATCTTGGTATATTTGAAGTCCCAAAACGGTTTAGTTTCAGAAATATCCCAATTTTAAATTCAAAAAAGACCGTTAGCTCCGCACCCTCCGCTCATTTGCGCCGCACCCAATATTTCCCACAGGCTCTGTCTGCATAGGGTGTACATATTGCTTACATTTAATTTAACCCCTATGTATCAAATTCTTTGGGCGTTGGTTAGTTACGTTTAACTGAAAGAATAAATGCAAATGAGTTTTTGATCAGTTTTCTTACATTTTGTTAAAATGAGGAGTGAAGAATAATCATTCTTTCAAGTAAAAATAACCATCTTCCCATTGCCACATTTAGGCGGTGGGATATTTCGTGATTCTAGGCATAAATGAGACGTGAAAGTAATGGTTAAACCCTGGGTTGAACAAAAGAAGCGTAACTTATTGTACTGGAAAACGTATCTAAGTGGAAAACCTTTCGTACCTCATATAAGTGTCCTACTTTGGATGTGTACAAGTATTTATATATTATTTTATGTTATATGATTCAAATATGGAAATAAAATAACCTTTAAAAAAACTTTGGATGTGTTCCACTATTATAAATGTTCATTTAACATTAACTCAGTTGTTCTTGGGATTCTGAAAAGTGTCCAACTCACAGGTGTTCAATTTCTAGAAGTGTTCCATTTTACATGTTTCACCACTTGTGGTGGTGACATGAAATGACTTTGTCAGGTTTAGAGCTCAGAATGTCACTTTGGGTATCAGGGCCATTACTGATCCGTTAACGTCATTGTTTCCAGATTTCAAATTCAGTGACTTATTAGTGCTTTTGGTGTCATAACCTTTCAGTTGGAATTCAGGATTCGTGACTTGAACATTATAAGGTCAATTACATAAATTAGAATATTACAATCATATCTACTGGCCTTTTATCTTAATCTTAAAACCTTGAGACAAGGTCTGACACCACACGACATTCTTGTAGATTTGCAAACTGATGAATTGTAAGTTTTAGTTAAATATCCTTACGTTATAACAGACTGTTGAAATCTCCATTTTGGATTTTACATTTTGCTAATAACTTAATAAAAACACAGTGTTGATGTGCATGATTGAAGTGTTGTTGAATTCAGTTCAGATATATTATGTGATGGTCAAGTTTGTTGATTCTTTATCGATTGTTTGTTTATTTATATTTACTTAGCGATTGAGGTATTCGAAAGAAAATATTAGGTAATGCAATTTGAGATTAGCCTAACAATATGGGAATTTTTAAAGAGAATATGCTACATGGTTGCAACGAAATTCAGAAAAGCACAGAAACCTGATATTTATGCATTTTATTCATACTGGAATTTATACAATAGAGCTTTAAAAGTCATGCTAACCAAAAACTTAAATTAGATGTACATATATCGATGGTTAAGAATAATCCATATTTGATCTCCCCGGCTTTTAATATACACTCCCCTCCATAAGTTTGGCAACCTTTTTTCTCCATTGAACTACGTGTTAAAGCCTCTTTACGTTTGAATTTTTATTTACTTAACCGACGATGAAATAACTTATGATATTGATGGAAACGTAACTTGACTTTATTTCCAATTCCTCCAAATTTTCTCGATTTTTTTCCTTAATTACAATAGGTCGAAAATTGATGATACATTTGATGAATTTTTGAAAATCGTCATTGTCATGTAATCCAATGGGAAATGGAGGGTTCGGGGCAAATCAGAAATCAGGATATCTTTTCAGTAAAAGATTCAGCAAAAAATATTTTTATATAGAAAATTGAATTGTCTAACTTTTTTGAACACTAAGTGTTTAGTTTATTTGATGAACATTAAAGTTACAGCGCTTCAAAGTCATTTTTGAAAATTATTTTTCGCCTCCTGTGTTATTTCAATGGGAGAGGTTTTTTGAAAAACAATTTTGACTTTAAAGCCCTATAACTTTGTTGAACCTGAAGAAACATATCAATTTTTTGTTAAATAAAGTTAGCAAATTCAATTACCTGCCTAACTCGTATTTTTTGCAAGGACTCGGATGGATGGATATTCTGTCATATGACTTGCGGCAAACCAACCATTTCCCATTGGTTAACATGGGAATGTCAATTTTCAAAAATTCATCAAATTCATCATCAATTTTCGACCTATTGTAATTGAGGAAAAAAATTGAGAAAATTTGGAGGTATTGGAATTAAAGTCAAATTACGTTTCCATCAATAGTATAAGTATTTTGATCGCAGGTTAAGTAAATAAAAATTCAAAGGTAAAGAGGCTTTAACACGTAGTTCAATGGGGGAAAAAGGTTGCCAAACTTATGGAGGGGAGTGTATGTCCAATATCAGCTCACAAAAGATCAAAATCGTAGAATAGACAAATACGGCTAACCATATTGCATAATTTACATCAGTTCCCTTGGCCTTTTTGAGTATGCCAAAAACTTCATCTTCACCACCCTATGTCTTATTCCCACTTTTAACAATTTTAATGGATAGAGATAATTTTATGCTAATATCTTTAAGACATTTAAGTGGTTCCTAATATGGCATTTTATCATTTTGTCTACAATAAGATAAAACGGTATAAATATTGAACTCTAAGAAATATTTCTAACAAAGAAGAAAGTCAGCTGCCAAAATGATGTGGCTGAAGTTTCTCACCCTTGCTGTGTTAATTGCAGTCTCCGTAGAGGCCAAAGGAAAGGGCAAGTGGCCCGGTGGAAAATCTCTTATAAAGGCCGGTATATGGGGAAGCATCTGGGGAGATTCGTCGGAAGAAGATTTCGATGATAACTTTCACAAAGCTCTTATTGCTGAATTGAGAAAATTAAGCAAAACAATTGACAACCAAGGAAGCCAAATCCGAGCACAAGGAGGCAAATTGACGGCTGCAGAAAATAAGATCAAGTCGCAAGAAAATAATATAAAGGATCTTGACAATAAAAGAAAAGATCAAGATAATAAAATCAAGAACCAAGACAATAAGATCAAATCTCAAGATAATCAAATTAGAGACCTTGAAAATAAAAGAAAGGACCAGGAAAAGAAAATCAGTAACCAGGAAAATAAGATAAGGGACCAAGAGAATAAGATCAACGGCCAACAACGTAATATCAATAGTATTGAAAATGCCCGTCGTGCAGACAGCACAAAACTATCAGGCGTTGCTACCAAGGTAACAAATCTGGAGAATGGTCGGGTTGCAGATGCGCGCGTTGTCAAGGGACTTGGCGATCGACTGACTCGAGCAGAGAACAAAGTCAAGGTTTTCGATGCCGTACTAAACGACAAATCTTTAGAGAACAGACTGAACGATCTCGGCGATGCTGCTGCTGATGCCAAAACAAAGATTGAAAAGATTGTTGGAGAAGCAGATATTGTCAAGAAAGGACAAGCTGAAAACCGTGAAATGATTACAACAATCAAAGAACAAATCGCAAACCTCGCTGGTTCTCCATGCGACGGTGAATGTGTCGATAAGAAAATTACAGAATCCGAGAAAAAACTTCAGGATAATCTCGAGCTCTATGTAACCAATGCTAAATTCGATGAATTTGAAACCGCTCAAGAAAAACTAAATGGACAGCTTGAACAAGGTCTTGCAACAACTGCAGCTCAAGTAGATGCTATCAACACCAACCTCAACTCACTAAATACTCAGCAAACGGAAACAAAGGGGCGTGTTGACACACTTGTTCAATCGACCAATACATTTAGAGATCGACTCCAGATCGTTGAGGATGACCTGAAGATCAATGATATAAAAACAAAGGAGACTGCTGAATTCCTAATTGTGCTAACAACTAAAACCAATAAGCGGCTTGTGGCTCTTGAGAACGTGACTGATGTCAACAAGGCAACGACAACTGAAAGAATCGATAGTGTTATTGCAGAGACAGACAGCCGCCTCAACAACATTGTTAATCAACTTGAATCTGCCGTCGCCCGGTAAGTTATATATTCTTATTCATCTTTTACAGTAGTGAAGTTTTTTTGTTCTTGTTTTATGTGCTGTTACCGTTTAATATCATACATGGCAGTTCCTAATAATTCACCGCATGTATTTGAGTTTATATAAGGTGATGGGCAGTTAACCCCCGGGTAGTTAACCTATAACACTGGCCCCAATCTCTTTGAACTCATTCGATATGAAGGACTTTTTGATATTTATATCACGCCATCAATCGCATTACTTGGAATTTTTTGTCCTTTTTAGGCCTATTTATAAAAAGTGGGACTCAAATTTTCAAAACTGGGGCCCAATTTTTTGATTTACTGGCCCAAAATATTTCTTCTGATTTGAAATAAGCCCCTCCCGTTAGTTTCTGGATCCGCCGGTGTACCCCATCTTTATTTCAGAAATATGAAAAGTAGATCAGTTCCATAACTTGGTTGTTAAAATCTGAGACAATACTGGCGGATCTGGGGGGGGGGCGAGAAGACTATGGGCCAAAAAAGGCCTCAAGTCCCAAAAAAGTGGGCCTTTTTGGTTATTACTGGGCCTTTAAGGACTTATTCTTTAATTTTAGGCCATATTTTGAAGAAAATGGGCCTCAAAATTTCAAAATTTGGGCCCACTTTGGGGTTTTGGGGGCCCAAAACTTTTCCGCCGAAGCGCAGAAGTTTTTTCTCTTACCTGAAATTTGCCCCCCCCCCCCTCTTTGGTTCCCAAATCCGCCCCTGGACAATCTGAGAAAAAATTGTTTTACAGTATCTGATACAAAATATTTGAAGATTGTGCACTTCGAATTAATATAATGCGCATGATATCACTTATTTTGATAAGTCTGGCTTGTCATGGTAGTCTTTCTGTTTCAGCCAACAACAAGTCAATTTCGTTGATGAGCTACGTATTAACAGTACTGATGCTAAACTGCGTGATGTTATCACAAAGGTGGACGAACTCCAAGTTGGTCTTGAATCGTTAGCCAACTCTCACGTTGACCTCGGCAACCTCAGTGTAACTATAGTAAAGGCCATTGAAGGGTTCGAAAAGGACGCCACTGAGGTATCTAACATTATTGAGACCAACAGCGATGAACTCCAAAAGAGACTGCAAAGGTTGGACAATGAAGTAGATTCCGTCAAAGGTAATCATTCATTCTTTTATTCACGTGTATGACTTCAGATTCCTCAACTGTATATTGTATTAGAATACCATAAATGGAAATGATCTTAGATTTGGGATGAAGATATGCCAAATATATCATAATTTATCCCACGATTAATGTGTTATCTGTACAATAACAGCTATTGATATTTCTGATATTATTGAAATCCGTGTGATATTTTCCAGTAAATCGTTTATCAAACTCATATGCGTGTGATATCGTTTATCTCACGCATATCCGTGTGATATCACATTTGCATTTCGCGCCACAATATTGTTGGAAATTAGGTCAGATCATTTATTATTTTTTGAGAAAATAGGTCCGTTAATTTATTCTCTTTAAGTTTCATTGGTGTATTGAATTACGATTGTGTATATATAATTTGATTAGAAGGCTGCTAACTAACGATTAAAAAATGGTATTTATGACGAACTATATCATGTCATTTACTTTTAATTGTAAAAATAAAGTGTTTCAAATATTCAATTGATATTCTAATTTCTAGTTTTTATTGTCTGCCAATGTCCTGGAAATTGGATCAGAACATCACAAGGTGATTGTAATCATGGGATAAACCCAATATCACATAATTTCTCGTGATATCATTTTATCGCCTCGTAGATATCAAATATCAACACTCATTCGCTTCGCTCACTCGTGTTGATATTTGATATCAACTCGGCGATAAAAATGATATCACTCAAAATGATGTGATATTCTGTATATATTTCATGGATCTTAGTGTATATTTAAACTAATCTAATCCCAGTGCCCTAAACATCACGTACATCTTATTTTAGGTGTTATGACTCAGTTCGCTGATTGGACAAAGGTTGCAGTTGAAGACATCAACACCATTAAGTCTGACGCCAGCCAAATGAGAGAGAAGATTTCCACCAACACTGACGATATTGAAGCACTTGATACCGTTGTTCCCAGAATAGAGCAACTTGAAAAGGTCACCCTAAACAATACGCAAGACATTAGGGCGCTAGAATATCTTTCACCTAAGATTGCTGAGAATGGCCAGTCTATTAAGAACATTGATGATGAACTCGAGAAATTGAAGGACATCCCCAGTAACGTTGGTGAAAATACTGACAAAATAGCTGACATCGAAGGCCGCATTGCTGATCTTCCAGAGGTTAAGAAGACAATTGCTGGAAATCAAGACGCCATCAAGAACGCATCAAGTGTGATTTCAAAGTCCAAATCTGACATAGCCGAGGCTCAGCAAGATATCAACGACAATAAGGTTGCCATTACTGAAGCTATTAACGGTGTCGATGCAGTACGTAACAATGTTGTCGCTGTCGATGATAAGGTCAGCTCACTTGCTGAGAAAGTTGAGAAGAATAAAGAGGATATCTCAGAGCTGAATGTCAGACTAGGCCCACTAGGATCACTCCCACTACGTGTTGGAAAGCTAGAGGATGACATTAAGTCAGTTGAAAGCAACGTCGTGGGTATCCAAGGTCAACTTCCAAAGATCGATGCAAATGCCAAGATGATAAACGACCTAGAAACAACCACAACAGAAAAATTCGCTAATGTCCGAAATGCAACCATGGAAAACGTCAATAAAATAAGCAATATCGCCACTAAATTATTGGAGATTGATACCAACAAGAAGCTGATAGAGCAATTGGAAAACCAAACTGAAGCCCAAGTTGACCAACTTGCTAAACTGACCAACACGCTGAAGGAACAAATCCAGGACTTGAGCGCTGTTGCAAATAACAACAACGTCAAAACAAATGAAAATGCAGCATACTTGGACACTCTGTCAACTGGTGTCGACAAGAGGTTCACAGCACTAGAGAACGTGACGGAGACGAACAAGGCAAATTCAAACGAAAGAATTGATAGTGTTATTGCAGAGACTGATAGTCGCCTCAACAACGTGATAAGACAGCTTGAATCTGCTGTGGCGCGGTAAGTTATCACTAATATGTCGAAAACACACATGTACATAATAAACAGAACTCGGACTAACGTTTATGTACCTAGTTACATGACTTCATTTTTAGTGCATGAACTATATATACTCCAATATGTGTATATAACTACTTTATTTTTGAATGTTTTGGATTGTCACATTTGAACTCTGCAATATTTCCGGGAATATTTCACTTTGAAAACATATTGCTTGATTACGAAAATGAAAGACTTGCAGTTGCTATGTATATGCCATATGAATTGATTAGTCTGCGAATGTTTGTGATAAAAGTCGTGTTGGCATAACAGAAGTTCAATGACCTTATTAAGTGCACCTAGTGTCAGACATTAAGTACAACATCCCCTATGACCTCGCTTTCCCCTTGTTTTACAGAAACGAGATTCATTTATATTTACATTCTAATTCAACGCGTTCTTCCACAGCCATTTCCAAATGGCTACATATATATTATATTAATACATTTAATTACAGCCAAGATCAAGTCAACTTCATTGAAGAACTTCATCATAATGCCACTGATGCTAAACTACGTGATGTCACATCAAAGGTAGAGGAACTCCAAGTTGGTCTTGAAGCGTTGGCCAACTCTCACATTGACCTCGGTAACCTCAGCGTAACTATAGTGAAGGCCATTGAAGGGTTCGAAAAGGACGCCTCTGAAGTGTCTAACATCATTGAGACCAATAGCGATGAACTCCAAAAGAGACTAACAAAGTTGGACAACCAAGTCGACACCATCCAAGGTAACCTATCCGCGATGCTTCTTTGCGTGATCATATTCTTTTTCTTTTCTATAAGAATTGAGAACTGGCAGTCATTTATGAAACGTTAAAATAATATGTATTGTTTTATTGTCTATTGTACTTCGATTTCTTAAAATTGGGTGAGGGGGTGTATATGGTAATATGGACAAAAAGGATTTCAAAATATGAATATATATTTGTGAATAAGTAGAAATAAAAAAGCATAGTATATGAGGCATTGACAGAGCTAGAGGTGTTAGAATTTTTGATTATTAAATACTCCAACCAACTTTTATGTTCTAGGTGTTATGACTCAATTCGCTGATTGGACAAAGGTTGCAGTTGAAGACATCAACACCATAAAATCTGACGCCAGCCAAATGAGAGAGAAGATTTCCACCAATACTGACGATATTGAAGCACTTGATACCGTTGTTCCCAGAATAGAGCAACTTGAAAAGGTCACCCTAAACAATACGCAAGACATTAGGGCGCTAGAATCTCTTTCACCTAAGATTGCTGAGAACGTCCAGTCTATTAAGGACATTGATGATGAACTCGAGAAATTGAAAGACATCCCCAATAACGTTGGTGAAAATACTGGTAAAATAGCTGACATCGAAGGCCGTATTGCTGACCTTCCAGAGGTTAAGAAGACAATTGCCGGAAATCAAGACGCTATCAAGAACGCATCAAGTGTGATTTCAAAGTCTGAAGCTGACATAGCCGAGGCTCAGCAAAAAATCAACAACAATAAGGTTGCCATTTCTGAAGCAGTTAGCAGCGTTGATGTAGTACGTAACAGTGTTGTCGCTGTTGATGATAAGGTCGACTCACTTGCTGAGAAAGTAAAAAAGAATGAAGAGGATATCTCGGGACTCACTACAAGAGTTGGTTCCCTTGAAAACCTCCCAGCACGTGTTAATCAGCTAGAAACTGGTATGACTACCGCAGAAAGTAGCATCCGCGATATCCAAAACCAACTTCCCAAAATCACCGCTAACACACAGAAAATAGATCAACTAGAAGTTACCATGAATGAGAAACTCGAGAAGGTTCAGACAACAGCTTCTAACAACACTAACAAAATTGCCGATGTCAGCTTAAAACAGCTCGAAATTGATGAAATCAGAGACGCCCTTGCCTACAACAACCGCAAGATCGACACCATGAACGCCCATATTGCAGCTATTTGCCAACGTACCGATCTAGCGTTCGATGAAATGTCCCGTAACTGGACGTCCACTTTAAGACCTATCAGAAACAGACTTACGGAGGTAGAAAAAATCGCCAGCGCCCCACAGCCAGACCCCTGGGTACCCAGCGATGGCGACAAGACCTCGATTGGTCAAGTAGCCAAGGCCATCACTGACCTACAACAGGTAGATGTTGAAATCAAAAGTGATGTTGAGAAGATAAAGGCTGATTTGATCCAGTACGAAGAAACAGACATGGCAGCAGAGAAGAGCGTTGATAACAAACTTAAGGATCTTCAACAAACTCACAAGACTGACAAAGAAGCTGGTGATGCCAAGATTGATTCAACCATCACAACACACAACAACGATATGACCACTTTCCAACAAGTGAAAGAAGAAATCCGAAGTGTTGTCCAGAAGAATGCTGGCTCGATAGAAAAACTTGAACAAGGACTTCAAAAGCTTGAAAATTCAACAGCGAAAAATGCACTTAATATTGCTGAATTGGAGAAAGTAAAGGCAGAACAAGCTATAAAACTAGACGCCCATGCTCGTGGACTAACTTCTCTAATTGCAGAGATGGATGCAGTCATAGACACGATTACATCTCAGAATGCAACCATAAAATCGGTACAACAAGAGCTCTCCCAACTTAAACAATTGACAGTCGGAAAAGCCGAGATTGCGGACATTGTGAAACAAATCGAGAGGATCTCCACCGCTAGCATCAATGAACAGAAGAAGGCCATCACCGACATCCAATCGGAAATTGAAACGATTAAAGAAGATGCAACTGCACAAGAAAATGCTTTGGGGGAGCTTCGGCAAAAACTAGCATCGGCCACATCAGGGATGAACATCACGATTGAAGAGCTCAAACGAGAATTGGAGAATCTGTGGAAGACCGGCGATAATCTTGGAGCTGAGCAACGCAACTTCGTCAAAGAGGTCCGTGATATTATGAATGCGTTCAGTAACTCGATGAGTAAGATGGATAAAGGGTTGAAAGATCTGAATATGAAAGTAGACAACACACCAGACAAAGCTGATCTCCAAGCATTCTACACCAACATGAACCGAGGCGTCACCAGCACACGTCAGAGTATTGTTAAACAGCAACAGGACATCATGGCCTTATTTGGACAGGTCACTCGCATCACGGGGTCCCTTAATTCTATCAATGAGGATATCCAAAACAAACTCGATACAGTAGCCTCCAAAACAACCGCTGAAGAACTCCAGAAGCAAGTTGCAGACAACAAGGCAGAACTGAACCAAAAGATTGCTATTCTTGAACAGAGCGTAGCAGAAGTAATGAAGAAACAAGAGAGATACAATTAAACCACGACGCAATATATTCTACGGACAAGAGACACATTATTATAAAAACTCTCCGTTTTGATATTATTAAATGTACTGAATGAACTATTTTTATTCGAATGAGTATACCAGTTTTTTTGGACGAGCATTGGATATTGAAATAGATAAATTTATTCTAATTTCACAGTCGTGTGTTTATCCCTAGTTCCATTTCAACAGGATTCAAATATTTTCTCTTGTGGTATTGACCATCCTTTTAACCAGCCCATTTAATTTTCTGCTGCCTTGCCATACATTTTCCATCCTCCATATATAGGACCATCTTGGATTTCCAAGGTATGATGTGTTCGAAAATCAAACTGGGAAACGAGTATGATATGGGACTCAATGGGGTCCTCTATTGAATTCAGTGTTTCAACGTGGAGTCGCTGACATGTTGAATACCAAAACTTATAATATCAAATGTTCCTTAATAAATGGTTCAATATCCTGAATGTTTTGACTCCATAAAGCACAAAGTGTACCCGATGTTTTGATTCACATTTTGTCATAAATTTGGTATCTTTCCTATATCTCTATATTTGAAGTCATGGGATTTGAACGTCTTCCGTTGGTAAAGCGACGAAGCATGATATTTTTATCAAAATTCAAGAATTTCGCACAATTCATTTTTTGCTTTATTTATTATTTTAAAGTTAAACGCTTTCAATTTAAGGATTAAGCCCTGGACTGCAATATGGAATGAACATTTTTGAAGGTCTTTTTTCCAAAGTTTGGACGAGATGCGCAACATCGAGTGTTAATTTTACGAAAGAACGCCTGGAAGGAATTTTTGCCTGAAAAGAATGATCATTCCACAATGCATTGAGTTTTTGGCTTAAATTCTTTTCACTTATTGCAAAATATGTTCACATTTAAATGTTGAACAATTAGTGCAGAGACGTAACCAACGATCATGGACCTAATGTCAAAATATATCGAAGTTTGAATATTTCATTATGGCTAACATCTATTTTCATTATATATAAAGAAACCCCCTGAATGAACGTTATTTCAGTTGAAATTCCTGCAGTTAAAATCTTGAAGTGTAGTTTATCTTAAAATCTTGAAGTGGGTTTCCTCTTATGGAAACTTTAAACTTAATTTACACTTCTAAATGCTGAAATTTAAGCATGTTTATACATTTTAAGAAAATAGGCCTGACAAAATTTTTCTCTAAAGGCCTTGTTGCCACTTACGATACGAAATCACTTTTGGAAGGGTCAAGTAGGCAAAGCAACAGCAACCTGTAGAGTCAAGTTGTTACCTTGACAACCCCATAAGCACCCTTGGTATACGCAGCTAACGAAAATTGACCGGTACGGGTCAAAAGCTGGACCGGTACGGGTTAACGGTTTTATTTGAATTTAAAACAGCCATAACTTGCTCAATATTGACTTCCTCGTGTCTTATTTGAAATATATGATGCCTCCCGATACTTTTAAGTACCCCAATTTTTTACAGATTTTTAAACGGACCAAAACTCTCTAAATGCGCATTTATGCTCTTTTCTCTCGAGAACGACTGTCTTATTTTCACGATAACTTTTATTTAGTACTTCTGACATATAAGATCTATTTTTCCCCATCAAGGTAGGATGTAAATGACATGCTATTTACATCTTGTGAGTTTCAACGACGCGCGTTTAATTTTATAAAAAATGCCAAACTTTGTGACAAAGAATTTCATCAGCTATTGCCCCGAACCGGTCCGTCTTCTCGCTGCAAGCAGATTGCCCCGAACCGGTCCGTCTTCTCGCTGCAAGCAGGATGAAATTCTTTGTCACAAAGTTTGGCATTTTTTATAAAATCAAACGCGCGTCATTGAAACTCACAAGATGTAAATACCATGTAATTTACATCATCGTCGTTCTCGAGAGAAAAGAGCATAAATGCGCATTTAGAGAGTTTTGGTCCGTTTAAAAATCTGTAAAAAATTGGGGTACTTAAAAGCATCGGGAGGCATCATACGAGGGTTGTCCCATAAGTCTTGAAATTTTTATTCTAATTCAAAATGATTTTAATGAATTTGGCTGAAAATTGGTATGTATCAAGATCAATCAATTATCTTTAACACGGTATAGTTCCATAACAAAATTATGAACTTGAGTAACTTGAGAAATTATAATCCACATCGTGATTTATAAGTAGATGTAAATCGAGAAATAAAAATATCTTACCTTACTCACTTCGAGAGCCATGTTAGATTTTGAAACTGATGGCTCTCAAACGGAGAAGTGTACAGCTGATCAATAGTGACCTTTGAAACTGAATTAAGTCGATCCGCGGCTTACTTTTGGTCTCTAACTGTGTCTTACATCAGTATCATCAATCCGTGTAAGTATTGGAGCGCTGGAGTACTTCTTTTTCGATCAAGACTTGTAAATTGTTCATCGAGTTAAAGTTTTACAGACCTATTTCCAATATGGCGGTTTGCTAGGTGCGAGATACGCAACGAACGAAATGAATTTTGAGAATTAGTTAGGTTCGGACAACCTCCGGAGATTTACGAAAATGTCCGAGCAGAAACCGCCATATTGGAATTTGGCAGTAAAACGATTCACTCGACCTAACAATTACAAGTCTTGATCGAAAAAGAAGTACTCCAGCGCTCCAATACTTACACGGATTGATGATACTGATGTAAGACACAGTTAGAGACCAAAAGTAAGCCGCGGATCTACTTAATTCGATTTCAAAGGTCACGATCACTGAGCTGTCCAAATGCTCCGTGGGAAAGCTATTATATCAAAATCCAAATAGCTTTCGCAGGAAGTAAATCTTACCCAATTCAAATCCCTGAGGTAGTTCCGCCATGATACACTGACGATACGTCTGTGTAACTAGGTGGGTAGCAGTGATTAATTGTAAGAGAAAAGAAGGTTCGAGTCAAAATCTATTGATTTTGTGTAAATTGAAAAATTACCTTGAAAGCAGACTAAAAATATGTCTGGGGTTATTTAGGATGTGACAGCTATTACACACTACCCTACCCCGCCATACTGTAGCCTGTGTTTCTTTAAAAAAGGATACAGGCTACAGTGAAGTTGCAAACGAAGGACGTTTGTTTATTTCCATATTTCTGAAGGTATACTAGATTTTACATATATATATTTTTTTTCATTTAACATATTTCAAGCGTTCTTCTATACATTAATTATATACATCCGTCGAGCAGCTTTCATTGTAAACCATTCTCATTAAAAAATAAGAGTTTAGAATAACCAGTAATATTGAATCCAAATGCTGATGGTAATCGCACATGGTCACTGTTATGAACGGTCCATAAGTTGATTTGAAATTTCTGGTAAAATAACAAGACACTTGATCATATTTATAACTTTCAAATATATATTCAACTTTAAGATATATTCACACATATCTAGGCATCATGATAAACCATGTCATCTCATTTCTCCTCAGCCCTGGTGAAACAGAAAGATGCTATGAGTATCAGAATGATATCTAGGCATGATGTGTCAAATTCCAACCAATCAGAACACGCTATTTCACGTAACTGTATTCCGTTATAGGCTACAACCAACTCCCGTGCAGTGATATATCGAGACAGTGCATGGGAGTTCGAGGCTATAACCATGGGCTTTTAACTAGAATTGAAAGCCTATGATAACACCAATAACGAACTCAATGTCACTAATTAAACGGCTGTCATTGAGATGACTGGACTCTTCAAATTGAAATTGATACTTTGCCCGCTTGACCATTGGAAAAAAGTTTCATTGAAAACTTTTATGTTCGTAATATTTGGCAATGTGTGAAAGGAATTTAAGCCCAAGACTCGATGCATTGTATAATTTCAGACGTTGTTTCCTAAAATTAATTTTTTTTAGGAAAGCAGCACTTTCAAGTAATGGTCATTCCACATTGCACTGAAGTCTCTGGTTCTGACAGTTGCTCGCTCTGTTATTTTTCTCTCAGATATCATCCATATCCATGACCATAATATAATACCATAATAGGCCTAATTTGATCTCAATATATGTAAAGTATATAAAGATATTATATGAGCAATTATAATGGGACATCACTGATTGTCTCTGGTGGGAGAAACCTCGGAGACATTGCCTCGAAAATTCCTCCGATTTTGATCGAGCTGCGTGACCGTGCGGTCCATTTTCATCATCACACTTGTCCAGATTGTAAGTACCATAGAGATACGTCCATGGATATACTTATGAATGATGATTACAATTCATTTAGAATTAAAGTCTCATTATAAAACTCAAAATTAACCAATTTTGAAACAAAACAACCAAACTGGCGATGCAATCGTTCGATTTTCGACATAAAAGTCGTATTGCGCATTTACCCGGGACAATTTACATAATGCAACAAGTGCGCGCGTACCATCGCACAAACAAAGATGTCGGCCAAGAAAATGAACTTCCTCGTCGTATTTTTGTCCACTTTACTTGCTTTTTCAGCTGCTTTACGGTATGGTTCGAAGTCAAGAACATTACATTTTTCTTCAGTAAGGACTGAGGATAGGTATGGCAAAGGATTTTACGAAATTTCTCGCTCAAAACGGGAGAATGTATATTTTTCCTCCAGAAATCGGAGATCTGCTGGCGCTGCAGATCAACTCAATATTACGACAACAGTAAGTTTATAGAAGCATATAGAGATTCTTTCTAACTACACTGTAGATTCTGATCTTGAAGTTCAATATATAAGAAACAAGATGCACTTCAATAAGCTATAACCTATCTAGTGAGAATCACAGTCGCAGGTTTAGGCTAGTTTCACTTCATTCATACGACACATGTTGTAATTTTACAAGAAATTTCAATATTTTTACCCTTTATTTTTACCCAAAAATTGGTTATTTGAAGAAAAAATGAACCAGCACTATGCAATGACAATGGCAATCGTGCTTCTGCTCAAAATTTGTAGGAGGAATTCTTAACTCGGGCAACAACTTGTTTTAAGTTGTATTATCCTGTCACAACCTATTTACAACTTTTATTCAATATTATTTCTGGTTGAAATCAAGATTTAACTTACTCACTTCGAGAGCCATGTTAGATTTTGAAACTTATGGCTCTCTAACGGAGAAGTGAACAGCTGATCAATAGTGACCTTTGAAATTGAATTAAGTCGATCCGCGGCTTACTTTTGGTCTCTAACTGTGTCTTACATCAGTATCATCAATCCGTGTAAGTATTGGAGCGCTGGAGTACTTCTTTTTCGATCTAGACTTCCCAATAGACTAAACAGTACATGAATCAAGTACACAAAGTCTATATCACTTGATTGTGTATTTTCATATATTTTTAAGTTTTAATAAAAAAGACCAATGGGCAACATTTTGGAAACACTTGCACAGCTGTGATTCTAAAATATTAAGACATCCTGGGTATGACATGTAATGAAACTTTGCGACTGTCCTTGTGCATGCTAGATCTGCTCGTACATGTAACTTATTTGATGAGGTTAAATCATCAGCATTCATATATATATATATATATACCAGGTATTAGCTTTGGGAACATAAACATAACAAATCATAAACCAGCACTTGAGCAAGTTTTGTCAAAGTGTGCATAAGCGAATATCAAAATGTCAGACTGCATAAGTGCAAAGGAGGCTAAACGCGAAGTACAACTTCCTCCACCACTTTAATGCCCAATCTCATCGATGTGAATGTGTGCAAACTGCTCTCAGAGAGAGTATGGGTATGGAGCTGCTCGGTCATCCCCCATATTCCCCCGATTTAGCGCCATTGGATTTTGCGATTTTTGGGAAACTGAAGAGTGACCTCAAAGGCAAGCGTTTTCATGATGTCAATGAGATGAAACAGGCAGTTATGCGTTCCCTGCACACCAACTTCCCTGACTGCAATGATGTACATACTCGCTGGGTTGATAGACATAGCCGATGTGTGGCTGCACAAGGACATTATTTTGAGTGCATGCGTACATAAAGGACATAATAGTTGATTTAATCAGTCTGTGAGACTCTTGATTTTGTAGTGAAACTTTTATTCTAGTTTTATTGTCCCAGGTGCCATTACCATGGCAATGAAAAAGTTTTCCCGTGAGGAGAGTTATGAAGAAATAAAATTTATATTTTTATATCTTTTGCCAAAATAAATTATTTTTTGTCTGTCCAAATTACAAGTTATAACTTCGAAAAATAAAGAAATGAGAGAATTTTTATCAGAATATCTGGATCGACCCTTGTATATGTCCCAGGCCAAAGATTGCTTATACTGTATATTGCAATATTAATATGATGTTGAGATGATATACATTATACTATATGCAGTATGTGTAGTATAGTGTCCTAAAAGTCATGGAGTTGCATTTTTGACTCAATGAACACCTCAAATGATATCAATTAAAAATCATAGAATACACCCTTTCTCTATTATACCTAATTTTAATTATACATTCTACCTATAAGCTATTACATAATATTTTTGTTTTTACTTCCAGTTCAACTTAAATGATTCACATTTCCAACTTATAGTCCACTGGGCCGGTGAAGGGAGTAATGTAATAATTGCTCTTGCGAAGGACTTCTTCACCAGATCAACATCTAATAGCACTGTATACATTTCTAATGACTATGGAAAGTCATTTAATACAGTCCCAAATAACAAGTTTAGGATGGCAGTCAGTGGTCATGCTATCATAGAGAAGTTTTACAATAGTCCAGTGAGGAACAGCCACGTGAGTACTAAAATAAATCATAATTTAAAGGCTGGGTCAAAGAATTTTTTTTAATGAAACCAAGGCTCTTGATAAATGCTAAAGTCGAAGCATTGTCATTATGATTGTTGTTGATTATTATGTGGACCAAGTTTTACAGCTAATTAACTTGTCATCACTATTCACGGTAAACTGCGCATCAGACTTTCCCAATAAACAGTTAACATAATATGTTAGACAGGTACAAAGTTCTATAATTGATCCTTTTGAGGACCTATTTTGGGCCATTTTAGAAGTTTGATGAGTTTTATCACTGTCATAAATTTCTGTCTGCTTGATAGGTGATTTTACTCATGTCTTGTGCCTTGTTTTTTATGTCACTTCTACAAGTGGTGACATATTGTTATGGTCCTCAAAGTTTTTGTTGATGATGTTCGGTTGTTGGTGTTCGGCATTTGGGAGTTGGCATTCTGAATCAGTAACAAATGGCAGGTGGTGACATTTTCCATGTAAATGCCTTGTCTGTATCTGGTTTTTCCCCCATTGATTAATTTTTTAGAGAAAAATGATATTAGACCTGGCTCCTTATGTAGAGCTTTCACTTACACATTATTAAATTTGCATGTTATGAATAATGGTGATTGAGTATCTTCCTATTTTGGCTGTCTGGTATCACATACATTGTTCAATAGGTAACCTGATTCCTTATCAGCTAGCCATACTACCCTCTGGCAATTATGCATGGTTTTATGTAATTGTAGAAAACTCAGATGATAAAATACCAGGGTCAGATGTTGTTCTTGTTGAGAGCACCCTTTTATTTGGTGGTCTATACAGTATATGTACTGCAGTTATAGAAACTGATTTGATTTTTTGTATGAATTCTAGACTACACTGTACTGAATTATTTGATGGTCAACTAAGAGTTAGTTGTAGAATACTCTTTAATTTGATGGTCTGTACTAAATAGTTATACTAAATCAAATGCTCTTATTTGGTTTTGTGAAAGCAGTTCTAGAATACTGAATTATTGTTGCTCCGTTATTTGATGGTAATTTGATGTTGTATACTAGTTGTAGAAAGTCACTCTTATCAGAAGAGGCTATCGATTTCCAGAGATACACAACTCACAGTTGTATGTTGATTGTTTCATAGTGTAAGCTGATACATGAAAAGGTTACTTGGTATGGGTAGAATATCAGTTTGTTTCACACCTTTTTTCAATTAAGTTGAAGTTAAGTCCAGATCATGAAGTTATATTTGCAGGATTATTTCCCATCTGGATTCAAATTTTTACCTATTTATACCAAAATTGCAAGCTCTGGTCATTATGTAATCTGAATTCTCTATCATGATTTTAAAATTTCATTTTATGTAATGTTATAGTTTCAAGGGGGTGAAAGACTGTGGGCATCCTTCCCTTATCTAGTTAACCAACACATCACATGTAGGAAGGTGTGTGGTTAGGGAGAATGGATTTCCAAGGGCGTGAAAGGATACTTTTGAAACAGCAACAGGTTCTTTCAATGCTGTGGAGTGTAGAGAACACAGCACTGTATGATCTGGAAGGGTAATGGCACTGAAACAGATCTCATCATGTTTTAGATATTATTGTCCTATCATGCCTCAGTATACAGTTTTCATAGATTGGTTTAGTCTAGCTACAAGCCCTTGTAAGCCCCCCCCCCCTTGTACTACACACCACCTCACGTGTGATGTGTAAGTGAAGTAGATGGAGGGGGAGGGGAGAGGGATCACTTCGTTTTCATAAAATATTTTATAGATTGGGATATTGGCAAGAAGATATATATTTTAAACCTTGTATTTATAAGAGAGTGAAATATAAGATGCTTTAATATGGTTTCACTAAGTCTCTAGACTCCCTTACCTTCCCATCTACAGTCTGAACAATAAATAAATGAGCAGTGGATTTGCTGAAGTGAGGATTTCCCATGTTAAAATAAGAGAATTTTCATTCACTAGTGGACGAGAGTATACAAAATTTAAAATGTACAAATTTTATGAGATATGTATCTAGACAATATTGGAAGCTATAGGCTTTCAAACCACCATGGGTCAGAAGTGGTGATAGAAAATTGACTACTCATTCATTTATTACTCGGACTATATGAAGGAAAGATTTGCTGGTGGATATGTCATTGTGGCAATAGCAATTGAAGCGGGAGTACTGCAACATGCCTGGGAAACCATCTACCATAAGAGAAAGTATTTCATTCATAATATTGGCTGTGAATTTTTCAAGCTGACACTCAGGATTAGAAATTATATTAAAGTGTCTTTCTAAGACTTAGAAGGAGAAATGTGAGATTTCGAGCCATATGTCTCAAGAAAATGCTCTTACCTTTCTAGTAGGATGAGTTCAGGTGCCAAAAACAGCTGATCAAAGGATATATATCATTTTCTAATTGAAAATTTTTGTTGAGCCCTGCATTTTTAACACTGTTTTGACAGGAAGTCATATCCAAAATGAAAACTGAATAAAACAACATTTATCCTAAATGTAGATCAAAATACTTACTCCGACATGCAAAATGTTATTATTAATAGTAATGCTGATCATTTTTAAGAAATTTAAGCATGTAAATAAGACTTTTTTCGTCCATGATTATATAGATAAAGAATTTCTCCCTTCAGGAAGCTTTGGCAGTTTGGTGTAGTGGTTAGAGCTTTGGGCTCAAACAAAGTTTTATTCCAAAATATCTGGGTTCAAATCCCTCCGGTGGAATATGTTTTTATTCTTTATTTTTGTTTTTTTTCATTTTGATCCACAATATTTCTAAAATAAATTTTTATATATGGCACCTAAACCATATTTAGTATTTCCAAGGGTTTTAATTTTTAGATGAAATCTGAGGAATAATTGCATAATTATTTTGCTATTGTGGTTAAATCATTTCCAGTGTTAAACATTGATGCAATTGCAAATTGTTTTTAAAGGTTGAATAGATTATGCACATTTTTTATTCATTCTATGTGACAGGTGATTCACGTTCCTTATTCAATATGTTGTTTACTTATAAAACTGATGTCCTTTTATCACAACTTTTATAGTGTATTCTATACATGGTATTTAGTCATAAAATATCATGCAATCAGAATGAAGGATCCTTGAAGTTTGTTGATGTTATAATTTTACATTGCACCTATCCTTCTTTGAAATCTTATAGCTATGATGTATTTGTTTTATGCCTCACTTGACTCAAATAAAATTTGAATTTCTGAGAACTGCCTATGTGCCTATGTGTGTGTAGATTCATATTTTGATCATACTTAAAAAAGCTACATCATCAACTTGGCAGGGAGCCAGGTATTTGTGCATATCTAGACAAAGAACTAGACATCTGATTAATTTTGAAGTTTCAGTGATGTTTCTATGAAATTCTAGAACTGATTACTTTACGGGGGTACCTTGTTACAAGGTGATCTCCCCACCATAAAGCAAGTAGACGCTGCACCCACTTGAGATTCAATATAAAGTCTCTATTGATTTAACATTGCAAAACAGATTATGAGTAATCATTCTGAGTAATCAAAATAAAAGTGAGCATATCCCATTTTAGTGCCGATTTTACAGTAATTTTAAGGTACAACTGTAAAACTGTAATAGCAATATGTTTGAAATGTAAAAAAATTATCTAGGACATTATAAAGCTAGTAAGGCTAAAAGTAGTAGAACGATTTTGTTCATATTTGGTATGTGAATACTAAAAGCATGGCACACTGTCCAATGACACTTTTGGTAGAACGTGGCCATTTTGAAAAATGTCTGCCAGTTTTTTACTATAACTCAAAAAGAAGTGGAGTGATTTTGTTCGTATTTGATATGTGAATACTATAAGGATGGCACACTGTCTAATGACACTTTGGGGAGAAGGTGGCCATTTTAATAAAATGGCCTCCATTTTTACGTGTGTTATTTAATTTTTTTTACTATAACTCAAAAAGTAATAGAGCGATTTTGTTCATATTTGATATGTGAATACACAAAATACATTTTGGCCAGTAGGCAGTCATTTTGAAAGATGGCCATCATTTATGTGCCTTCTTAGAAGCATATTTCTGATGACAATTTGGTTAGTGAGCAACTATTTTGAAAATGGTGTCCATTTTTTGTGTATTTTTCAAATTTTTGCTTTATCCGACATGTACATGTACTTTCTTGAAAAATGACAGCCATTGCTGTTCGATGGAAGTTTTAGTAAAAATCATGCGAAAAGTATTCAGAATGGTGAAAAACTGCATGAGTTTGGAAGAATTTCTGGCCACCCCTGGCCTGCATTTTGTCCTTTGATCTTATCAACACCAAGACTATTTATTTCTCCTATTCAGTACTTATGTACTAAGCTCTGACATTCAGGGCATTTGATAAGATGATATTGCATAAAAAGAACTGGCTGTGTTTACTTAATACAGTGAATATTAAAATGCAATAAGCGTTGAAAGCTGAATTAAACCAGGTGGTTTTTTATAGAAGTCTGACATATGATGATGTACTATCATAGCCTTGTTCAAGTAGAGTGGGTTTATTGTAAGCCTTTTATAATATGTGTTTTTTAGCATTATCGTTCAAAACCATCATCTTCAAAAAGACCGAAATCCCGAGGGATGGGACAATATCGGGAAACCGTGACATCCCTATCCATATGCATTTTGATTTTGATACATTGTCAAAGGAAACAAATACATCTTACATATATATAATTGCTTTCACTTATCCTGGATAAACAAAAATCATATAACTACATGTAATTACTTCAAGGAGATATAAAGGTGATTTTATTTCAGATTTGCTGTTTATCAGGCAGAACTAGAGTCTAATAAGAGCTACTTTAGGATATTTAGGGTCATTGGGATTACATCAAAACTGTATATTTGTCCTTCTCATAGTATAGTACATGTTATACAGTGAAACCTGTAAAGTGGATGAGTTGAACACCTCTAAAAGTGCAACACTGCTGTTAGTGGAACACTTCAGAGTCCAAAGGCCAACTGACTTTACGTTAAATGAACCTCTATGAATGGAACACCTTCCAAATAGAATACTTTTTAGAGGTACCAAAGGCATCCTACTAATGCCTTGGTCACATTTGCTCCGATTTTCGCGACGGTGCCCAGCCGATTGAGTATTTTGTTCAAAATTGAATACAAAATTGAATCAAACACTCAATCGGCTGGGCACCGGCCGATGGATCGGAGCATTTGTGACCGAGGCATTAGACAGGTTTTTAGTGTTATTGTAACTATCCTCTGTTCATTCAGATAACAAACTTATATCTGCCTTTTTCAGTATGTCTTCACAGATGTACTGCACAACTACATCTTTACCTCTACAAATTATGGGAGAACGTTCAGGGGATATCATGTCCCATTTAGACCCAAGACTATTTCCATGCACCCGACTGATGCATCAATCATACTGGGATTGGATGATGAGTCAAGCACTAAAAGGGTTTGTAATTATTTATTCCCCTATAATTAGATTACATATACATGTATCTAGTAATGAATAGACTAATTTTTTATGTATGTTAAAATGAAGGGGAGAAAATATTCCCTCATCAGATTCAGGCTCAGAATTACATATTAAAGGGCTTCATTCTGGAGGAGGGATGTTAAAAATGAAGGGGGGGGTGGAAATATTTCCTCTTCATATCAAAGGGCCTCATTCTGGAGGAGGGATATTAAAAATGAAGGGGAGTAAATATTCACTCATCAAAACAAGGCTTACTTGACTCCCAATTAAACGCTTAAAGGACAACTGAAATAGCTTTTCTCAACTTGCAGCTACAAAAATGCGGTTTTCTCCATTGTAAGCCCAACGTAGAGTTCTTGCGATAGCCATTATAAAATAAATGTTAGATAACTGCTAACGGTCATAAATAATGAAATAAAACTAACTGATCAATCAAATTGGCCCCCACGTGATAAGTAACGTCATATACAAAATATAGCTTTGGTTTATTGGTACCTTAGTAATCACAACGTCACGGCAACCATAGGATTGTAGTATAAACAAAACATTTTGGCATTATGACGTTATGGGCCACTTTGGGACCAGTGAGAGATCACGTGGGGGCCAATAACGTCACAACCAATTCGAATATTCGTTATTATGAAGAAATAAGAGCAGTTGGTTACTTACTTTCTGATCGGGCCTCGTAAGCAGCTATAACGATCGTTAGAGTGAAATAGTTTTCGCACTACTGATGAGAAAACATGTCCAAATACATTTATCAAAAAATTATATTGATTCCTTAAGGTTAAAAATACCATTTCATATCTGCTTTAACATCACAGGGATATATCAGAGAATATGTCATGTGTTGCATGTTCAACCAGTCACAGCCTGGGGAAAGATTCTATTTTTTTCATTAATATCACAAATTGACCTAGACAAATAACCATATTATTATCCCAATATGAACGAAGTTCGGTAGGGATATAGTGAAACCCTCTGTCTGTCAGTCTGTCCATCCGTTCATCCATCTGTCAGTCCATCCGTCCGATAACTCATATACTAGTAGACAGATTTTCTTCATATTTGGTGGAAAGATGTAAATTGATAAATGGTTTTACGCAAAAAAATAATTGTTTCATGATGGCTGCCACTTTTTCACAAGAATCTTATGTTTTTTTCATTTTAAACCATTATAATAAATATTTTTGTTTGAAATTTTGGTAGTATATTCACAACATCTATCTTTTTCACATATATTCCATGTTTTTCACCCTGACCCTCAGGGGCCGTGTGTTGGGGGTCGGGAAAACAGAAATTTGGGTTAATCTTGAGATATTTCTGAAGTATGCCAATATTATACTCTAATGAAAGGCAATTTAGTGTAGATTGCAAATATTGTATCATTTTTCTGATTTGTGCCTCAGACAATTAAAAATGGCTGCTAAGTGTGGGATTTCGCAAAAATTTCCCTATCCTTTCAAAATATGGCCATATTTAGTTATATGTCTGTCTTGTGTTATCTGCAAATCAAGGTTACAGTAAATGGTAAATATAATATCAGACATATACAGATTGATAGAAATTTGTTCTTTGGGATTTGCTACTCTGTGGAGTTGCCGTTTTCTAGTTATGTCACATTCTAATAACACAGAAATAAAAATGATTATTTTAAATTGTTTCCTCAAAATGCGTCTTTGCCAGTTTATTGCGATGCATCCTTAAATATGTCTATTTTTTCTTTAGTTGTATGTGTCAAGAAACTTTGGGTTCAGTTGGCAATCCATTCAAGTTAATGTCAAGTCATTCTTCTGGTAAGTTTTTTTTTCTTTCTTTATTCCTGTAAATATATTCAAATATACAACAAATAGACTGCCAAAGTTAAAAAAATTGGTGGCAGTTCTGGTAAGAGATGTTAAGTAAAGTGATGTCATATTACGATGACCTTATTAAGTTATTGAATGATTTGAAGTGCAATACAGGAGGCTCACCTTGAGGCACAAAATGCCTCAAGGTAGGGTGGTTGAAGACATTAATGTACATTAATTTCAACATACTAACCCCAAATAATATAAATATGGGTTGATCCTTTCTATTCCAGGGGAGTTGTTCCTTATGACAGTGTAAATACCATTTACGTCGAGCGTAGAGAGCAAAGATCCAGCAAATCAGATGTTGTGAAAAGTAGCAATTTCTTCACTACAACCACGGCTGTTCTGTCTCAAGTTGAAGATTTTGAGGTCAAAGGAAATTATTTGTTTGCTACAAGGAATATAGTAAGCGCTTACTTATACACATTAGTCTGGCTTCTGATTAATTCTTCATACTGTTGAGATTGCTCCTAATGATTGCATTAAAAATTATTTTCACAATTTCTTGTATTGTGTTCACAATATTTGGGATATTTTAACCATTTGGTATTATGACACATGCACAGCATGTCTTATCCCACTATGTCTCATAATATCTAATGAGCTTGGCAGATTTGAAACTATTTCCTGTATTTCAGAGTTTCTTGGGATGGTTGAGTTTTCATAGAAGGTCCTCATTACAACTTTGGGTGTCTCACAATCATACAGAGTGGCATCGAGCTGTTTTCCCTGGAAGACTCAAGGAAAATGTAGGTCTTATCTGTCTATTTTTTACTTCTTGACTTTTTTTTTACATCTGAAATAGTTACATTGTTATTATTTTGAAAACTCAAGAATTGACAGACATTCATTTCATAATTGGTTTTCTTTTTAATATTCACCTATACTGTACTTAGTTTTCTTAATATATGAGTGAATAGAAGATAACAAAGCTGGGCCTTAGATAAAGGTGCTCACATTGATAAGTGTTCAGATCAGAGAGAGTGTTCTGATATACGAGTTTTACTGTATTAAACTTTGAGTTTTATTTCAGGATTACTACATAGCAGATGCTTCAGAGGATCAGGTTTTTGTTGTTGTTAACCATGCTAGCAATAACTCAAAATTATATATCTCTCAAGCTAAAGGAAAGGACTTCACGCTATCATTAGAGAGAATATTCTACTACAATCCACACAAGAATAATGACTCTTGGCTCTCGTAAGTAAAAAATCATAATTATGCTGAAATTTTGCAGGGAAGATAATCTAAAGCAAAAAATGACACCCACCTTTTCTAACATAATTTTGGAAATAAGTCAAAATGATTTTATCAACAATAACTACAGCATTTTGTGTTCAATTGAATGAACTTCATGTCCCTGCAATAACAAGCCAAAATCATCAGTATTTACAAAGTTATGTTACAAAAGCTGGTTGGCATATTTTTGTGTAGAATCCATGTGTGTTTGGAAAGGGATGGATGGCATTTAGAAAAAATGTTCTAACACTCATAAAATTTGACCCACTTGAGCTACACATCTGAAATTTTTGGACGCGCTTTCGCATTATGTCTACTTTAAATGTTCCAATAATAGACAAACAAGTTATGCAACGTAAAGTGAGTGTCATTTTTTTGTGTCACCCTGTATATGTAAAGTATTAGTAGAAAATGAATTAGAAGTAAATACATGTTAACCTAAAAAAAAATGAAGAGCTGAATTTGCCAATATTATTGTATGCCTTACCATTGTGCTAAATAACTTGTATCTCAGCAAATGATAGAGGAAATCAATTCTATAATGTTTTAACAAACATGGCACATTAGGTTCAATCTGTAATTTTATGTGTAAATTTGAAGTAATTTAGCTTGTATTGCCTCTTTTTTTATCGTACCTAACAAGAGGTACAATATTGTAGTCAGCTTGACGGGTGGCGGGCGGGCGGGCGGCGTCTCACTTTTCAGCTTGTCTACAGGTTTCCAGCCAAACCATTTGACAGATTCATCTGAAATTTTCAGGAATGTTTCTACGTATCAAAGTTAAGAACTGATTAGTTTTTGGGCATTCTGGGTAAATTTTAAGGTGGCCATTTTGGATTTTCCATCCTAAAATCTTCACTTTCAAGACTTGTCTACAGGTTTCCAGCCAAACCATTTGACGGATTCATCTGAAATTTTCAGGGATGTTTCTACGTATCAAAGTTAAGAACTGATTAGTTTTTTGGCATTCTGGGTAAATTTTAAGGTGGCCATTTTGGATTTTCTGTCCTAAAATCTTCACTTTCAAGACTTGTCTATAGGTTTCCAGCCAAACCATTTGACGGATTCATTTGAAATTTACAGGGATGTTTCTACGTATCAAAGTTAACAACTGATTAGTTTTTGGGCATTCTGGGTTAATTTTAAGGTGGCCATTTTGGATTTTCCGTCCTAAAATCTTCACTTTCAAGACTTGTCTACAGGTTTCCAGCCAAACCATTTGACGGATTCATCTGAAATTTCAGGGATGTTTCTACATATCAAAGTTAAGAACTGATTAGTTTTTGGGCATTCTGGGTAAATTTTAAGGTGGCCATTTTGGATTTTCCGTCCCAAATTCTTCACTGTCACACTGCTGTGTTTTAGGTACGATATTGTTCACGTCTGTGCCTTGTTAATCATACTCATCACCACATAAGTACTACAAGTTCAAACATTTATCGAATGAAATAACGAAATCTCTTTTATGGACACATCTGAGACATGTTGTTTTACCTACATAGGTACTTTGCTGAAGAACCGTTTGCTGATATACACAAAGTAGAGGGATTGGAAGGCATCTTTATAGCATCACAAGTGGATGGGAATTATAGCAGTACCACAGGAGACTTTGTGAATGTCACCACTGTTATAACATATGATAAAGGAGCACTATGGCAGAAACTCTCTGCACCAAGATTAGATAGTAATAAACAACCAAAACATTGTCATTCGGTGAGTTGTCCAAATGTAGTTAAAAGGACAAAGGTGGTTGTGATTTGTAATGCAAGATGAATAGAGATAGGTGTTTTATGAATGGGCCACTGAATAGCCATGTCCAAATTCAATTCTAATGTGTGGATAGAATTTATGAATTTTCTTGTAAGATTTGTTTGTTTGATCAAAATGAGAGGGTGTTGCACAATTCCAAATCAAGGAATTTATTTTGAGGAATCCTCTTGATCCCACCCTTTCATCTCAACATCAATTCTGATAATTTGATGTTTCAGTGGCACGGTTGCAGCTTACATCTCAGTCAAAAACTACAGCAGTTTTACCCACGAACACGAACTATACCCATTCTCTCCAAGAAGTCTGCAGTTGGTCTTATAATGGCTACAGGTACAACTAACACAACGATATCTAAGAAAACTGAGTTTGATGTGTATCTATCTAATGATGGCGGCTACAGATGGAATGAGGTAAGAAACTGTAAATTAACTGTTTTGCAATATGTATTAATTTTAGATATTTTAAGGCGTATATGCAAAAAGGTGTTCCTGTGACTAGCCTGGTTCATTTGAATTACTGAGTAGTATTACACCATTCAGTTGATCATATTTCTTTGTTTCAGGTATTGAAAGGCCAGTATTTCTATGCATTTGGTGACCATGGAGGAGTTATAGTGGCAGCAAAACAGAATGGGTCTACAAACGAAATAAGGTATAGTAAGAATTGAGTTGATTCACTCGTATCATTTCAGCTTTTGTTTCGCAGTAAGAAAAAATTAAATGTTCAGCGTTAGATTCAAATTATCAAGAGGCAGTGTCAAAATATCAGTGTTTTTATCACGAAATGTTTGAAGATGAGCAGGGGTTTCATTTATTGTATTTGGTGATTGGTGCTTGGAACAGTCAGCAATCTACAGTAGGTGTCTGTAGCAAATGGCTGGTAGTGATATTTTGCATGTTAATCCCAAGGTATTAGTTCATTATTGTAAAAAGTCATGTCAACCACTAAAAAGAAAAAACATTTTTTGTGTTGAGAAGGTTCAGTGGTCTGAGACTACTGTAGACGTCTTTAATTTCCCGGTGTGTATATTTTAGCTATATTCGCGGGATGCCCTCCATCCGCGAAAAAAGAACCTGCGAATAATTAGGATAGTTGTCTTGAAAAAAAATCTGAAAAAATTACGAAAAAATGATTTTTTTGATTTTCTGTAAGTCTGTGGCACTAACCCCTCATATCCCTATGTTGCATCATAGTTTGTAGGTGCGCGCATAATCATAAGATAGTAATGCACAAAGTTGTTATTTATAGTGAAAAACGATCTCAAACATCTTAATTTCACTTCACACATGCGCACTGAACTCACATGTCAAAGTTCAAAATTAACATCGGTGTTAGAACTAACCCTGCAATCAGTGCAATACAGTGCTCAAAATGTGTAATCAACATGCTTATTTGATTGACTGCCATGCGTAATTGGCTTAGTTTCAGTGCACAGAAAACTCCCAAGATGCTTTGCGAATATATGGCGATTTTTCGCAAGTTTATTTATTTTGTTTATACAGAAGTGGAATCAGCGCGACAATATAAACACGCGAAATTAACGAATTTATAAAAGGCGTGAAAATTTACCTCTGCGTTAATAATGACGTCTACAGTACATGTTATTACAATTTTCTGCATAAATGGCATTAATATAATGACCTGGCCCATGCAATAGTAAAACACTAATATTGGGAAACATGTATATTCAGAAAAGGCTTAAAGGAATATTCCTTGCCAGACCCTTTCTCTCTTGATATGGTAGCTATAATCATATATATAGTTTCCATATTTAGCAAAACATGGGAAAATGTTTTAATATGGTCAATATTGATCATTTAAAAATCTAGTGCTTATTTCCAGTGAGCTGCCATCTTTTAAGATTTCTTGCAGGAAGTGATGTCATCAACTCTCAACTTCTATAACCTTGCCCATAACAGTATAGGAAAGTAGCACAAAATCACTTCTAGACAAGTGACCATTACTTTCTGTGCAAAAATATTTTCAGGGCTTGTCAACTTAGAATAAAAGAAGAGATTTTCAGAAGGATTAAATAAGATACAAAGTTGAAAAAGAATATTTAGCTGGTTTTGTAATTCTTAATAGCTCCTCACCTCATGCTATATGCAAAGTTGAGAGTCGATGACATCACTTCCTGTGTGAAATTTTAAAAGATGGCAGCTTACTGGAATTGAGCATCACATTTCTAAGTGATCAAATTTGACCATATCAAAACATTTTTGCGTGTTTTGCTAAACATGGCAAGCATATATATGGTTATAGCTACCATATGAGGAGAGAGATGGTTTGGCAAGGAATATTCCTTTAAGTAATTTTTTTCTTGTTATGGTTAAGCATTTGATTTTATCCTATTAGAGTAGATTGTAACTGTAAGTTATATAGACCTGCTGTCAAATATGGACTTCTGTAATTGCAGATATTCATTAAATGAGGGAGAGACATGGACATCTTATGTATTCAGCCCCTACAAGATCCACATTTACGGTCTATTAACAGAACCTGGGGAGAAAACAACTATCTTCACATTGTTTGGGTCCAATCCATCCAGACACAGCTGGCTTGTAGTGACCATCAATCTACAGCAAGTACTGGGTTAGTTATTATACTGACACTAATATGTGACAATTATCCCGCTCGACAGACTAGATATTCCTGCATTCTATTGAATTGTATTGTATTGTATTGTACTGTACTGTATTGTATTGTATTGTATTGTATTGTATTGTATTGTATTGCATTGTATTTTGTTAGCCATCAATGAAGCAAAGCCTACTAAAGTTTTACCCAGCTCCACACTTTAATCGAGCCATCAGCACTTTAGTAATTGTTTCCACACAGTATTGAAAAAGTACTAAATATTGAATAACCAATCACACTCCTGTAGTACAAACTCAATCATCCAAAAATATCTTATTATCCAGAATGGTACACATGTTGAAACTTAATACGCAATTGAAAATACATTACACATTGATAACAATCTTAGTATAGAATACTAAAACACATTTAAATTAACATTCTGTAGGCACCCAATGTGTAGCTGATGATTACAAAGACTGGTCTCCCGGGGATGCCTATGCAGGTGTATACAGTTCCTGTCTCCTTGGAGAGAAAGTCACATATGAAAGACGACGTACTCATTCTCTTTGCTACAATGGACGTGACTATGATCGGGAGATCTCTACCTCACCATGCCCATGTTCTAGGGTTGATTTTGAATGGTAAGAATAGTTAGATTCCTCAGATTCTGAAATAGTAATGGAGCTCGGAGTTTGTACAGATGAAAAATACAAAATTGTCAAAAGGGGGCCTTATTTTCCCACAAAACTTCTTTAGATTTGGATATAGAGAAGTTTTTCGTCTTGTATTTGTCTGTCTGCTCATTTGTCTGCACAAGCAATAACTCAAACACCAGTTGACAGATTGGATTCATAAAAATTGTAATCTTGATAATCTTTGCTATTACGGGGAGTCCTGTTTCATGTTTTCTTAATCTTATTCTACTGACTTTTGGTATTACAGGGAGTCTAGTTTCATGTTCTCTTAATCTGATTCCAGTGACTTTTGCTATTACGGGGAGTCCTGTTTCATGTTTTCTTAATCATATTCTACTGACTTTTGCTATTACAGGGAGTCTAGTTTCATGTTCTCTTAATCTTATTCTCGTGACTTTTGCTATTACAGGGAGTTTAGTTTCATGTTCTCTTAATCTTATTCCAGTGACTTTTGCTATTACAGGGAGTCTAGTTTCATGTTCTCTTAATCTTATTCCAGTGACTTTTGCTATTACAGGGAGTCTAGTTTCATGTTCTTGACTTTTGCTATTACAGGGAGTTTAGTTTCATGTTCTCTTATCTTATTCCAGTGACTTTTGCTATTACAGGGAGTCTAGTTTCATGTTCCCTTAATCTTATTCCAGTGACTTTTGCTATTACAGGGAGTCTAGTTTCATGTTCTCTTAATCTTATTCCAGTGACTTTTGCTATTACAGGGAGTTTAGTTTCATGTTCTCTTAATCTTATTCCAGTGATGTTTGCTATTACAGGGAGTCTAGTTTCATGTTCTCTTAATCTTATTCCAGTGACTTTTGCTATTTCAGGGAGTCTAGTTTCATATTCTCTTAATCTTATTCCAGTGACTTTTGCTTCAAGCTGAAACAAGAATGGAGCTCTGAGTGTGTAAAGGATAATGATGAATGTGGAACTATAGACACACATGCTATACCAGGCTACTGTCATGAGGGAGCCTATTATAACAGGACCAGAGGGTAGGAATCAGGCATTTCACATTTTAAATGGTCTATAATGGTAGTGAGATATTGTTATTATAGTTTCCAACTTTTTTGTGAACTGTGTTTGGCATTGGGCGGTTGGTGTTCAGCGGTTGGCATTTGGCGTCTGTAACAAAGGCAGCTAGTGATTTTATGCATGTTAATGCCTTGTTTTTACGTCTGAAAATTCCAGTGAAACACTTGCGTTAATGTTGTTGTTATGTTTGATGAATGAGTTTATACTGAATGTCATAACTTTCTCTGTTTTAGATACCGCAAAGTGTCAGGTGATAAATGTCAAGGTGGCGAGGAACATAGATATAACCCAGATATTCTGTCTTGTCCAGTAGCAGGTTAGTTCAGTTATAGAACAGAAGTCAGTGAGAACTATCAAAACAAAATAAACTTTTAGTCCTCTATCAAACCTAGTTAATGGATTAACATCAATATACAAACCATGTCCTTTAGAGGCCTCTTTTACTGTGAAGAGATTGTATATTTTTGTGTATTTTTATTTATTAACTCACATGGTGAGCTATTGCAATCACTCACTTGTCCATCTGTCTGTCTGTCCATCTGTCAACAATTGGCCAGTTTTAAAACCTCTGTCAATAGGATTCCCGAAATAATTTTGTAACAAAAAATCGGCAAAAAAATTTATCCATTTTTTTTATTTTCTGCCATTTTAGTTTACATTCGTTTGTCCATCTGTCTCACGAAATCCACTTTTCGACCATTTGCCTTTAAACCTCTGTCCTGCATTGTAAAAAGCCATGTCACTGTAAAGAGTAGTTGTATGAAATAATTTTGTTATAAAAAGTCAGCAAAAATTACATCCATTTTTTATTTTCTGCCATTTTAGCCATCATTCACTTTTGAGCAACACCATGTGAGCCCAGTGCCCATGGTACTATTTATTTTATTTCAGAAAGGGAAGAGTTCCTACTGTACACCACCCGTACTGCCATCTATGAGACCATATTTGGTAACAACAGGACAATGCTATTACAGGGGGGTCTTAGTCGGACTATTGCTGTTGAGTTTGATTACAAACTTAACTGTCTCTATTGGGCAGATTCTCACTATGATAACATAAGTGTAAGTATAATGCTTATTGTAGTGTCTTTGGGAGGTCTTTGAGTTCGTGATACTTAAATGTTACTTTTATCCAGTATCAATGGCATTCATGTTTAATTTCATTCTCTTGACAATTCTCTTGTTCATTCCATGTTAAATGGCCTTCATATAGGGTCTTTTTTAATGAAAGAATTCAGCTACTCAGTACACATAATGAAGTTTGGGCCTCATGAACATTTTTGATTGTTGCATAGTTTTTTACGAAGGCCCCTCACAAAGTGGGTGGTACCCTTCGTTCTATAGATCTATGGGCCGGGTAGGACCATTCACGTGAACTAAGTCCCGCCTTTATTAGGTTAAATTGCAGATCTTCAAGGCAACTGCCAAGTCGTCAAATGATGTGATCGTGATTCGAGATATGACGTATCACAAAAAAATATGACGTCAGTGACATATTTACTCCATCGAGCAACTATGAACAAACAAATAATAATCGTTATGTCAAACATTTTTATTGATTTTATGTTAATATGTGATGTCATTAACATGTTACCTAACCAACAACAAAACATGCATTAAAGATTGCTGTCTGTGGATCATTGCGGTTCATGGTTTTCTCCATTAACATACAGTTATGGCCCCGCAGCTTTTGCCTTCATATTTTTCTAGTGAAATTCACTGGATAATCTTGTTATAGATGGAATATCTAGCTAGTCATCAATTTATCAAATGGAAAATGTGCCACATTATTGAAAAGGGTGACACATATAAATGTTTTAACACCTTGTAATGCTGTTGACAACAATGTGTTCACAGAGAAAGTGCCTGGATGGGAATGGTGCTGCAGAGACTTTGGTAGCAGGGGAAATAACTTCAATTGAAGGTCTGGCCCTGGATTGGATGAGTGGAAATATATACTGGGTGGATGGGGGCAAGAGGAAGATTGAAATGTCAAGGTACATGTTTGAGTGTTATTTTCATGGTAACATTGTGCTTGAAAAATCCTCAGTATTATTTCACCCACCCAAAATTGATACTTTAAAGATTTCTTCATTTCCCATGTCAAAGTCTGTTTCCTCTATCACTTGTGATAAGGATTTGAAAATGACCTTACATCATTTGAGATGCTATGAATTTGAAAAATGATGGTTTGGGATGTTTTTGACATTGCTTACTCTGAATAAAGAACAAATGTTCAGACATTTAATCCCTTTGAATGGTTTTGTAATTCTCTTAAAACACTTTTGTTTTGAAATTGTTGACTTTTCTTCGTAGACTTGATGGAAGATTCCGGCGTAAAGTCTGGCAGTCTTCTATCATCACAGATAAACCAAGGGCCATAGTATTGGATCCAGTACATGGGTAAGTTAAGGGGGTCACGGCTGTAGTTCGTATCCTTGATAACCTTGAAATACAGTTAAACCTGTTAAGTGGAACACATCTGTAAGTGGTAAACTTCCATAAGTGGAACACATTTGAAAATTCTGTTGCCAAATAACTTATTGTAAAATGAAGCTCTATAAGTGGAACGCCTTTGTAAGTGGTACACTTCCTTAAGTGGAACACATGTTAAAGTTCTGTTGCCAAATAATTTATTGTAAAATGAACCTCTATAAGTGAAACACCTCCCAAGTGGAACACTATTTGGAGGTACCAACAGGTTTTACAGAATATGTAATTCATGATAATAGACACAGACATCAACTTTCTTTTCTGTAATTATTGAATGTTAGGAAATGATTGTTTGACTTAAAGATGTGAATTTTTAGCTGAAGTTTAGGAATATTACAAGCGTCAAAAATGAATTAATTTTTAAAAGAGTTACTTTCATATAAATTTCATAATATAAATTAGTTTCATTCACAACAAATATGGAAATTTGGTTGTTAGTAGGAAAACCATATAGGAAGATGATTATAGGCTATTGAATTTTATTCATAAGTGTCTATTTCTGTTATGTAGGTATTTTTTCTGGACAGACTGGTCAGTCATTAATCCAAGAATCTCCAAGGCTTGGCTCGATGGAACCAACAACAGAACGATTGTCTCGGGGAAGCAAAATGTTTATTGGCCCAATGGTATTACTATAGACTTCCAGTCAGAGAAAATATGGTGGACAGATGCACACTTAGACAGAATTATGAGTAGCGATTATAACGGACAGAATAGGGTTATTCTCGTCAGTGGTAGCTATAATGTTCCACATCCGTATTCCATTTCTGTTTATAAGGTATGACTTATAATATAAATTCCATTTTGTATTATAAGTAAATGTGTACTTTATTCATATTTATGAATCCGTATGCCATGTCCGTATTCAGGGTATGGCTATTTATCCCATACTTGGACGTGTTACAGGTACATAAAGCCGGTTTGTAAAAACTTATATTTTCATCAGCGGGCAGATATAGCTTTACATCCCGCTCCGAGCGGGCAGATATAGTATATCTGCCCGCTACGTCATAATCGCAGCTCGCATATTTGTTCATAATTTGTAACGTTCGCGTAATGACTGTAAACGACAATGGAGAAAACACAGACTATCGGGATCTGTTTGATGGTTTAAAAAAGGGAAGGAGCATCCACTTAATCAATCAAAAATTAGAGAAAATAAATATGGGAATATTTGAGAGAACAGGAAAATCCGCCAACGGCCAAGAAAACAAAACTGGACATGAGTATTCTAAAATATTTCCATGATTGAACAATGTTAACCAGATGACACAAGATTGGTATGGGATAAACATATTATCCTAAAGTCGGTTCAGGATATTGGGATTATCCCTTGGCCAATATAATATATTCGGGCAAATATATTATATTTGCCTCGGGATAATCCCAATATCCTGAACCTCATATAGGATAATCTCTATTTATTACATTTCTTTGTATTTTGTAAATCTACATTTCATTTTTTTGTATACAAGGTATGACAAAATTCCAGTTTGTATAAGTAAATCTACTATACTAAGTTTCATTTTAGCAACTTTACAGTATTTCATTTGTGTATACAAGCCAAGGTTATTTTTATTCTTTTGTATGAGATATATTTCATGTTTGAGATCTGTATTAGGTCACTACCAGAAGTGATGACATATTGTTATAGTCTCCAACTGTGGTGACCACATTTCGGAGAATTAAAACATTTTTTCCCATTTTTGCACATTGAATCATCGCCAAGAGATAACATATCACAGATCTTTTGAGTAATATTTTATTTGAGATCATAAGAATTGTCCAAGTTGCTTGCAAATTGTCACACTCTATAAATCTGATTTACCTTTGACTCTTTGACAGAAAATGAAAAAATAAATAAATAAACAAATAAACAAAATAAACAATGAAAAAATACTGAAACAAGCAAATACATGAGTGAAACATTATATTTTAGGATTCTGTATACTGGACTGATTGGAACAAGGCAGCTATTATGACATCTAATAAGTATGTTGGCCATGTGGAGTACTTCAAACGAGGACTGAGGGGTATCATGGACATGAAGATAATGCATAGAGCGACTCAACAAGGTATTCATTTCAAGCAATACAATATCTCAAACAATACCTTTAATAGATATTTAGATTGTAGGCTCCATTAAGCACTTCTTATGTGCCACTCAATAATTTAATTTCAATTCAATTCAATTTATTTAATAATTCTTATATAATATACACTATAAAAACAAGCCGCTAGACACCCTAGTGGGTATCAAGCTCAAAATGTAAGTTACAATTTATTTTGTTAGTACCTCAGTTGAAATACTCGATTTTGATTGGTCAATGAGGGGTGAATAATTTTAACTGTACACCGCGCAATGCATTGCCGGTGAATAATATTCCCAGCATTCCACTAAAATGACGTCATTATCAGACGATAAAATGGCCGCCGCTAGCACTAGCCGTTTCAAAAATGTTTAAGATGAGGATATTATTAGTCTCTTAGAGAGTAAAGACAGTCAAAATATGAAGAAAAATCTAAAACTTTGTACAAAGCTTTTAGTGGACTTCGCCCAGGAGAGTAATTTGACTCCATTGAGTGAACTTACTGCCGATATACTGAAATACAACATGAACGTCTCGAGGGTCTGGATCCAACTTCAAGTCAACTTCAAGGGTCAGAAAAATCTAAGATATTCTTCGGACTAACAAAACAATTATAGACCTCTCCATTCGGTTTACTGTCAAAATTATATCCCTCTACTGTAAACCTCGACCTACGGTCTCGGTTTACAGTCTCGGGATATAATTTTGACAGTAAACCTCTGGAGAGGTCAATAATTGTATATAATTGTGCCTTGAACAATAGCGAAATCATCAACTCTTTACGGATGGCCTGAATTAAATTATTAGTATCGTAGTAATCTTATGAATTCATGAACCTGCAGAATTATGTATCTAATACTTTTGGTTAGAGGTTGGATTAATAAATGGAGTAAATGCTCAGTACATGAGCTTTGTTTGGTGCCTTTATTGATGGGTACCACTCTTTTAGATAGCTTGTGGCTTCAAAAACTTTGCATCTTGATTCACAAAATTCCAATTGTTCCTACCTCACTTTGATAAATCTGCCTGATTTAACTGACCACTGTGTAAATAAACCCCAGCTGAGTTCCCTCTCAATATTGCTCCTCCTGGCTGTTGCCCGCAGAGTTTTGTGAGACGCCGCAGAAACAATCGGTCAATTAACGACGGATATTTATTCAGTCCGTATAGACATTTTCAATATTTTGTCACATGATGAAGCAGAGCATTCTGATTGGACTTTACACCGGGCCGTGAACTGCCATGTATTAGTGTTAGAAACAAAATTACCTTTTATGGAAAGTGACAATGAAAACTTTGTTCAACCAAGGACGTCTATCTTGGCAATGATTCAACAAGCAGTGATTTGAATACAAAATATAGATGGCATTATAGTCATTCCTCCTATTAAAAACAATTTACACATGTAAATTACCATTTATAAGCAGGCTAATAGTCAATATAACTCTCAAAAAGTTCATTTATCTCTGTAAACAATGGAATAACGGGGTCCCATAGAAATAGGCACTCAGAAATGAACACTGAACAAAATTCAAAATTTTGGTTCGGTTCTGAAACAAGAAAATCTTATATTTTCACAAAGGACGATTCTTGGTTTGGAGAACAGTCTCCTGGGCTAATAATTTTTTTCATGAAAAATATAGAAATATTACCCAAATTAAACTATGAATATTCAAAAGAGGACATTTAAATCTACAAGATGTAAAAATAACAAATTGGTCTGAAGCAGGGATAACGCTCAATTAGACAGATTCAATAAAATACAAGTCTCGATTTGGGGAAAGAAGTTCATCAGTGTACTGCGCTAATATTTTTTTGCGAAAAATCTGGAAATATTACCCAAATTAAATTATGACTATTCAAAAGAAGACATTCAAATCTATATTATGTAAAAAAAATCAAATTTATCCGAAGCAGGGATAATGCTCATTTAGATTGATGAACTTCGTTCTCCAAACCGAGAATTGTCCTTTGGCCCTCAAAACAGCTTTTTTCTTTCAATTTTTTTGATGTTCATTTTTCAGTTTGGACTGTCTTTGGTAGGTTTTAAAGTAATCTAACACACGTAGTCACTCTGTTCCAAATTGTTTTGTTCTGTTCTTCGAACAGAACCATTCAGATTAATATTTGTTCCATGAAACCTCATGTACATGTGCAATAATAGGAAAAGAGAGAAATCAGCAAAGAATTGATTATCATTTTGAATTCTAATTTAGGTGGAATTTAAATGATCTGTTATTATTTATATAAATTTTTGTAAAAAATATTTTTCCAGGGAGTAACATCTGTTCGACAAGGAACAATGGAGACTGTACACATCTATGTGTAGGTCAGCCCCAAACATTTAATCCTCATGGGAAAAATAGGACATGTCTCTGCCCTGATGCACTTCAAAAGGGCAAGGCAGCTGACATGCATTCAGAGCAATGTTTATGTCCAGCAGGTCAGCAATTTGGTGAAAATGGAGACTGCATAGAGAATTCCAGTAAGTTTGTATGCATCATGAATAAACAATGTCTGTGTCAGTTGTGTATCTAAGATTAACTAAGGGTCAAGGCATCTCAATTCACAAGGATTCAGTTGCTTCAACTTCACCTTCATTTAATCCACATTTACTGAGTAAATAAAATAAAATGCTCCAAAGTAAAGATATCATGTCACAAAATGTTTCAATAGAAGGGTCATAAAACGAGTGTGACTGCTAGTGAAACAAATATTTGGAGACTTTTGATTTGTCCCGTGACATCACGGGCATGACACATCACATTTTTAAAGGCATAAATAAGGGTTATGTACTGGGAGGTTTTGGATATTGGGTTTATCCAGAGGGATATATGCATATCTACCTGAGGGACCGTAGGGACTGAAGGTAGATGTGCATATCTCACGAGGGATGAACCCTATATCCAAACTGACCGTACATAACTGCTTTATCCTATACCAAGTTGAGTTTTCAGGGGCATATGGTCATTTCAATACTAAAGGTGTAAAAATATACAAATCATTCATATGCAAAGTCATTTTATTGCATTACCGGAAGCGGGAAGATATGCACCGGAAGCGGGAAGATATGCACCGAAGCGGGAGATATGGAGGTTCTGGATATGGAAACCTCAAAATCAGGATACGGGATATATCTTACCAAGTTATCTCCCTAAAACTCTACTTGGCATAGGATAAATAAGCATTTGCATCCAAGATGTGTTAACACAATGGAAGTCGATAATGGGGTCGAGGCAAATTACAGTTTATTTTGTCACCACCACAAGTGATTACATATTGTTATAGTCTCCCAACTTTTTTATGACGGTGTTTGGAGTTAAGCATTTGTCATCTGTAACAAATGGCAGATGGTGATATTTTGCATGTTAATGCCTTGTTTATCCATTAGGGATAACACAGTCTTTTTTTATTCTTTTTTTATTTTGTCAACCAACTGTATCCTAGCCATCACAGTTTATAACACCCTTTTAGTGATCAGCACTTGGAGATGTTACAGTTGTGTTGTAAACGTTTAACTCGAGTTTCATAGATTATGGCAAATTCTTGAATTCAATTACAAACATTTCAAGTGGCAGATTTTAGTCAATGGGGGTATAATAAGTGATCTTGGAGATAATGGCTTAGATTGTATTTAGACAAAAAAGTCACAGATATTGGGATTCCTTTTTGTGGCTCACACAGTCAGCCTGTGGGATCGACTTGGCATCTGTCCCTACGTCTGTCTGTTGGTCCATCTGTCTATTGGTCCATCTGCCCATCAACATTGGCCTCACAAACTGATACTGCTATTCATATTGAGTCATCCATATTTATTTTATGCATATTTATATTGCCTATTTGACCTGTAATTGCCATTTCCCAAGTTCGCCCGGTTTCTGAAAAATTGCCGATTTTGATGTCAAAATGTCAAATTCTCTTTAAATACGAGACACTTTGTTAAAGTAGAACTTTCTAATAAGTGGTAGTAGTTGCTGTTCAAAGCTCTTGAAGTTACAGTTTTTGGTGTTTACTCGATAACATTTGATAAAAAGTAGGGCATCATTTTCAGGGAACTTTCTCATGTGATAGACAAGTTTCTCAAAGTTTGTCCTTATCTTTACAGTTTTAAAAATTTTGACATAAAAACGGCACAAATAGGTTATTTGTCAACTTGCTTCAATTTGACCAAATTATTTTCTAGAATCATCTACAAATTCCCAAAAATTCAAAGTTGACCTTAGTTTTGAGATTTGACCTTTACTTGACATTTAGTGACCTTCAAACGTCAAAAAAGATTTTTTTGTTTCCAAATTTTGGTCAGCTTAATCACAAAAGACCTACTCAGCTCTGAAAAAGTAAAATTTTCAAGGCCAAAGGTCAAGGTCACCAAACTAGGTCACAAACTGTGGTATTTAAGTTTCTCAAAGTTCAAGACTACAAATCAGTATTTTTGGTTGAAAGTCAGGATGTACATTCCTCTAAAGTTGTAAGCACAGGGCTGTGGGTCCTTCACTCAACTCCACAATTGTATACTTTATCACCATGTATTTCAGGTAATGGGACATGTAGTCCAACCCAATTTGCCTGCTTCAATGGCTCCCAGTGTATTCCGCTCACCTGGAAATGTGACCATGATGGTGACTGTTCAGATAGGAGTGATGAGTTGAACTGCCGTAAGAAATATTTTATTTTTATCCTATGTCCGTCGTAGAAATCTGGAATGTATGAACGTTAGAGGTCAGGAACCTTATGGTCTAAAGTAAACAAGGTTACATGAGCTTAGCTCCACCCGTAACTGCAAAAACTGCAAACTCCTGCTTTATCTTTTTCTTCAATTGGATTTATTTTATATGTAATTTCAAATATTTCCTAGGCTTAAATTTATCAATGTAGTCATGCACAAATTCAAAATAGCTACCACAGTTATCTACCAACAAAGAATTAGTGTGAGGCCAATCTGGACTTGTGGTGTTAAGTTATAACATCAGCAATTGACATTATTGAAGCTAACATGTTAAATTCACTATTATTTACCATCGATTTCAATAGTAAAAATATTTATTTGTGACATTAAATTCATGAATAGACCCATTATCAAATTTGAATCAAGCAAATGTAAGATGCTATGTAAGATGCTATGTTTGCAGAGTAACATGTTTTTTTTTCTTTTGCAGCATATAATTCATGCCAGCCAGAACAGTTTCGTTGCGAAGATTCAGGTCGCTGTCTTCCCTCAAGATGGAAATGTGATCACGACAATGACTGTGCTGATGGATCAGATGAGAGAGGATGTGGTATGTAATAGATCTTTCCAATGAATCCTGAGCCCCTTTTGCGAACCAAACATACTAGAGTTTATTTGCTAGATTTTGATGTCATACAGTAAAGTCTGTGCATGTGGAACCACCTTGTTCCCCTAAAAAGTGTTCCACTTATGGAGGTGCACCACTTGTAGCAGTTCAATAACATTTAGTCAATGGGTCATGGAATTGTGAAAAGTGTTCCACTTATTGAGGTGCACCACTTGTAGAAGTTCAATAACATTTAGTCAATGGGTCATGGAATTGTGAAAAGTGTTCCACTTATTGAGGTGCACCACTTGTAGCAGTTCAATAACATTTAGTCAATGGGTCATGGAATTGTGAAAAGTGTTCCACTTATTGAGGTGCACCACTTGTAGCAGTTCAATAACATTTAGTCAATGGGTCATGGAATTGTGAAAAGTGTTCCACTTATTAAGGTGCACCACTTGTAGCAGTTCAATAACATTTAGTCAATGGGTCATGGAATTGTGAAAAGTGTTCCACTTATGGAGGTGCTCCACTTGTAGCAGTTCAATAACATTAAGTCAATGGGTCATGGAACTGTAAAAAGTGTTCCACTTATGGAGGTGCTCCACTTGTAGCAGTTCAATAACATTTAGTCAATGGGTCATGGAATTGTGAAAAGTGTTCCACTTATGGAGGTGCTCCACTTGTAGAAGTTCAATAACATTTAGTCAATGGGTCATGGAACTGTAAAAAGTGTTCCACTTATGGAGGTGCTCCACTTGTAGCAGTTCAATAACATTTAGTCAATGGGTCATGGAATTGTGAAAAGTGTTCCACTTATGGAGGTGCTCCACTTGTAGCAGTTCAATAACATTTAGTCAATGGGTCATGGAACTATAAAAAGTGTTCCACTTATGGAGGTGCTCCACTTGTAGCAGTTCAATAACATTTAGTCAATGGGTCATGGAACTGTAAAAAGTGTTCCACTTATGGAGGTGCTCCACTTGTAGAAGTTCAATAACATTTAGTCAACAGGTCATGGAACTGTGAAAAGTGTTCCACTTATGGAGGTGCTCCACTTGTAGAAGTTCAATAACATTTAGTCAATGGGTCATGGAACTGTGAAAAGTGTTCCACTTATGGAGGTGCTCCACTTGTAGAAGTTCAATAACATTTAGTCAATGGGTCATGGAACTGTAAAAAGTGTTCCACTTATGGAGGTGCTCCACTTGTAGAAGTTCAATAACATTTAGTCAACAGGTCATGGAACTGTGAAAAGTGTTCCACTTATGGAGGTGCTCCACTTGTAGAAGTTCAATAACATTTAGTCAATGGGTCATGGAACTGTGAAAAGTGTTCCACTTATGGAGGTGCTCCACTTGTAGAAGTTCAATAACATTTAGTCAATGGGTCATGGAACTGTAAAAAGTGTTCCACTTATGGAGGTGCTCCACTTGTAGAAGTTCAATAACATTTAGTCAATGGGTCATGGAACTGTAAAAAGTGTTCCACTTATGGAGGTGCTCCACTTGTAGCAGTTCAATAACATTTAGTCAATGGGTCATGGAACTGTAAAAAGTGTTCCACATATGGAGGTGCTCCACTTGTAGAAGTTCAATAACATTTAGTCAATGGGTCATGGGACGAGGTAAAAAGTGTTCCACTTAAAGAGGTGTTCCACTTGACAGATTTTACTGTTCTTTACTGCTGCAATTTTTGTCAACAAAATTGAAAGAGGTGTTTAAAAATTCATAGGTTAATCCTATTCCTGCTTTGAAATGTCAGAAAGACATCATATTTGATAGGTCTGGCATGATTTCTCTATCATATTATATGATAGAGCAGCCATAGCTTGACGAAATTGATACAGAAAAATCTACCTCGAAATGCTTATCCCTATATATGGCTGCCGTCAGATGCCATAGATGAAATGTGACTCAAGATGGAATTTTTAATTATATGGTGTCACTTAACGTCATGAATGTTTTTGCTAAAAGGAGGTAATACTACTGCCAGATTATTTCTAACATGTAATGTTCAAATTTTTTCTAGTTACCAGAAGGCTCAGAATCCACATGACACAACCTTATATCCAAATAATCTCAAATTCTACAATAACTAATATAATATTTATTTTCAGATCATGTGTACCCCACATGCAATGTAAATCAGTTTACATGTAACAATTCACGATGTATTCCTCAACGATGGTTATGTGATGGAGATGACGATTGCCATGACTTTTCTGATGAAATGAATTGCAACATCTCTACCACTCGTAAGCAATATTTATACACAGTTTAATTTGCATAAAGAACTTCAGGGTGTTTGACTGAGTGGTCCATGACTTGTAAAAAGGCTGTGGTGTGTACTTGTATGCCTAGTATGAGTACACATAAAATAAGAGAACACATAACAGGACTATTTAGAGTACTTCAGGGTGTTTGACTGAGTGGTCCATGACTTGTAAAAAGGCTGTGGTGTGTACTTGTATGCCTAGTATGAGTACACATAAAATAAGAGAACACATAACAGGACTATTTAGAGTACTTCAGGGTGTTTGACTGAGTGGTCCATGACTTGTAAAAAGGCTGTGGTGTGTACTTGTATGCCTAGTATGAGTACACATAAAATAAGAGAACACATAACAGGACTATTTAGAGTACTTCAGGGTGTTTGACTGAGTGGTCCATGACTTGTAAAAAGGCTGTGGTGTGTACTTGTATGCCTAGTATGAGTACACATAAAATAAGAGACAACATAACAGGACTGCTTAGAAATCTTATGCCTTCATAAGTACCTGGCTTTTATTTCAGATTCAGATTCTACCTGAGAATAGACCATGACAGCTACTTATGTTTTTTGAAGATTGTTAAGATCAGAGATATTATCGCACTTTGAAAAAGTGCTATATTGTCGTCGTCTTGTGCTGTTGGGCGGGCGTTTGGGCGTGCGGGCGGGCGGGCCATAAACCAAATCTTGTCATCAAATTTCCAGGATAACTGCTTACCTGTTCAACTTGAAATTTTTACAGATGCAAGAGCAGACTAGTACCAAGATCTGATTAGGTTAAGGGCATGCTGGGTAAACTATGTGGCGGCCATTTTGAATTTTTCAACAAATCTTGTCATCAAAATTCCAGGAAAACCACTTATCCGTTCAACTTGAAATTTTTACAGATGCAAGAGCAGACTATTGCCAAGATCTGATTAGGTTTTGGGTATGCTGGCTGAATTACATGGTGGCCATTTTGAATTTTTTAATTTGGCGGCCATTTTGAATTTTTCAACTTGCTCCAAATTGACCAAATTTTATTTTCAAAAACATCTACAAGTTCTCAGAAGTTCAAATCTGACCTTAGATTTCAGATTTGACCTTTCATTCACCTTCAGTGACCTTGAAAAGGTCAAAAAAGTTGATTTTCTAAATTGATATTTTGGATTTAAATTTAGGTCAGCTTAATTACAAAACACCTACTGAGGTCTGAAAAAGTGTAATTTTCAAGGTCGAAAGTCAAGGTCATTAAACTAGGTCACAAATGATGTTATCCAAGTTTCTCAAAGTTTGAGACTACAAATCAATTCTTGTCATCAAAATTCCAAGAAAACCGCTAACCTGTTCAACTTGAAATTTTTACACATGCAATAGCAGACTAGTGCCAAGATCTGATTAGGTTAAGGGCATGCTGGGTAAACTACGTGGTGGCCATTTTGAATTTTTCAACAAATCTTGTCATCAAAATTCCAGGAAAACCACTTATCCGTTCAACTTGAAATTTTTACAGATGTAAGAACAGACTATTGCCAAGATCTGATTAGGTTTTGGGTATGCTGGCTGAATTACATGGTGGCCATTTTGAATTTTTCAATTTGGCGGCCATTTTGAATTTTTCAACTTGCTCCAAATTGACCAAATTTTTTTTTTAAAAACATCTACAAGTTCTCAGAAGTTCAAATCTGACCTTAGATTTCAGATTTGACCTTTCGTTGACCTTCAGTGGCCTTGAAAAGGTCAAAAATTTGATTTTCTAAATTGATATTTTGGATTTAAATTTAGGTCAGCTAATTACAAAAGACCTACTGAGGTCTGAAAAAGTGAAATTTTCAAGGTCGAAGGTCATCAAATTAGGTCACAAACAATGTTATCTAAATTTTCCCAAAGTTCAAGACTACAAATAAATTCTTGTCATCAAAATTGCAGGAAAACCGCTAACCTTGTCAACTTGAAATGTTTACAGATGCAAGAGCAGACTAGTGCCAAGGTCTGATTAGGTTTTGGCCATGCTGGGTAAATTGCATGGTGGCCAGTTTGCTCTTCAAAGTGCGATATTTATCACTGTGTGTCTTGTTAATATTTATGATGTGCAATGTGGAATAGAAGTACAATTGGAACAATTTAATACTATTATAATATTATTATCAAATTGTAATTTGATATACAACATATTGTGATAATTTTATTTGTATTTCTTCCCATGCTACTTGCTCAAACATGTATTTATAATTTATAAATACATGTTTTTAACAAGTTTTGGCTTTTTATGGACACAAAACCCATAGGTCAAAGCTAGCAGGATGTTTCATAACATTTTAATATATAATACACAATGTGAGACTAATGTCATTCCTAACTTACACTAACATTATTTACAGCTACTGCCGCACCACAAACATGTGCTGCAAACCAATTTACCTGTAAACATAGTCGGCGTACTTGCGTTCCCATTGCCTGGAAATGTGATGGGGATTCAGATTGCGATGATGGAAGTGATGAAAAAGGGTGCACCAACCGAACATGTGCTGATTATCAGTTCGAGTGTCATAACCAGAGGTGTATTCCCAAAAGATGGCAGTGTGATGGAGCAGATGACTGCCATGATAAGTCCGATGAAAGTGGTTGCAGTAAGTTTTTCTGGTTTCCAGATTATTAATTTATTCATGCGCAATTTAAATATTGAATTGTGCATGAGGTTTCTCTAAAATATAGAAACGAGAAATGAGTTCCAGTGTTATCCACACGATTTTTTCTCAAGTGGGTGCAAAATTCTCATTTTCACAATTCAGACCAAAATTGGTCAAAATTTGCCCACTTTTTATGATTTTCTCATTTTCAAATGGGTGCAAATGGATTTTCAGGTGGGTGAAAGCCTTGTTTTTAAAATCTCAGATGGGTGCTGCACCCACTTGCTTTAATGCTGGGTTCTATCCCTTTAAAATGAGCTAAATATTATTATTGATGTTCAAACTGTGCATAGATTAGCTATTATATCTATAAAGTGCTATATTATAATTATATCATGCTGTTGTGTACTTTAGCAGATTGATCATGGGTGGGATAAAAATTCTGTCTACACAGGGAGATATGCGGATTACTCAATTAGCACAAAATTATTACTTAATTAGCACTCTGGCAAAAGCGCGCTCATGCCAAAAGTGCTAATTTAGTACTATGAGTACTCATTTAGTGCTGAAAAATCAATTTTATTAGCACTATATTTTATATTGGGCATATCTCCCTGTGTACATGCATGATTTAAGACAAACCATTCCAAATCAAAATTTAACATATTGGATTCAAATTTTTAATGTGCTTCATTAAATGAAATTCTTAACATGTAGAATTTTTTTGTTATTCAATTGTGGTAATTATCATGCTGTGTCCTTTCATACTGGTACATGTTTTTTTACATTAAGCTTCTATGTTTTCTAGCTACAGTTGTTCCAAATATGACAACCACACCATCGTTAAGCTACTGTACATTGTTTCATTTCCGCTGTCGCAACCGAAACTGTGTTTGGTGGAAACAGAAATGTGACGGGATCAATGACTGTGGAGATTTCTCAGATGAAGAAGGCTGCAGTGTAGGTATGTAAATGGTAGGGGGCAAGGGTAGGGGGTCACATGTAAATGATAGGGGGCAAGGTTAGGGGATAACATGTAAATGGTAGGGGGTGAGGGTAGGGGGTCACATGTAAATGGTAGGGGGTGAGGGTAGGGGGTCACATGTAAATGGTAGGGGGGGAGGGTAGGGGGTCACATGTAAATGGTAGGGGGTGAGTGAAGGGGGTTAGGTTAGGGGGTCACTTGTTTCTTGTTTCATGTTTCTTTTGTATACTCTTCATGTTTCAAATCAGTTTCTTCTACTTATGTTTGCTGAATGTCATACTTATGTTTTACACTGATCCTTTTTAAATGGAAGTTTACAATCATGTTGAAAGCATGTAGAATTTTATTTTAGATTATGTTTATTATATGTTTAATCCACGTTTTCATATTTAGATGCTATTTCATTCTACATTCTCATGTTTTAATGAAATTTTACTCTTGTAAACCTATATTTACACCAGGTACAACTGTGATACCATGTACCCGTTGGCAATTTACTTGCGGCAATGGACAATGCGTACCAATCTATGAGAAATGTGACGGTGTCGAGAACTGTGAAGATAGCAGTGATGAAACTAATTGTGGATCAGGTACTGATAGGCCACATGGAAAGTTTAAACCATTAAACCATAAAGATGCACTTGTAATAATAAAGGCAATTGACTCTAAACACACACAAAAATCCAATACTTTATCATTAGGGAACCTTTCAAAAATGTTCAATGTTGCACTGTTTTATTAGACTAGTGTAATAATATCAAAATAGTGAATTCTTTTTTGATCAGAATCTGGTACAGCCACTTAACAGATATGACTCATATATTGAATCATAGTTTTTATAAGTTTATAAGTGATTTTGGGTCCTAGGCAGACGTTGCCTGTATGACAGTTTTGATACTATTTTGAAACTAAATGTACCTTGGGGGCTACTTGTATTATGCTTGTTTGGTTATTTCCAGTAAATGTTTAAATGAGGATAATTTGAGAAAAATGTTTTGTCGGGTTGAATTTACTTGTCTATGAACAACTCTTTGTCTTGTCTTTTTCCAATATGAAATACCCAATCATAGCGAAGATAAATATGTCTGTTTTGATGCACAAATTATTTCCAAAATAGTACAACACAAGTTAAAAAAGTTGTTCATTTTTAATTGTAGTAACAACAGTTGCACCTGTAGGGACATGTAGTCCATATGACTTCAACTGCTACAACAGCTCATATACACATTGCATCTATCAATCGTGGGTGTGTGATGGAACACCAGATTGTCACAATGGAGAAGATGAACTTGACTGTGATGAAACAGGTATGATCGATTTCATTTAATTGGTTGTACATTTAATACTTTGCTCCTAAATATAATTCAAGTATATTATTTCTAAGCTTTAGAGATTAGATAAAGTCTGTATTCGAATATTTTAGAGGACTGCGCTTCCCCTAACTTTAAGTGCGAGGAAAGTGATGGATGTATCCCTGGAAGTTGGGTATGTGATGGAGCTCCAGATTGTTCCGATGGCTCTGATGAGCGAATGTGTGGAGGTAACCCAATTACGACTGAAGGTATGTCTGAGTGCAACTTTTCATTTGTTATGTATATGCATCATCACTTCAATGAACAGAAAGTGATCAATGTTGCGTTTGGAATTCTTGTGGTACTTTAGTAAGATTGCCTAATTGAAGATTTTGTTCATTCCAAAGTGTTAATATTATTTGCAAATAAGGATTGTTTTGTTTCTACTTTGTACAAATCACCATTTGTCTTGGTTATATATACAGTACACTTTATTTAAATGTAAGATTGTATATCTGAACTTCTCTATAATCCAAACACCTCTTAATTTGAAATTTTTTCTTGGTTCCAATTTGTTATATCCCATTGACTTACATATCAAGAAGCCTTGAAATGTGAACACCTATTAATACAAACACTTTTGCTGGTCCTAATGGTGTTCAGCAAATTAGCGTATATGTAAACTTCTACATGTACATGTATTAATTTATTAGAATTGTCAAGGTGTCTTTCTTTTTTTTTAATTTGATAGCATATTCCTCAGGAATAACAAACTAAAAGGACTATTAGTATGGCTAGTCTAATCTAATGTATGAATGAAATAAACTAATTAAAAATAAAATTTTCATTTTCAGTTCCCATCCAGAACTCCTCATATGTTCCAACCATCTGTCGATATGATGAGTTCACGTGTCATTCTTCCAGTCAGTGTGTGGAACTGTCCTCTGTATGTGATGGCTATTCTGACTGCTTTGATAACTCCGATGAGAATCTACCCAGATGCCGTAAGTTAGCATTCATTATTTCCATGTATAATACAGTAAAACCTGTATATAGTGAACACTTATGGTAGGTGTTCACTACAGAAAGAATATTATAAATCATTTAGATAAATTGAATTTATAAATGCATCAGTTTAATAATAATGTACATATACCAGTGATCTCCCAAGGATTTTTTAGGTGGGTGCAAAATTCTCATTTTCACAATTCAGACCAAAATTAATCAAAATATGCCAATTTTTCATGATTTTTCTCATTTTCAAGTGGGTGCAAATGGATTTTCAGGTGGTTGCAAGCCTATTTTCAAAATCTCGGGTGGTAGCTACGCCCACTTGCTTTAATGCTATTAATGCTGGGGAGATCACTGTACACAGTGCAATGCATACAATATTATGTAATATACCTGTAGGTGATAACCTCAAAGTGAGAATGTTATCCTATGATAAATATCATGTAGAGGCGAACAACTTCACAATAACCTGGATGAAACCATTGAACATGAGGAGTAGCCAGAATCTCTACTCTTATCGTATTCAAAAGAGGTACTATTCCTAATATGTATCCAGTGGCGGATCTGGGAACCAATAAGGGGGGCCCAAATTTTAGGTCAGAGAAAAAATCCTCCGTGCTTGCGTGGAAAAAATTTTGAGAAAAAAAACCATAAGAGGGCCCAAATTTTGAAATTTTGAGGCCCATTTTCTTCAAAATTTGGCCTTGAATCAAAAAATAAGGCCTTAAAAGGCCCAGTTGTGACCAATAAGGCCCCCCAGATCCGCCAGTGGTATCTACTACTTTCTTAACTGAGCTGCATGATATCTTATTTGCTGTTCAGATTAATACAAATTAATACTGGGTGTCCTTTATGCTGTTCAATTCAAAATGGCCACTTATGTACGATTTGGCCAATGTCTTTTTATATATGTAAACCATGGGTAAAGTAGATGGTAAATATTACATTGGGATATATACAGTTGCATGAATATTTTGTTTGTTGGTATTTGCAACTCTGTGTAGTTGCCGATTTCTAGTTCAGATAAAAATAGTGTGTCCTTTTATTCAGAGTAATACATTGTTTGATTAATATTTTTTGAAATTTTTTGCAGCTTCCATGATGAAAATGGAAATCATGAGTCGAATTACACTATTGGAAACATCAAATACACTAGTAATAGAACCTCATATATGCTGAAAAATCTGAAACCTGGAACACGGTATCAAGTCACCGTTAGTGTTGTCTTCAATCATACTATTGTCTTCGATAGTGTCGGACCAGTAATTGTGAAAACAAAAGAAGGAGGTATGTATTAAGTACATGTGCATTAAAATTAGGAAGGGGTGCGTTTGGTGCAAACTCTGAACCTGCTCAGATATCTTTTTTATGAGATTCTTATGAAACTTGAAAAAATGAAAAGAAATGTTTAAAGTGGTAAAAATGCTAAGGTTGCACCTAATAATGTCGTCATGAAGACTTTGGCCACACATTCACATTCCTGTTGTAGAACCAAAAACATCTATAAACTAAATAAATAAACTACATCATTCAATTGCAGACATTTTACATTCAACTAAACCACATCTTCCAGTAGTAGAATCCATATACATCCCATCAAACTATATGTTTGATAAAAAGAGAAATAAGGACAGTCAAAGGTTATTATAGCAACATACAAAAATTGAAGTCATAAAGCCAATTCTCTCTTGTTGAAACCAGGTAGAAATGAAAAAATCTGAACTGTAATCTTTTTTTTAGTTCCCTCTAAGCCCAGACATGTAGTGGCTCATGTTACTGGAGACCAAGTGGCAGTGGACAATGTTGATATGAGTGTGCTTGTCTCCTGGCAACCACCAGCAAAGCCCAATGGCTTTATTAACCAATATAAGGTGATCTATGTAATCATGTTTTGTTTGAAAAGTGTTTCCACCATCTTTGATATATCTGTTTCGTAAATTGAATACATGAAGTATGAACATTACCGTCACTTTACTTACAATATTGCTTTGATAAAGAACATTACATGCAGTCTTCATAAGGGTCATTATCCCACCGAACGAAGTTCGAGGGGGATATACAAAAGCTGTCCGTCCGTTCGTCCATCTGTTCGTGTGTCCGGGCAATAACTCAAATACCGGTTGACGGATTTCATTGAAATTTTATAGGCTTATGCCTTATGGGTGTAGAAGGAATTTTCAATAAGGCCACTAAATTCAAAATGGCGGCCATTTTTCGGAAAAATATAATCTTTGATTACTCAAATACTAGTGGATGGATTTGGTTCAAATTTTTTATGCTGTTGCTCAGGTACAAAGGAGCCTTGCTGAAGAAGACATTTTCAAGATGGCCACCATATTTCAAAATGGTGGCCATTTTTTGTAAAAAACGTTATCTTTGATAACTCAGGTACCATTGAATGGATTTGGTTCAAATTTTACATGCTGATGCCTAGGGACATTGGAGCTCTGTTGGAGAAGGGATTTTCAAGATGGCAGCTAAATTTCAAAATGGCCACCATTTTTCATAAAACAATGTTACCTTTGATAACTAAAGTACCAGTTGACAGATTTGGATTAATTGTATAATATATGCTGATGCCTTTGGACATAGGAGCTCTGCTAAAGGAGAAATCTAAAGATGACAGCTGAATTTCAAAATGGCAACCATGTTTCATAAAAACACAATCTAATAATTCAAATACCAGTGGATGGATTTGGCTTAAATTTTATATGGCCGCTATTTACCAAAACATGTTTTGTTTTTTGGGATTTGCTACTCCGTGGAGTTGCTGTTTTTCTAGTTCCCAATAGTATGAGGGAAGTAATGGTATTGATTTCAAAATGTCGTGGGAACCCTGCATTTCTATAATTACAAATTGATATAATTATTAAGGATTTAAGCCCTGGACTCAGTGCAAAGTGTGTTGTTGAATCATTCCATCGAAGGTCTTGTTTCCAAATCTTTTCATGAGCGTGTAGCGGGAATGCAAAGTTTAGGAAACAACACCTGAGTGGAATGATGCAACTACAATGCATTGAGTTTTGGGCTTAAATTCTTTTCACACGTTGCAAAATATTTTCTACAAAATCATCTGAAAGATATAAAATCACTAAAAGAACATATTTTCAATGAATCATTTTGCAAGGGTCAAGTTGGCAAACTAGTTTCAATTTCCTCACCTTGACAACCATACAATGCATTGTTGGTTATTTAATGGAATGCATTTGTATGATATAGCGTGTTCTGATTTGCTGGAATTGGAAACACCTTGCCTAGCTATATGTGAATTTATTATTAATTTGCCACCAGATGTGGTGACACATTGTTATACACAGCAAATATTTCCCAAGGTTGAATCAATGTTGATGGCAGATCAGGGTTGATTCAAGCTTGATATCAAGCTTGATTCAACATTGAAAAACCTCAATGCTGAATCAACCTTAAAATCAAGCTTGATTAAACATTGATATTCTCAAGCTTGATTCAGCACTGAAATAACACTTGGGCAAATATTGCTTTTTCAATGCTTGAGAAGATCAATGTTGAATCAAGGTTGATGTTTTGTTAAATCAACATTGAGAAATGTTTGCTGTGTAGTCTCCAACTTTTTTGTGGACAGTGTTCAGTGGTTTGTGTTTTGCGTTCAAAAAACTCTTGGATCCAAGAATGACCAATGAGAAAAAGGAATAAAATGCTCTCATCGTGTGCCAATTTACTCAATATATTTTATATTATGTTTAATATATCTCAAGTTTATATTATTTTAGGGTACTAATTGAATAAAAACAGGTATGAATAACACCTAAATAAAAAACTGTATAATGATCAAGCAGGCTTTTGAAAATGTTTTCAACTGATTATCTTTGTATATACACTGCTATTCCCAGGTGTATTTACAGTGACTTAAAGTTCATATTATTATTTGACATTGCATTTTAGGTATATTATTCTGCTAATGATACTGGAGCGCCTATTTTGATGCTATACACTACTAGTCTTAGTACTATAATATCTAACCTGGATTGGAAAAAGAAGTACATAATATATGTAAGTACTAAAAGTTATTGAATGATTTGAAGCGCAATACAGGATATATTCTGCTCAAGAAATTCCGTTTTGGAATGAGACGAAGTCGAGTGCCAATACAGAATATCGAGACCAGAATATATCTTGTATTGCACTTCAAATCATTCTATAACATTTTTATCGTGTGATCCTCTGTATTGCTACTGAGAATGTCCCCTCTGTACCAATATTTTCTGTATTGCGACGGAGATGATCAATGGGGACAATCTCAGTAGCAATACAGATTGTTACAGCACAAGAACTGACCAATCAGAAGGCTTCATTTTACAAATCATACGATAAATGTTGATATATCACGGTCATTGTTAATACCTGTTGTAAAGTTCATGCTACATATACGAAAAATCCAATTCTTGGATGTGTTTGAGGTATGCACGATAACCATCTTAAACTTACACCAACTGACAAAGTGTGCGATAGCTACCTCATAAAATATATAGCCTTACAACACATCTATTTTCTTTCGAATACACACTTGATCGTGTGAACCTGATGGCATCTTTGAAGTTTAGGAAGTCTCCTCTGTGTGAAGAACAAAATAATAAATCTGAGTTACAAGTTATCGAAAAATTTCAGACTACAAGTAAAAGTTGTGATATTGCTGAGTATTGTCCATTTTGAATCTACCATTTCTCATTTCTTATTTCTTGATTACTTATTTTTAAATTTTTAATTATTTTATTATTAGACTCCAGATTGAAAATCTGGAGTCTATTGCTTTTGCCAGTTTTCTTCTTATTAGACTCCAGATGTCAATCTGGAGTCTATTGTTTTTGTCAGTATTCTTATTCTTTATTATTCTTTATTATTATTCTTTATTATTTTTCTTTCCCAGTTTTCTCGTTAACTAGAAGATATTGAGTCAAGTCTTATATATGGTCCATTTAGGTCCTAGATCTAGTTTCTCGGAAATTGGGTCAAATTTTTATCTAGGTCAAAGGTCAAGAACTAGGTCAAATCTTACATTTTCAACATTCTGTCATTTATCTTCGTCGTTGTTTGTCGTAACTCCTAAATCTTTTTTTCATCATGTAGCTTGGAAAAAGCCAAAGCAAAGATATGACATTAGATTTTTGATTACTCTTACCGATTTTTAAATATGGCGTCCAGAAAGTAGGTCACGACAAAAAGTTCTCCAAATTCAACGTATGACATATGAACTAAGGGTAAAATTTTCTCAGGAATCCGAATCTGCAAACCAAATTTCGATCTGACTTCCGGTTCAAAAGTTATGACATTTTAAAACTTTTTTTAACCTGCCAATAAGCATGCGCAAGATCGAAAAAATTAATATGATGGTATCCTGATAGAAAGTCAAGAGTAGTGAAGAAAATATTGAAAAATCCATCCATCTATCATATCCATCCATCCTATCCTATCCTTCTTTCCTATCCTTCCTATCCTATCCTATCCTTCCTTCTTATCCTATCCTATCCTTCCTATTCTGTCCTATCTTATTCTTTCTTCCTATTCTATCGTATCCTATCCTATCCTTCCTATCCTATCCTTTCTTCCTATTCTATCCTATTCTATCCTTCCTTCCTATTCTATCCTATCCTTCCTTCCTATTCTGTCCTGTCCTTCCTATCAATCCATCCATTCATCCATCCATCCGTCCACTTATTATGGATGACTCGTCTTATTCTGGATGACTCAGCTTATTCTGGATGACTCGGCTTATTCTGGATGACTCGGCTTATTCTGGATGACTCGGCTATATCCATCCCACCTAGCCTATCCTATCCAATCCTATCCTTCCTATCCTTTCCTATCCTTTCTTCCTATTCTATCCTATCCTTCCTTCCTATTCTGTCCTATCCTTCCTATCCTATCCATCCATCCATTCATCCATCCATCGGCTTATTATGGATGACTCGGCTTATTCTGGATGACTCAGCTTATTCTGGATGACTTGGCTTATTCTGGATGACTCGGCTTATTCTGGATGACTCGGCTTATTCTAGATGACTCGGCTTATTCTAGATGACTCAGAGTAAACGAATCTGTCATCTGGAGTCTGAAATTGAACTTGTTCAATTTCCAAAGTCTAGTTATTATTATTCTTTCTCTCCCAGTTTTCTCAGCAACTAGAAGGACTTACTTAAATCTGCTAACATAGTCAACTAGGTAATGAGACCTAGTTTCTGGGAAATTAGGTCAAATTTTTATCTAGGTCAAAGGTCAAAAACTAGGTCAAATCTTAAAATTTCAACATTCTGTCAATTATCTTTGTCACCATTCGTCGTTTTTCTTCGATCTTTTTTTCAACACATAGCTTAAAAAAGGCGCTTTCATAAGTGTCCTGTCTTTTTTTGATTACTCTTACCGATTTTGAGATATGGCGTCCGAAAAGTAGGTCAGAACAACAAGTTCTCCAAATTCAACATGTGACTTATGAAATAAGTGTAGAATTTTCTCAGGAATCTGAATCTGCAAACCAAATTTCGATCCGACTTCCGGTTTGGAAGTTTTGGCGTTTTGAAAGCTCAAAAATCGCTAAATTTGTGCCCCATGTTAAGTCAATGGGAAAAAAGATTTTTTTGAAGTGTAATATACGAGATATAGACTGAGTACAGCTTAATATAATGATAGCTTTTATAAGAAGGGGACCTCAAAAGCCAACTAGCTTCAAAATGTGGACAGCAAAATGCCTAGGTCAAAATCTAGGTCAAATTCATAGTTTTTCCTTATTTTTGTGATTCTTACACTACATTTTAATGATTTGCTTCCAAATTTTGTATACAGGTAGCAAAGAGTGTGCTAATAGTGTTAGCCTTTTGCCGTCAGAAAGTATTTTGACCTACTTTTGAGATATGGTGTCCGAAAAGTAGGTCAAAATAAAAAGTTCTGCAAATTTAACGTATGAGTTATGAATTAAGGGTAGAATTTTCTCAGGAATCCAAATCTGCAAACCAAATTGCAGTCCGACTTTCGGTTCGGAAGTTATGGCGTTTTGAAAGCTCAAAAATCACTAAATTTGGTGCTCCATGTTATGTCAATGAGAAAAAATATTTTTTTGAAGTGTAAAATACCAGATATAGACTGAGTACAGCTTAACATTCTGAAAGCCAAGAAAAGAAGGGGACCTTGGAGGCTATCTAGCTTTAAAATTTGGACACCAAAATGCCTAGGTCAAAATCTAGGTCAAATTCATAGTTTTTCCTTATTTTTGCGATTCTGACATTACACTTAAATGATTTGCTTCGAAATTTTGTGCAGAGGTAGCGAAGAGTATGCTAATAGTGGTAGCCTTTTGCCGTCAGAAAGTATTTTGACCCACTTTTGAGACATGGTGTCCAAAAAGTAGGTCAAAATAAAAAGTTCTCCAAATTTAACGTATAAGTTATGGATTAAGGGTAGAATTTTCTCAGGAATCCGAATCTTTAAATCAAATTTTGATCCAACTTCTGGTTAAATAGTTATGGCGGTTTGAAGTCTTGAAAAGTCGATATGATGATATCCCCATGTTACGCCAATGGAGTCGAAGATAACATTCTTAAGAGTTGTCTAAATGTCTATATTCTGGCTGACTCAGCTTATTCTGAATGACTCAGCTTATAAGTAATTGGATGACTCAGCTTGAAAAAAATTTGAAATCTGGAGTCTTAAATTGAACTTGTTCAATTTACATGTCTAGTTATCTTTTATTATCTTGTGTAATACTATATTTATTGGATTACATTAATAGCTATCAGCTAATACAAAATGTTTTCCATACACATTATTTAATGTTATCATTGGTAAAAAGGGGGGGGGGGGTGCAGCATTGGGAGACATAAGATTATTTTTACAATCTTCGTGAATTAATGAAGTATCGATGGAGTTCTTCGAATAATAATTTGTTTTCCTCGTCAGAAAGAAAAGTATTCCCATTGAGAATAATGTTCACTTTTTCATGATTTGTTGTCAAACTAATCGAGGGTTTGTCTATGCATATTTTGTTAAGCGTGTTTAGTAGATCGTTTCGTTGAACGTTGAGAGATGGACAGCTAAGGATAAAATGTGTGATTGTTTCATTACCATTTCCGCAGAGGGGACAACTTGGAGAGTCGATCAACCTCATGGAAAATAAATGCGAAATCAGTTGCATGAGGCCTAATCTAAAACGGGCATGAATTATATTAACTTTGCGGTCGCCGCAATAATACAGTTTCTGAAACCTTTTATTTTGATTAAATAAATGTCTTTTCAATTCAAATTTGAAAAGGTTAAAAGTGGTTTTATCTTTTATTGCTTTTGGAAGGTCGTTCCACGTCCTTATGACAGAGGGAATAAAAGAGTTTCGATGAAAATTACTTTTAGTCTTAATTAACTGGTATTCACCTGCTGATCTTAAGTCGTAATTTGTTCTGTCAAAGACCTTTCCTGGAAGAATGTTTTTATAATGATTGGGAGTTTTCCCATAAATAATTTTTGCGAGTATTAGAATCTTAAAGTAGTTTCTTCGAAGTTTTAATGTTGACCATCCAAGGTCGTTTATTGTTTTTACATAGCTTGATTTTTTCATTCCCCCAGTGACCACCAAAGATGCTCTATATTGTATGTTCTCAATCATTTGGCTAGCCCTTTCAGAAGTATTATCATATATTACACAACCATAGTCGATTATTGGTCTAACATAAAGTTTATATATAGTATCTAGGGTTTGTCTAGGTAGTATTGTTTTTAGTTTTGCCATAAGATTTACTAATTTTGTGGCTTTAGTACAGGTGGTGGTTATATGCTCATTCCATTTTAAATCGGGTGTAAAAATTACCCCTAGATGTTTGTGTTTGTTTGTAGACTCTAGTCTGACACCATCAAAGAACAAGTCTGCATGTTGAGGTTTAAATTGTTTATGAGAAACGGTCATGGTATGTGTTTTGGAAGCATTAAATGTTATTAGGTTATCATTAGCCCAGTCTCTAATATTATCAAGGTCAGTCTGGAGTTTTACAGTGGTCCTATCCGAGTCTTCAACAATTTCAAAAACAAATGAATCGTCCGCAAACAGATAAAGATTACTCTGAACATGGTCAACAAGATCATTAATAAAAATAAGAAAAAGGAGCGGTCCAAGAACGGAGCCTTGTGGTACTCCTGCTCTAACTGGCAAAAAGTCTGAGTGCTTTCCATTGACAACTACTCTTTGCAAACGATTTTTTAAATAACATTTGATCCACTTTAGCAGACTTCCACCAATTCCAACTTTTCTCAATTTATAAATCAACATCGTGTGCCAAACTTTGTCAAAAGCCTTGCTTATATCAAGAAAAATTAGCCTCACTTCTTTACCGTTGTCGAGAGCAAAGCTTATTTCATCAACTATGCGGATAAGTTGATTAATTGTAGAGTCAAGTGGTGTAAATCCAGATTGACGAAAAGTTATCTTATCCTTGACAAAATTGTATAATCTATTAAACACTATTTTTTCAAGGACTTTTGATAGTGAACACAACAGGGATACTGGCCGAAAATTACTTTTAATATGTGGATCATCTTTTTTAAAGATTGGGGTGACGTGTGCTTTCTTCCACATGGATGGAAAAATGCCCTTGGCTAGGGATAAATTAAATAAACGCGATATTGGTTCGCTTATATAATCAGCGCAAAGTTTTAAAAATTTATTAGGAAGCTCGTCCCATCCCCCGGCTTTGGATATATTCAATTTGAACCTCAAGTCATGAACCTCAGTCGGGTTTGTTGTTATTAAATCAAGTGTCTGTTCAACATTAACTTCATTATTTGGAAAGTGAGCTAGATTCTCATCAACAGTACACATATCAGTGAAGTATTTATTTAAAACAGTTGCCTTTTCAGCATCGTCATCTAAGATTATGTCATTTTCAATTAGACTGGGTACCCCTTGATTAATTTTATGACCATATATCTGTTTTAAAACAGCGAACCATTTTTTAGGAGGTGTCAATTTGTCATTTAAAATGTTTGATACTTTCTCATAATACTCAATTTTACATCTTTTAACCAGGTTTACCAATCTATTTCTATGAAGCTTGTATATGTCCCAATCTAACAAACTTCCCGTTTTGTGGGCCATTTTAAACGCTCTGTTTTTAATTCTACTCATTTTTCTAATGTATCCATTTATCCACGGTTTATCGTCAGGTCTCACAGTGGCTACTTTATTGGGTATACAATCTTGCATAGTAGATTTCAGAAAGTCCGTAATCATTGAACACGTATCTTCAATATCATCAAAAGTAAAAAAGACATCCCATGGTGCAGAAATTAAGGACTCAGTCAGTTTGTTATAGTTGACATTTGAAAAATCCCAGATTTTCCTTATGAATGTTGATTTCTTGGGTATTGTGGTCAAAATATCCGTTAATATTGTTCTATGGTCACCTTCAGTACGATGATTTAAAAGTGGACGAGATATGCAGGCATTTTCTGAAATAGCCGGTGCATCTGTTAAGATTAGATCACGTAAATAATTAAGACGAGTTGTTTCTTTTATCAGTTGGGTCATATTGAATGTTTTTACAAAATTGCTAAACTCGTTGTCAAAAATCGTATTGATATGACCCGGAACCCATTCGTTTGACCCACAGTTAAAATCCCCAAGAATCCAAATTCCAAAGGTGTTTTCATTATTTACAACATTCAGACTTTGCTCGAGTCTCGTTAAAAAATTCTCCATTTGATCTCGATTTTGACCGGGTGGCCTATAGCACGAGGCTACTAAAATTTTTAGATGCCTAACTCTTATTTCAACCCATACTAATTTAATGTCAGGTGGTTCTAAGTCTTGCCTTCGTCTACAAAATAAGTGGTCAGATACATAAATACAGACTCCCCCACCGTGACGCGTGCGATCTCGTCTAAAAGGCGCATGAAAATCAGAAAAGGTTATCTCATTATCTGGTATTTGGTCAGATAATTTCGTTTCAGAAAGACACAATATGTCTACGTTGTTTTCTTCTATAAACAATTGAAGATCGGCAAATTTAACCTCGTGAGTATCCTCAATAGGTTTTATGCTATTGATGTTACTGTGAGCGAGAGTCAATGTTTTATTGTTTTCAAGCACTCGATCGGGACCAGGATTCGGATGTATTCCTCCAATAATCAAAAGAATGACTATGACAAATTTACAGTTTAGTGTCGCAAGTATCATGATTTTTTTGAATAAGTTAATCAGTGATACCATGGCGTTTGTTTTTAAAGCCGTGTATATTGACCCGGACGCGAGGCTCGCGCATCTGTTAAATAGTCCAATAGCTGCCCGGTGTTGTTCAATAACAATTGGCATTAATCTATGCCTAAACGATCTACCTTACACTTAAAGGAGGAATATAAAAGTACCCCACCACACATTCCCCCAATGCTGCATCTCCCAAGCTTGATACCAGTCAATATGAATACGGCAATATACATTAGTAACCAACGTTCACAAAAAAATAATGGACTCCGTTAAAATATGGTCCAGATAAAATAATCAAAATAATTTAACAATTTACACAGGAATCAGTTGTAGCTACTTTGCTATCATGCTTCATAGTAAAAACAAAATGAAGATCAAGTGCATAGTATCCAGCTCACATATAAGAAACATCGTTGACTGCAACGACCGAGTGACTTCACATACATATAACACATTCATGAAAAAGACCAATTGCAATGCACACTAACGTGTTTCATTATGCTTAAATACCATTCATTATTTCCTCAATCATTGAATAGATGATAAAATCCCGCGCAAAACTCAATGCACTGAGTCATATTAAATGACTTAATGAAGTTACACATACACATTTTATTATCTATTTCTTTTATTTTTATTCTTCAGGTCTCAGCTTTAACCAGTCAGGGTGAGGGTGAAAAATCAGATGATGTCACCGTGGGGGCAACGCCTCTTGGGATTCCATCTCTTGAGTCAGATGAAATAAAGTCCACATATATCCATATCAAGTGGAAACCTGTTCCAAATGCAGTTGGTTACAAAATAAGCTACTCCTCTAATGAACCAGGCGTAACATGTACAATAGAAAATGATATAAATAAGGTTGAAGCAAATTGTAAGTATAATGTAATATTTATTTAAATTAACAAATATTTTTCAGGTTATATCAATATTGGTTTTTATTTCCATCCCCGTTTCAGTTTAAAAAATTGCTTTCAGATTTTACAGAACTTAAATAATTTGATATTTTGGGTGTTTACTTTGATATTGAACAAATATTTCATTCTATTGATGTGAATACCTGGTATCTTTCACGAGTGATATTCCACGAAGCCTGATGGGCTAGTGGAATATCATCTTGCGAAAATGTCACATATCTCACTTGTCCCCACCTTTACGTTATGTTTTTATAACAAAATAAAACTTTCCTCCGACAGAGGTTTATCCATTTTATAACCAAATCTGGACCAGAGATATCTTATCTGATTAGCATGGGCATTGAAAACCACCAGATACTCCATGCCATGTGACCCTATTTTGACCAATCATACAGTGCTAGCTAGATTGTTGTATAACAATTTGCAATATTACAAATTGCAAATTAATTCATAAAGTTATTTGATTTTAGTAAGATAGATGGCAGAGCTGTTACTGTGGGCTACTAGAATCCTGCAGTACTCGAACTTCTTACCAGGAGTACAGAAATGAATCTAAGCATTATAAATATGATGTCAAATATTCCATTTCATGCTAGCTAGATTGTAATAATAATTTGCAATATTACAAATTTTGATTGATTTTAGTAAGATAAACGGCGGAGCTGTTACTGTGGGCTACTGGAATCCTGCAGTACTAGAACTTCTTACCAGGAGTACAGAAATGAATCTAAGCATTATAAATATGATGTCAAAAATTCCATTTCAGTAACTGGTCTAGTACAAGGTGTGAAGTACAGTGCTAGCTAGATTGTAATAATAATTTGCAATATTACAAATTTTGATTGATTTTAGTAAGATAGACGGCGGAGCTGTTACTGTGGGCTACTGGAATCCTGCAGTACTCGAACTTCTTCATAGGAGTACAGAAATGAATCTAAGCATTATAAATATGATGTCAAAAATTCCATTTCAGTAACTGGTCTAGTACAAGGTGTGACGTATCAAGTTGTCGTGAGAGCCTATGATAAACTTGAAACAGGACCTGCTCTATATATGAATTATAAAACAAATGGTATGATTTCATATTGTCATAAATTTAGAGAGGCCTGTTTGTTTTATGGTCTACAACCTCTGTAAAAAATGGAATTTCCAAAATGTCTTCATAATCAAAATTGCTACGATGTTTTGTAAAAAATCTGACATTTTAGCTTTAACTTAAGAGCTGATTAAAAATGTGAATTTTTGGTTATATTACTATAATGGTCTTGTTTTATCTATCATGAACTATTCAAAATGATATAATTGAATTGCTATTTAGTTGGGATTTTATTACCCTTAATAGGTATGGATACATTATTATGTCATGTATCATTGGTATTGGATTCATGGCTTATTCTGGAATAATTTTAGATATATTTTCAAAATACAAATCAAGCAATTTTCAAAGGAAGAGAGAAATTGATACATTAGAGTGCAATGAAGCCTATACAATAATTATAATATATGTTTATATCAATGACGTCACACATCCGTGTGCGAGTGGAATTTGGGAGAATCATATGATTGTCATGGTAAAAAGTTTGGTGCCTATACAGGAATATATAGCTGACATTCAGTTCCATTGACTTCCATTTAAATGCTTCGCTAGGTATGTAATACTATCATATATATCTTATGCATTTAGGAACCAAGATGCCAATGATAACAAATGTAACAGTGGCAAGTATTGGGAAGACAGAATTCAATGTTTCTTGGCCTGTACCAAATGGAGTACCAGCTGATGTAAGTACACTTATCAGAGACATTAAATTACATATGTACATATATAAAAGACATATCAGGTTTAATATAAGGTTATATAATATTTCATTCTGTTTGGAATGTTATGTTTATATCTGAGCGTGTATACAGTAAAACCTGATTGACAATGGTATACTATTCTCCTATATATGATATGTAAATGATTGCTATATATGTATACCCATGTTACACAACAATGATAATGAGTGAATAAAATTTAAATTGTTCATATGAATTGTCATACAGTGAAACCTGATTGATGATGGTATACCATTCTCCTATATGATATGTAAATGATTGTTACACAACAAAGATAATGAGTGAATAAAATTAAAATTGTACATATGAATTGTCATACAGTGAAACCTGTAAAGTGGAACACTTTTAGAAGGGGAACACCTCTGTTCCAAGAACAGCTGACTTCTTGATAAATCAACCTCTATATGTGGAACATCTTTCAGGTGGAACACTTTCAAGAGGTACCAAAAGTGTTCCGCTTAGATATGTTTTACTGCATATGAAAAATGAAAACTGGAAGAATGCATATCTGTTAATATTTATTTATTTATGTAGGTTGAATACACGGTCTACTACACAGATGAAGAACTTGATGACTGTGACATTGAAAAGAAAGCTCTGAAGAAGACTGTGAAACGTTTCAATGATGCCATCATATCAAGTGGTTTACATGCATGCTCCGACTATTTCATTTTAGTTCAGATTACTAAGCCAAAAGGTCCTATGCCCTTCAATTACAAAGTAGCTGGTGTCACAGCCCAAGGTAGGTAGCAATACTGTACTATGTAAAACAATAATAAATAGTCATGCACAACTTTCCCCTTGGAAATGCAATTAAAATATAATCTATAGTATTAGTACTATTAAAAAATGATTGATATTTCAAAAATTGACTATTTTTTCCAAAATCATCTACATTACATGTTCTCAGAAGTTAATATCTGACTTTAGATTTGAGATTTCACGTTGAATGAAAAAGTTTCAAAATCATCTTCCAAGTTCTCAGAAATTCAAATCTGACTTGACATTGAACTCATAATATTGTGAGCAGTTAGATGGTGACATTCTGTCATGTTAATGACTTGTATTCATAGCTAACCCACCAAAAAGTGTGTGTTGGGAAATAGTGAAACTGATCTGTCATTGGTCACTCCCCATTTCAGTTTTTCCAGTATTATTTATAGTTCTTATAGGCTATTAGCTGTTCCACAAAAATAACTGTTTGTAGTTATTAAAAGGATTCTAAAGCTAACGTCTAACCAATCACACTATATTGTATTGCAGATTTGATAGCCCCAGTAAAGGATGTTAAAGTTGTGATAACCAATGATATTACCTCTGTGATTGTCTACTGGAATGTTTCATGTGAGACTGGTTTCCGAAGACCAATGGTAAGTATGAATACAGTCAAGAAAGTGTCCGGTTCAAAAATGTTGGCCAGTTGGGGACCAAGTCAATATTTCCACTTGAAGCTGCAAGATGTTACTTACTATATTACAGATTTACCACATCCTTCTCCTCCAAAATGTCAGTGAACATCCATTGATTTTTCTAAAAATTTAAAGTTGCTTCCTTTTTAAATACCTAAAAGAGAAGATTTAGGAAAGGGGCTTTGCATGTATGTACATGTACATGTATATATTGATATCCATGTAAATGTCTACAGTATATTATTGATATTACTATACAATACTTCTATTCTCGATAAGAGTTCGGGTGGTAATTTACATAAATATCTCCCATAATGCATCGCTTTGGAAGGGACAAATTTTCATTGGCCCGCCGAATGAGTCGATTACTCTGAACGTTTCTCAGCTTCTGATCTTCCATCAGCCCTCAAGCATAGTTATATGATCCAATCTATTTGATAATCAGAAAGATAATCGGAGATTCAAAGTAACATTATTTATATTTTTTCGATCTTCGATGGCGTCTGAGCAATTTCTGGGATATCAGTGACGTCACTGGAATTGGACGGCATTTTCAACTACAGATATCTTCGGATTTGGGGATTATAGTTCAAAAAGCTTTGTCATATATCATAATTACATACATACCTATCATTTGTGCAAATGAAACTCTACATAAATGTTTAATAGAGTCGCAGTGCGGCATTGAAAATAGCACCCCTGTGTTATCCAATGGGAAAGAACCCGGATGTAGACGAAGTTGTACCATACATGAGAGCTCTTCAAATGGGAGGTAACTAAACTGAACTAAATTAAACGTTATCGCGTATTGGTATATTAGTTTGTTATTATGTTTTACAGGCCTATGTTATGTCATTCACCAACTTGGAAAAATTGAAAAATGGGGCTCTCACTACACAACCATCCAACAAGACCCATTGGAGCTACACAGTTAGAAATTTGATACCAAATACTAGATATAGACTGAGTATCCATGCAGATGTAAAAGGAGCAAAATACACCAAACCTATTGTGTTTTCAACTAGTGAGTACTGTCTTTATTATTATTCTTTCCAAGAGTTTGATTTGACTATTTTGCTTCATTAAAAGAGTGGTTCATCTACATCTGATTTTTTTTGTATTTACAAAAAAGACAAAAATTGCAAATTCAGGATGACGCTAATCATAGAACCGAAAAAAGAACCTAAATGGAAGCATGTCATTGGTTAAAATACTTAACTGACTGTATATTGTCAAATACTATTCTATTTTGCAGATCAGTACCAGGCTCCAGTTGGATTCAAAGGGGAACATCTCCAGGATGGAAATTTATATTTTGATTGGGAAAATTTAGAGGGAGTCCCAGAAAAAAATGCAGTAAGTGAACATTGGTTAAAACATTGTGGCATTCAAAAATAAATCTAAGCAAAATTGTTACAGAATAATGTGTAATGTACAAGTAGAATTAGTACAGCTTTTAAAAAGTCAAGCGCAACTCTTGTTATTAGATACATGAATTATAAGTATGGCAATGCATTACTTACTTTAAAATACAACATCAACTTTGATGTATCAATTATTTATATCTGAAATTTTCAAGATGTTATGATATAAGCATAGGTGATTTTATTTATCTGAAACCAATTTCTCAAAGTGTATTTGTACTTAAGTATGTCTCTACATGTTCATGTATATATTAGGGATGTAAAGCAAAATCTGTAAAGTGGAATTCAGTATTGATTTATTATATTTTCAGCAATACCAGTTGTGCATAGCAAATACTACAAATCCGAGTGATACATTCCGAGATTTAAACTTCACAGATTGTAGAGATACTACCTCTAGTAGTAAAACAGTTAAAGATCTGATATATGGCCACATCTATTTTTTCAAAGTGCGTTATGTTGGCCACACCAGTGCAGGCCAACCTGAGTATGGAGCATGGTCAAATACATGGAAGGAACCGTGGTGTAAGTCTTCATCCTTCTGCGATGCGTACTCTTCATATCCAAAGGCCATATCTGGTGGGAGGGACGTTAAAGTTTGACAAGGAAAATCCATCAAAGAATTTTCAATCACTTTTTCAATAATTTTTATCCATAAAATGTGATTTAAATTGAAAAAATGTGAAAATATATTAGACTACATACTGTACTGTATATGACATGTAAGAAGTATATAACCTTGGGAAATTATATCATGGCACAATTATTTCTACATCTAAACATGTCAAGGAAAATGGTATAATTTTTGAAATGATAAGTCAATACCCTGAAAAATGTGAAGCAAAAATGGTATGACTTGTGAATTGTCAAATTATTACCCTGATCCAGAGACAAGCTGATTAGCTGGAAAATTTTATCCTCTTGGGGCAGTTTTGATATATAAAATAATATCAGCCATTTTGTTTTCACATTCTTTTATTTTAACTCAAGTTTCTTCTATTTTTACAGGGAAGGCAGTACCATCAGCTCCTCAGAATAGTAACATAAGCAAGAGTGTATGGATACCAGCAGTCGCAGCAGTCGGAGGCATCGTCATTGTTGCCTTAATAGTTGTAGTAATTGTATTTGTTGTGCGACACCATCGCTTACAGAGAAGTTTCTTGTCATTTGCTAACAGCCATTATGACACCAGGACGGGTGCAACAACATTCAGCAGTGGTGATGACTGGGGTGAGCATGATGCCTCATAGATTATTTTACTTTAAATATAACTTAATTGTACAGCAACCATATTAAGACTTAACATTAATGTTTGATGCTGAAACTTCAGGATATAATAGATAAAACTTCAATTGTTATATGCACAAAATTTCAGCTGAATTGAAGAATATTAAAGAAAGTTAGAGCATATAGTGCATTACTTCTGGGACAACCCTTGTATTTACTTACCTTGATCTTTGTAAGCTGTATTTCTAGAAGACCACTTTAAATGTGCTTGAACCAAAGCAATTATGTGACATAACTTTCTGGGTTCTTTCCATGTGGCAGAGAAAAGTTCAAATATTTATTTGTCTGTCACCGCCAGAAGTGGTGACATATTTTTATAGTCTCTCACTTCAGCACTCTGCATTTAGCGGTTGTCGTTTGGCATTTGTAACAAATGGCAGGGGGTGACACTTTTGAACATCTCTGTGTAGAAATATTATTTTCAATTTTTGATTGATTTCAGCTGAAGAAGAAGAACCAATGATTCGAGGATTTTCTGATGACGAACCACTTGTTATTGCCTAATTGGTCAATTATTGTGACGTCATCACATCGACTAAATATAATGCTTGCTACTAATCAGCCATAGAGGGACACCAATTTATGAAGTCAATTCAAAAATATATTTTAATGAAGGAATATAATAAATAGGTGTTAAACTGTAAAAAGTACCAATTTAAAACAGTTTGCACTGAATGAAAAAAAATTATTGAACTCGCTTACATTTTTTTGCTTGAGTGAGATACAAGAAAACTGTCGAATTTGGTTTGAATTTTGAAAAAACATGTAGATACTTCTTTATACATATGTGTTGTACGTATTTTTAACTCATATTGCCAATTTTTCAATATGTATTTGTTTTTTGTACAAATGGAGGGATAATATCTTGTATTTTTAGTTTACACATATTTTGATTTATTTGAAAACATGCTTTGTAGCCAAAGTTTGGGATTTGTCAAATTAACTTGAGTAGGAAGCCAAAATGGTAAAACAATTTGCTTCAAATATTAGGCAGTTATTGTTTTCAAATAAAGAGTACCATACATGTGTAAATTTAATGCATTTACACATCTGTTTTATCTTTCACAGCTGTTTTATATTTTCACAGCTGTCATATCCAATGCTGTACATTTTAACAGCTGTCTCACAGATCGCTTCTGTGATTAAATAAGAAGAAATCTTTTGCCTGTATATTTGGTATTGATTATATATATAAGAAATGTGGATGAAAATATTAAATAAATATATGTGTATATTGTCTCAAATACCCCATATATATACAGTGAATCAAATATATTCCTGTGTCAAGTCTCGGGTTGTGTTTTTCCAACTTTGTGCTTGAGCGAGAGAACAGGATTAGCTGTCATGGTAACAGCTTATGTGTATGTGTTGCCATGCGTGGCAATACAAGAGCACCATATAAAATGAAAATTATCCAAGAATTAATAGTATTTTTTATAATATAATGCTTGTTAAAATTGGCTTTTTTCCTGTATTATTCAGATACATACCAAATATGCTGAAATAGTGTATTTGTTTCAAGCATTTGACTTATAAAACTCTTTGGAACCTAATGAAACATGTATTAAGATACTTGAATTTCTGTAGACAAGTCAAGGTGAAGCCTTGATGCTCTTATTCCAATCAAAGGGGCTTAGAAATTTGAATCTGAAATTCATGTACATATAAATTGTGGACATGTTTCAACTTTTATACTAACCTTTTTCTAATGAGAATAATGGGGTTTAATATTTTCTGAGACTGTTAGTACTAAGGTTATTATGAGTCCATTAACATTCTGCTTTAGATAATACGCTCAATATGACATTTTATACTGCAATCTCAGACATGATTTGATAAGATCCAAAGTAGATCTGTTGATTTAATACTTTTGAAAGAAATGAAAACGGAGGGGAGTTTAATAAAACAACACAGGATTTACTTCATATCAATACAAGGATATACAGAGTGGCCTAAAAATAAGTTTACAGTTTACAGAAAGATTGTTGAATAACTGTAAACCTACTTTTGGGCCGGTCAGTATATCAGTTAAGGTTAAGTGGAAGACTAGTTCTACTTGTCTTATGTCATCATGTAAATTGTAAACATATCAAATTATGGAGAAATTATGAAATGGACTTTTGAATTATATTAAAACATTCAATATGTACATTCAAAACTATATGCAGAGAATTAAAAAATTGAATGTATAGTTCTGTGAAATTGATAGAGCCAAAAGTGAATGCTTTTTGGTTGATGAGACAGTCATCAGTCAAAGATTTAGATTTGCTAACATGGAAAATCTTTGATCCGATCTGATTAATAATGTTTCATGTTAAACCATTCAATCTGCGAAAAGCCATCCTCAAGTGTATTCTAGCTCCATTTTGGAAATTTTCTTTTATAAAATGAATGAATTTTCCATATTTGTGAGCCTTGTATCACATCATTGTTTCCTTCTTTCAAGAGTTGGGGATGGCTCATTTTGCCAGAATCTCAAAAGATTCCTTTTGAAGTACTCGACTCACCCCTTGTCAAGGAGTGGTTCAGAATGTGTTGGATGCAAACATGAATTGTCATCTTATTTTTAAAAAGGAGGTCTTATCTCATAGTTGAGAAACCAGGTCTTAATGTTATTTCTTAATCGGAAGATAAATCTGAGATTTTTATGATAAACTATCACATTTTTAAGAAGACTCCGTGAGTTTTCCCTGAATGTAAACCAACAACTTATAACATGTAAAATGTTCAATTATAAAGATGTATGGAAGTGTATAAGTCTATATGTTCAACATCACCAAAATAAATGACAAATATTGTATTTTAAGATGGTAAATAAATAAGGATCTGTCACTTGACTGTTTTACTGGGGGCTAGTCAATATTTTGCACATCTTAGATCAAAGATATCTAAATATGTCATACTTTGACAGGTTTCATAAAGTAGTGAAAACTTGTTATTGAACAAAAAATGAAAAGTGCGACTGTCAGGATTGTTGATTAAAAAAGAAAATGATTTGCTCGAATGTAAATACTGCATGCTTGTTGATTATGTAATAATAAAATGTATTTTTTATAAAAACTGTTAAATGTTAGTTTTACATCTTTTGCTATTATTAGATCTAGTAAACACAGGTGTCAAAAGAGGAAAACAAACACAGCAGGCTTTGTATAAAAAACCTCCTACCTCATACCCACCTACCCACGTACGTGGGACATGATAGAGTCTTTGAAGGGTTAAATTTTAAAGATCTCAGTTTGTTAAATCTTAGTTTATGATGAATTATAGATGCATTTGTAACGACCCTTGATAGCAAGATGCTACTACATCCCAGCTGGGTTCGATTCCCACCCGGGGCATCCATATGCCTTTATTTATGGATCTGCCATCTGTCTAGTCTAGTGATAAAATAAAGCCGGAATTGTAGAAATGTTATTTCGAGATTTAATAATCTTTAAAATTGAACCCTCCAATGACTGTATCATGTTCCACGTAGGTGGGTATGAGGTTGGACGTTTTTTATCCAAAGCCAACAGAGCAAGAAAAAAGCTCTTAAAAGCACACTCAGTCATGATGCACTATTCAAAGGTTTCCCTGAGACCCCTGGAATTAAGTACCCCTGGTACAACAATATGTGTCAAATCATTGATCCTCTTTGTTTGGGTCACGAGGGCAAATATTTGAAGGGTGCATAAAGAAAATAAATCCCCAATATCTCAAACTATGACACGGCAACAAAAAATATCTAATTATGTTCCAATCATTCTTGAATAAATAACACAACCCAAAGCCTCGAAACCATATAGGAATTTTCACAGTACTAAAGCCAAAGAATGCACTTGTGTTACAATTGTTGAAACTCAAATATGGGATGATACTTACATGTACTAGCAGAATGTCATGTTTTATTATATATCATGTTTTATCAATTCATTATATATTTTGCTAATTCTTGTTTTTCATGTAATTTTAAGAGATTTGCATTTTTTACCTCTAATGACTTACTTTTCTTATTATTTTTGATAGCATATTTGAATTCAGTGACACATTTTCTCCTAATGTAGCCTTGATTTACACAGTTATGTCATTTACTAGTAAATCATTTTCAATGACATTTTGAAAAAATATCCTTTAGATCTAGTGCAATGCGAAAATTCATTAAAACCTTGGCTTATTTGTATGACAACCAATATCTTCATGTTTAATCACAATATGAACATTGACAGGGTCATCTAATAGGTCTGTCATTCGAGTTTCAGACAGATTCAAACAACAGTTTTTGATAAATCATGAAATTAAGTGACTATTACAAGTTTCTAGCATTGAAGTGAATTGAGGTCTGGCCCAAGAAAATCAAGGGTGACATCTTTATTATGTCAGCGTTATTCAGCTATTTAGAAATGAACTCTACTGCCGTGACATCTATAAAACCGTAAAATGTTAAAAAGTCACTGTTCATCCGATAGATGGCGTGCATCAAGGTCATTAAGAATTCAAATAGCATAGGATGTGGAAACAAATGTTTTGATGTCGTTCAAAATCACTCCATAACTCTTAAATAGTTCGTCAATCATGGATAAGAAGGCGGCCATTGGACTTATGTTACTGTTCATATTACATGGTAAGTGTTTATTTACTTCTGATACAAATCTAATGGACCAAAAGCGTGAAATATTTCTGAAAAATCTTTTCAAAACTTTTGTTTATTTGTAAAAAGTTTAAAAGTTTTTAAGTATTTTTATTTTTGAATTTCAGGACAAACATGTACCTAAAATTAGAAATTCACCTATGTATTGATGAATTTTAGGGTATATAGATTACTGGTCACTCAATTTATAGATAGACTGACTGTTAGTTTGATATACAATCAGTTAGACTTTTGAAATCAACAGTCACAAGTAAGATTTGCCTATATTACTGATACTGAACAGATAGATCTAGTGTAATACCCTTATCTGTATTGATATATAGTCTAGTGATATCATCTAAGTTCACTTGTTGATGTAAAGAAACTCCATGGCACAACTAACATTTTTTGGTTTGCGATGATAGTTCTACAGGTCCTTAGATACTTGATGTGACCATGGGCATTCAATAGACAGTGGAGTCTTTCATTGGTTGAAGTGTGAGGTCTGGATATGTTTATATTTTTGACAGGCGGCGATGTTTAACGTTCCTTAATTCGTCACTAAATATGAAGACATTTTGTTCAAAATCTAAGAAAATTGCCAAAAAATTCTTATTTTTACTAAAATTTTTGATTTGTCATGTGGCTATTCAATTTCTTTTACCCAAAGTATATGACTTCAGTTTTATAAACATTTGCCAACTATAAAAAAAAAGATATTAGGTTCATTGACTAGATTTATTTTTGAGATATTTCAGGAGGGGACATGTTGATTGGCGTTACATTTAATATTTTATTTGAACCATAATCCAATGTACATGTACTAGGTCATTAAGTGTAGTCTAAATTTTAGATACTCAAGGTATACACCCAAAAATATATATCATATAACTGAGTTGCATGCAGTACTTTTTATCTTACCAGATCATGTTGACCCTGGATATTAGATATTTTGGGTAACCTATACTTAGCTAATGTATTTTATCTGTACTATTGTTGGTTGCTTTGTCCTTGCAATGTTTTACAGTTTTTTCCCAAGTGGGTACAAAATTATCACATTCACAGCTCTGCCAAGATTGTTCCAATTTTCCCCGATTTTTCATAGTTCAAAGCCAGGGAAATACATTTTCGGATGAGTTGCGACTGCGCCCTTTTGATTCTGTTCTATAGTGAGAAAACATTTACCAATGGTACAGGAAGAGTTAAGGCCACAGACCTTTTGTAGGCTTATATATTGTTTATATTCACAATTATCACATCATTGTTCTCCCCAGGATTTTTTCTCAAATATGTGTAAAATTCTTTTAGGCAATTTAGACCAATTTTAGTCCAATTATGCTTATTTTTCATCATTTTTACATCTTGAAGTTATTAATGAGATCTAGATGTATTGGTGTCCTTTTAAAATTTTTTATAAAAAATAATATTCATCTTTTTTTGTTCGGCTGGACAATTTTTTTTAAAAAGGTCAATTACATACCTGTACATGTCTGTACATATCACTCCTCTCAATTTTCTATTTTTTCCATTTCCGTTCTTTTTCATTTGCCGACCATGACAATGAGTGCCATTCTAACCTGACACTGACATATTAAAACATAATTCGTGTAAATTAAATAAGTGCTGTCAAAGTTAGAGTAAATTTGGCAACATAATTGTGACAGATATTGTCGCTCTGGTTTCTGGTTTTTGACATAAATCTCTAAGGAACAGAGCTCTAGGAATTTGAAAGGTCAGTGAATTATTCCAATATTAAGTATCAAAATGTCAACTTATAGTCTGGATGTAGAGCCAGTAGAGGTGGAAATGCTTATTATATGAACTTTTTTTGCATTTTCTGTTTAAACATGATATCCATATTCAGAAACTGTCGGATGCCCATCGGGCATCTTTGAGGAATTTTTTTGGCGGCCATTTTGAATTTTCACACGTTTTATGTATTTTAGCCAGCATATTAGAACAGAAAACTAGCATACACATAAACATATCTTGCTGTTTTTTCTATAATAGAGTTTTAATATGATGTATACCAATATGTTAGGTTCCAGAAATGTTTCTTGACAAAAATAAAAAAAAATTCAAGATGGCCGCCGGCGCCAACCTTACAATTTATGAAATGTCTCATTCTGTGATAATATCAAATGGATATTAGTGTTTGCTACAAAATTATCAATAAATAATACTAAATACATCTGATTATGATCTCTTTCTCACATATAAAATATCTGAAATGAGTAAAAAGTAACCTACATAATAATAATGATGTTCCACAAGGGTCATTTCTTGGTGCTATATATATCTTGAATTTATGAATTCTCTTCTATTACTAAGATTTCGTCAAGGATTTCCCTCAATAAATCTTCATCAGTTTCTTCCAATTCCTGTTCAGTTACTGTCTTTGTATGTTGGTTATTGCATTCATTCCCCTTGCAAACACAGAACAATGTACATGATAAAGAAGCCTTCGAGCATGAACATCGCCCGGTTCTACATACCTTGCCCTCCGATGCACATGTGCACTTAATGAGCTTGAGAATTCCTTCAGGGGCACAGGGTGTATCCTTGGGCATTGTTGTTGGGACAAGTGAGCCCGTGCTATTAATTTCCCAACCATAATCTGTTGGAAGGATAAGTGGGGGGTCAGGCATATCAGCATTTTTCTATATAGCTACTTGGAAATGAGCTCGCTTCACATGCTGGGAAAATGCTTCTGTTGTTGGTGGGAGGGATTTTAGCTTTGGTGCATTCATTCCCCTTGCATCTAGAAACAAATTCTGTTGAAGTTTTCTCAACTTCAGTCATGTCTGCATTGACATCTCTCAAGTTAGTGAGTGAGTATCTATTTAACACCTTCAGGACTGTTAGCTTGCCAATTCCATGCATCCAAGATGTCGTATCAAGAGACCATGCGCAGCTAACAAGTTTGGGATTTTTAATTTGTGTTCATTTACGGTTGCATTAATGTTAATGTTTGCTCTGCCAGATGATGTTCCCTCCATTATCACTATTTGATGAAAATGGAGAAATTAATATCACAACTTCAAAATCAACACTGAAACAAAAGTTACAGATTGACAGATACAGTTGTTCTGAATGTGACTGAGAATAAGGTCCAGTTGATAAAGTGTGTCATCGACCATCTCACTCAAAAAGCTAGTGAAGGATCATTCTCCAACATCCTTGTTATCACAGGTCCTGATCCAACACCTGTACAAATTCACAAAGGCAATATTGACCAACGTAATGACTTAAGGAACACTCAGGTTCTGCATGCTGCCAGTGAAGGCCAACAGAATATCAGTGTACTCAGTGATGATACTGATGTTTTCCTTCTACTTCTTCATCACTGTCTCAAGCACAAGTTAATGGAAAATAACATCATAATGGAGGGAACATCACCTGGCCGAGCAAACATTAACATAAATGCAACCGTAAATGAACACAAATTAAAAATCCCAAACTTGTTAGCTGCGCATGGTCTCTCTGGCAGTGATACAACATCTTGCATGCATGGAATTGGCAAGCTAACAGTCCTGAAGGTGTTAAATAGATACTCACTCACTAACTTGAGAGATGTCAATGCAGACATGACTGAAGTTGAGAAAACTTCAACAGAATTTGTTTCTAGATGTTATGAAATTACACCTAAAGTCACAGACAAAATGTCTGATGTGAGATATGCTGAATGAGCAAAGAAAAATGCTGCAAAACACATTACAAATGCACCAAAGCTAAAATCCCTCCCACCAACAACAGAAGCATTTTTCCAGCATGTGAAGCGAGCTCATTTCCAAGTAGCTATATGGAAAAATGCTGATATGCCTGACCCCCCACTTATCCTTCCAACAGATTATGGTTGGGAAATTAACAGCACAGGCTCAATTGTCCCAACAACAATGCCCAAGGATACACCCTGTGCCCCTGAAGGGATTCTCCAGCTCATTAAGTGCACATGTGCATCAGAGGGCAATGTATGTAGAACTGGTCAATGTTCATGCTCCAAGGCATCTTTATCATGTACATTGTTCTGTGTTTGCAAGGGGAATGAATGCAATAACCAACATACAAAGACAGTAACTGAACAGGAATTGGAAGAAACTGATGAGGATTTATTGAGGGAAATCCTTGATGAAATCTTAGTAAAAGAAGAGAATTCATAAATTCAAGATATATATAGCACCAAGAAATGACCCTTGTGGAACATCATTATTATTATGTAGGTTACTTTTTACTCATTTCAGATATTTTATATGTGAGAAAGAGATCATAATCAGATGTATTTATTAGTATTATTTATTGATAATTTTGTAGGAAACACTAATATCCATTTGATATTATCACAGAATGAGACATTTTATAAATTGTAAGGTTGGCGGCCATCTTGAATTTTTTTTATTTTTGTCAAGAAACATTTCTGGAACCTAACATATTGGTATACATCATATTAAAACTCTATTATAGAAAAACAGAAAGATTTGTGTATGTGTATGCTAGTTTTCTGTTCTAATATGCTGGCTAAAATACATAAAACGTGTGAAAATTCAAAATGGCCACCAAAAAAATTCCTCAAGGGTGCCCGTTGGGCATCCGACAGTTTCTGAATATGGATATCATGTTTAAACAGAAAATGCAAAAAAAGTTCATATAATAAGCATTTCCACCTTCACTTAAAATATGGCACTTCACATCCGGACTATTATGAGAGTCATGGTAGTCGTAATTTTCCGATTGTATGTGAATATCACTTTCAAATTGCATCTCGTTAATGTGTGATATGTCTTACCCTTTTTAATGCTTTAAAAGTGATTCACATGTACATATTAAGAAAATGTTAAAATATGAACACATACTTATCCAAACACTTTTGGTCAATCCCAGTGGCGTAAGGATACTAGACAGGTTTTACTGTACATGTATGTTAAAACATGTATGTTATTGTATTTAGAAATTCTACAATGGGAACTAAGTCATTTGACATAATAATTGTTTTAAAA